CAAGGTTGTGGTCTGAGCGGGAGCTCGATTGTGTTCACCGATCTCGGCAGTGTAATATACACCTTTAAATGTGGAGTAGATACATGGATAGCGGAAGACGACCTCAATTGGTGGGGACACTCAAGAGATCAAACTGTGAGAATCCTCAGCACATCTCCAGTGGTGGCTCTCCGGGTTGAGCGCACTATTCCATGAATCTTACTTTGGATCCCTGCACGAATCTGTTCGTTTTTATCTTTTATGATATTAAGGTAAAGATTTTGTGATGTATGACGTTCAGGACCTTCAGGTGATATGTTGAAAGCTGGTATTCTAGTTTGAATATAATGAAGTTAACAAACCATCTTGTCATCACTCGAAAGCCGTCTCTGGTTTGTGTTCTTGGTATCAAACCCTCATGTGTTTGACCAAAGTTCTTCTCTTCATATTTTCAGTAAGATTTTTTCAAAAGAAGAACCTTTTCTTACCACAATCACGTTGATGTTTTAGTCTTTCCCGACTGTTTATGCACTCGAAAATAGCATCTTTTTCACTCTGACATAGCTTTTGCTACCCAGATTTGCTGTTAAATCTTTTTCACACCAAACTTTAGAAACGTAGTAAAACTTACTTGAGCTCATCTAACCAAAAAAATGAGACATGTGAAATCAAACCAGAAACAACAAACCTAAACCCGAATATATATATATATATATATATATATATATATATATATATAGTAGGGGAAATTGTCAAAGTACCCCAAAAAAAGGCCTTTCTTGTCCTATTACTCCTTTTTTGACTTTGGCCATTTTTTTCCATAATTGCCCTTCAATATTGTTTAAACATGATAATGAATATTTTTTTAAGTGAACACAATTTCTAAAAGTCCTATAAATGATCTAAAGAATGTGTAAAATATTTGAATATTTTTAAAAATGTTTTGGATGGTTAAAAAATTCTTTGAAGTTTTGGTTCTACAAAGTAAAATATCAAAGCAGAATACGCTTTCTACAAGTTATTCGCAAGTCTAACCGTCGTAGGATATGATATCTACAATTTCTTCATTCATCTTCCGGATTAGACTTCGATATCTACCATATACAATACACTCTACCATTTTGTAGAATTCGCTCCAAAAATATTCTACAGAATACACCATCCGCTACTACTCGTAGATTCTAAATTCTACGGTAAACACTGCTATCTACCAGTCATAGTTTTCGTGTACTACATATTTCATGTTTTTCTGCAAGGCGTAGTATTCGTGTTTTCACAGGATATTCTACTAAATAGGTTAGTTCTACATTGTGTAGAGTTCATCATCTGCAAAAATCGAGAGAATATTGCAAAAAAATATTTTTCAAATCTTTGTTTCCTTATTTTCATCCAACTATCCGAAAATAATCCTCCATGATCTTCTTCCTCATCTTCTTCATCCCCTTCCTCCTCTGTAGTCCTCTTTCTCTCTATCCAATATGGTTCAAATCCAAATCTATGTAGTATGTGGTTCATGGAAGAGGTGTTAAATTAATGGGTAGATATTTGTTGCTGATGAGAGGAAAGGAGGAAGAGTAGTTTGTGTGGAATCTAATACTAGGTTTGACGACCTAAAAGCGATGGTTTTAGAGGATTTCTCCAAACACATTATCAATTCAATTTGAAGGTAAAAAATGTCCAAATTATTTAAAAAAAGTGTATTAAGACAACAACGAGATGGAAAGGTGTAGTGAGACAAGAAATGCCCTTTTTTGGGGTAAATTTGCAATTTTCTCATAATAGTAAGATTCCAAAACAGAGGTGAATTTCTCTCCAATCCACCTCTATAATAGAGATGTCTATTTTTTTCTCAAGGAAAAAGTAAAAATATAGAGTTCATAAACCCTAGAAGCTTCACCTATTAGCAATTGTCCTTTATAAGATTGTGCATTCCGTGTCCTCTATTCGGATTAATCTTCTCTCTTCATGTTTTGTCTTTTAGAATTTCCTAAACCCTAGAAGCTTAAATTTTTTCTTTCAGATCATCTCGAAATTGCAAGTGGTTTCCATCGCTATTAGCAGACCTACAACGAAAAAGAAGACATCAACATCATCATCGATGCATGTGCCAGACTGGACTCAGCTCCCGGAAGAGCTACTTGAGTTTATCTCCGAGAAACTGGACAACTGTTTCGACGTCATTCATGCTCGCTCTGTTTGCAGCTTGTGGCGATCCACAATGCCCTTTCCTTGTAGCCTGCTAAGCCCACGCTACTCTCTTATCTCGTTCGCATCACTCCCTTACAAATGCTCGGCCACCCTCAAGAAGATTCCTTTGTTTCTCTTTAGAGTCCTTACTCTTTCTGGGTCGGCTTCTGAGTATTTTCTGGGAGGAATAGGCCGTAGAGATGAGCCAGAGGATCATATAGAGCATCCACCTCCTCTTCAATGTTCAGTGAAGATCCCAGGATCATCTGATCAAACCTTGGTGAACATGCTCGACTGCCAGATCATCCCTATGGGCCATCAGTACAGAATCTTCGATAGCAATCCTAGTTATTACAAAGTCGTGGCTTTCCTTCCGCTGGGAGGAAGAGAATTCGTTGTGCTTCTCAACTACGGAGGAGTTTTGTTTGTTTTAACAAGTGTCGAAATGAAGTGGAAGCTCCTTGAGAAGCCTCCAAGGAGCACATGCAGTAGTTTAGTCACTTTTAGAGGCAGATTCTATGCATCCTTTTTTAACGGAACAAGTGTGGTTATCGACCCTTATTCCCTGGACGTGACTAAGTTGATGCACTCCCCGCATCAAGATATTTATAACCATCTAGTTCCATCTGGCAATGATGAACTTTTCCTGGTTGAGCAAAACGGTAGCCAGTTAACATTAAGAGTGAGTAGGCTAGATGAGGAGGCTGGTAAATGGGTCGTGGTCACCCATGTAGGAGACCGTGTCTTGTTTATTAGTGGAGGAGTTTTTGGAAATTTCTGCTGCTCGGCTAAAGAGCTTCCCGATGGTTGTGGTATGAGCGGGAACTCAATGGAATTCACAGATGTTGTCAGTGGAACATACTCCTATAAATATGGAGTAGATACAGGGAGAGGGGAAGACGGCCGCAAAGGTTGGAGACCCTCTAGAGAGAATCGTGTGAAAGTCCTCAGCACATCTCCAGTGGTGGCTCTCCGGGTTGAGCACTAAGCCATATATCTTACTTTGGATCCCTGCACTTATCTCTTGGTTTTTGTCTTTTATTAGAATTTTTTCTTATGACATTCCGTAAATGTTGAGAAAGCAGCGATTCTAGTAGGAATATAATCAAGTTCTTCTAAACTATCTTGTCAACACTCAGAGCCGTCTCTGGTTTGTGCTCTTGGTATCAAACCCTCATGTGTTTGACCAAAGTTCTTCATATTTTCAATAAGAGGTTTTCAAAAGAAGTACCTTTTCTTACCACAATCATGTTGATGTTTTAGTCTTTCCCAACTGTTTATGTACTCGAAAATAGCATCATTTTCACTCTGTCATAGATTTCGCTCCACAGGTTCGTTGCTGAAACACTATGTAACAGCTTTTGTCCTCTTTGTAATGTTCTGCTTAGACGCAAATGTTTCCATAACAAAAGACAAAGGAAGAAGCTTCTCTAGTCCATGTTTGGAACTTAAACCACCACCAGTTTTGCATCATATTCATACCTCGTGAGTTGCACGTGAATCAGACCCACGGTCATAGCCAGTAGGTCTCCCACACTCTCTTTCACAGTCACTTCGACCTTCAACCTAGGTTTCAATAGAGAATTGATTCAACAGATGGTTTCGTTTTGACAAAAGAAGACAAAAGTTGTGTCCTAAAGTTCTGCTCCAAGGTGTCCTTGCGTCCTTAAGTCTTACCAATAAAAAAAAAAAAGGTTATGCTCCAAAGTGAACCCATAGACCAAGTGAAACTGTTTCTGAGTTGTTTAATGTTTCAGCTTGTGTTGGTGCCAAAGAGAAATTGATATGAATCAATGCTTGGCTTTATTTGTGGTTAAGATTTGACTTAACTTTAGTTGTACGTTATTTTGAGTGTGTTGTAGGATCCGAGTGAGACTTATTGGCCTTATGGTGTGAGATCATGTGAATGTTTTAGATTAACTTTAGTTGAGGATACTCTCTGATTTCATGAAATCTCAACATCTCACCCAAAAAAAAACAATAACCCACCAATAAGAGCAACGAATAAAGCATCATGTGAGCTCCATTTAAACATGTTCAAAAGAGAGAAAAATGTCATTATCTATTTTTTTTTGTATGTCAACGAGAGAAATCTTTGTCTATTTCTTTCTTCCTCCTCCCTCAATAATTTTCCCCTTTCGTTTTCCATTCACACATTTTTGCCACTTGTGAAAACTTTCTGTTTTTTTTTTTCATTTTTGTTTTTCCTTATATTCATGTATTATTTAAAAAATAATCCTTACAAGTTTCCACTTTTAAACATTACTTTTCTAAATTTCTCTAGAAGAAATATACATATTACTTTTCTTCTATTTGAAATTTAGAAAAGTAATGTTTCTCTAATAAAAATAAATCTTTCTCAAAATTTAAGTTAAAAAGATATCTTTCCGCATATGAAAATCTAATATAAGAATATTATAAAATGTAAATTTAAATGATTTTTTGAAATCTTGTACAATTTATTAAAAAAAAAAGGAAAAAAATAGATATCTATAAATCTATTTACTTTCACAAATAGAAACAAAAATCGAGAATATCATGTATATAAATTTTAAAAGGAAATAATAGTTATATATAAAAATCTATTTGATTTATTACAAAAAAAAAAGAACAATAATTAAGGTAACTAGGTAAGGTCCCTTGTGTGTGACTGTAATAACAAGATTTAAGAGGCCCATTCTCGTTATCTTACTCTAAACACAGAGAGAGAAACAAAACCAAAAAAAAAAAAGCAGAGGAGATTCTTCATTTCTTTGGCATCTCCGAATCGAATCTGAGAAAGAAGAAGAAGCCAAAGCTTCGGAGATCGATGTTCGAGAGAGACGGGGAATTAGATGCATGAGGTTGGATTACCGGTGGATCTCAATTTCTTCACTCAGCTCATCTTAACGCTCTTCTTCCTCTCCCTCGGTCTCCTCTACTTTGTCAAACGAACGGCCGCCAAGTACTTCGAGCTCGGCTCCTCCGGTGGTTTCGACACCAACCACCGCCGAGATTTCATGGTTCCCGAGACTGCCACCGAATGCGCTGTCTGTGGGAAGCTCTCCACCAAGAAGTGCTCTCGTTGCAAATCCGTTCGATACTGGTAATCACCTCTTCCTTCTCTGTCAAAAGCCATTGATTCGAATTAGGGTTTCTGGATTTGATTTCGACGTAGCTGAATTTAGAAATTGAACATTGTCGTTACTAATTGCTTAGCTCCTGCTTCTCAAAGTTAGTTTCCATGATTTTTTTGCTTCTACAGAACAACTTGCTTTTGAAAGTTTTGATTTTTAAGAATTAAGTGTATGTGTTGTTGAATTAGGGTTTGTTGATTTGAATTAGACGTAGCTGGAGATAGAAATTGAACGTTTACAGATCAATTTTGCTTTTGAAAGTTTCGATTTTTAAGGTTTTGCATCTGTTTTTTTTTTTAAATTCGTTTACTTTGTGTCCAGCTCTGCGGAGTGCCAAAAGTCAGACTGGAGCTCGGGACATAACCGGAAATGCAAGTTGTTTCGGGTTACCGACTCATCACCTGTGGGGAAAGACAAGCTCAATTTCAAATCTTCTCTGTTTGGGAACAGATCTGCTTCTAAGCTTGCATTGGCTCCTCAGCTGAGCCAAAGCAAGGCTAGCCTCAAACCAGGAGATGTAATGTGTCTTCTTTTACTCATCTGATGTTGCCACTCTTCTTGTTTGGTTTTGAATGTGGAAATCTGATTCTGTTTGTATCTTAATGCAGGTTCTTTTCCCATATGAACAATTTGTTAAATATTTTTACTGGGACGAACCAAAATTGGCTCCTTGTGGGCTCACCAATTGTGGAAACAGGTTTTTGTTCATCCGGTTTATAATGTAGCTTTAAAGAAGTAAAGCATCAACTGTTTTTTTTTTCACTTAAATTTGATTCTTCTTTTGCTTTTACGTCAATCCTCTTTCAGTTGTTTCGCTAATGTGGTTCTACAATGCCTCTCCTGGACACGCCCTCTCGTTGCATACCTACTGGAGAGAGGCCACAAGAGAGAATGTAAGTTTCTGTCAAGGGAATTTAATGCTTTACAAGTCCCTGTATTGGGTTTTATGTATGGATTTCAACTTTGCTTCTGTGTTTTGTTTGACAGGTAGGCGCAATGATTGGTGCTTTTTCTGTGAGTTCGAGACTCATCTTGAGAGAGCAAACCAAAGCCGGTTTCCTTTTTCACCGATGAATATTATTTCTCGGTTGCCTAATATTGGTGGAAATCTCGGGTATGGGAGACAGGAGGATGCTCATGAGTTGATGAGGTCAGCAACCGTTACTCGTTGGTGTAAAGTTTAGCAAGTGGAGTGTATGTCAATCTTTCAGCTAATGCTTTTCACATTCTTGTGACTTAGGTTTGTAATTGACATGATGCAATCTGTTTGCCTGGACGAATTTGGTGGAGAAAAAGTGGTGCCTCCTCGTGTCCAAGAAACAACACTTATTCAATATATATTTGGCGGTCTCCTTCAGTCACAGGTGATGTTTCCTGATCTCAGTAACAGGTCTTGCGCTGTATTTGTAATCTTTCCTCTCATTTTCTAAGTTTTTCATTTAACTTTTTGCAGGTCCAGTGTACTGTTTGCAGTAATGTTTCTGACCAATATGAAAATATGATGGATCTAACTGTTGAGATCCACGGGGATGCGGTATCATTGGAGGAGTGTCTCGATCAGTTCACCGCTAAAGAGTGGCTTCAGGGAGATAACTTATACAAATGTGATAGGTATTTTATATTCCTTCTGAAGCCATAGTTTTCCTTAATTGGTTGACTTGCTCGTCCTGTGAATGGAGAGTGTTTCTCAAATTTTATTCTCTCTTTTCCAGATGTAATGACTATGTGAAGGCATGTAAGCGCCTTTCAGTTCGTTGTGCTCCAAATATTCTTACTATTACTTTAAAGAGATTCCAGGTTTTAGCTCCATTCCCCTCCCTCCCTTGTGCTTTTAGCTAGTCTCTTTGCTTTTGCTTATTCTTCTGACAATATTATGGTGCAGGGCGGGAGATTCGGTAAACTGAACAAAAGGATTAGTTTTCCGGAGACATTTGACCTTGGCCCTTACATGACCAGTGGAGGAGAAGGATCAGATGTATACAAACTCTACGCTGTGATTGTCCATTTAGATATGTTGAATGCCTCATTTTTCGGCCATTACATATGCTATGTTAAGGACTTCCGTGGAAACTGGTATCGAATAGACGACTCTGAGGTATGAATCATCTTTCTCCAACTCCTGTTGTTTGATTTGCCTATTACGAAGTGTTAACATGAACCAGAATGTGATTGTGAGAAAAAATTCTAATCCCGACTAAAATTACTTGCAGGTGGAAAACGTTGAACTAGAAGATGTCCTTTCTCAACGAGCATACATGCTCCTCTACAGCAGGTAAATCCTTTCACTTGTCAAGAAGAATATGTATATCCTTTTGCCTGAGTTTGTGAATTTGCTAAGTGAACTAGCTTTTTAACAGATTATGATTTCTGATGTGTTGTTGGTGCAGGGTTCAGACCAGACCACCAAGTCTTCGATGCGAAGAAGTTCAAGATGAGAAGAAAACAGATGCACTGAACACAGAATCTAGCCAAAATGGCTCTGTTGAGAGTTCTGTGGTGGAAGCAAATGACACCAGTGTGTCCTCCTCGCTGTGTAACGGCACCATCTCACATTCAGAAGATCCGGAATGCGTGAAAGAGTCATCATCATCATCATCCTCACCTTTGGCAGTTTCCGTAGCTGTTTCTGAAAATGGAAAGGAAGTTGCTGAAAGGGTTATTGATACAGTAGACTCTGAGTCAACTTCTTCTGTGGACATGGAACGTGAGTCTGGGCCGGATCATCAAGAAGAAGCAGCAACAAACGGGAAAGAAGATCCAATTGTTGAAAATGTAGCTGTTGATTCTTCTTCTCCGGAAGTTACTAGTTTGCCTCCATCTGCTGCTACAGAGTCCAAAACGCCGGAGAAAGAAGATTCAGTCACCGAGATGATTGATGCTGCTCAATGAATCTCAACAAATTTTTCATGGCTCCAGAGAATCGACAAAGGGAGCTTCTAACTTTAACAATAATGCTTGCAAGATTGCGTTAGACGCTGCGACTTCTGGTGCTTGAAGGGATTTATAGAAGAAAATTGGAGGGAATCCTTGAATTTCCATATTTAGAAGAAAACTAGGGTTACTTTAGTTATATGAGAGATAGAAAACTTCAGGATTCCGGAAGTACGTGGTTAAGTTATTCTTTGGATGTTTACTTTGTTTGTTAAAATAGGTTTTACAAAAAAACTCTCACAGCAAGAAAGATTAATGGAGGAACACAGTGACGAACTTTGTGCTTATTTCAATTATTTTGGTTTGAGACAGAAATCAGAAGTTGCCGACAGGCGACAATCACTTCAGCTTTCGAAGTTAAAGACAACATAAAAAGTTGCCTTTGTCTTTCTTTTTCTTTTGGCTATGTTTTTTCTATTTATTAACGAACTAATGTTCCAAATGAATACGAGAACAAGTGTTCTTACGCGAGCTCTGAAGTGTGCTTGAAAGATTGTGAACGTTCGTGAATTGGAAAAAAGAAAAAGATGAACATTTGATCGGAAGATGAAAGAAACACCAATGCTTGAAGATAAGAGCATCAATCATCAATTTTACTATCTCATTTTCTTTTTGTCAACTGTAACATTAAATGATATTCAAGTCAACAAATTTCGCATTTGATAAAAACAAAATTTTAAAACTGAGTCAACTAACATACTTAAAATTTTATTTTTTTAATAGCATCTAAAATATTTATATTCATAAAATCTATATTAGTGAAATTATCTCAACTTACATTTTTCTTAAGCTTTTACAATTTGAAATAATTAATACCGTCTTTTCCAAATCACATTTCTACTTTGACATAGATAATCTTTAATTTACTCAGTAAATAAAGATAAATGTATTTGACATATGAATAAATATGAGTTTTACTGTGTTGTTAATGTCTATCTTCTTCAATTGCATCACAAAATTCTTTTCTATATAAGAAGTGTGACCAAATTCCAAAAAACAAAAAAAAAGGTTGAGTCTGAGGTTTTTAGCTATACCAGGCCATAATATTTAATGGTTTGGAAAAATATCCTCGACAAATAAATTTTGTATATATGGTAATTGATTGATGATATATTAAATCATTTGACAATGCCAATACAACTCTAAACTCGTTTTCATTAATAGTTCTAACAAAGTTTAAGCGGTAATCAAATATTAGGGGGCAAAATCTGCATAACGAACAAAAAAAAGTGAAGAACAAACGGAACAAATGTTGAATGGTAATTCATTACGGTAAGATAACATCAACGTTTAACTAATTTTTACACTTTCAGACTTTATTTTTGTCAAAACCACTGAGTTTTTTGAATCACAAAAACATATTTTGTCTTTCTTATGAATAGAAGTCTATCTTGGTCGATAAAAATCTAAAACCAGGTTTGTCCACTATTACAAAATCTTCTTTATTAGTGTAATTTGAAGAAAATTTGCCTTTTAAAATCACGTACCCTTTTTAGATCCCTAGCTCACTATATTCATCTGCTCACTACCACTTAAACTTGTCCTCTTTTCTAATTTTCTCTTCAAAATTATTTGTTATTATCTATATGAGAATTCATGAGATGTTACAAATTATTATTTTTTGCCAAAGGTGATGAATTTGCATGTCGAAGCCATCATTGAAGTAGCTGAAGAGGAAATATTCACATGTAAGTGGAAACTATATCTTCTCAAGATACCTTTCTTCCTTTCTCTCTCTCTTTCTCTCCCATTGCCAAGTATCAATCTTTTTCTCTCTCTCTTCTCTCTTCACTTGCCCAAACCACTCATTGTCTTTACTCTCTCTCGCATGTCACTATTAATGACCCCTTTGAGCTGTTGTTTTTTCCTTGTCTGTTTTTCAAAAATGGGTCTTTAGATATCCGAGCTTTTGGATCTGGCTTGTTCAAATTTCTTTCCTTTTCACTCTTAAGCTAACTCCATTTCCGTTTCCCGAGATGGGTTTGGCTTAATCTTTCAACTTCCAGATTCAAACTACTTACTTCTCTTCTGATTTTCCCCAAATCTCTACTTCATTTTGGGGAAGAAGCAAAACAAAAATGGCTCCAAGGTTTGATTTTTCAGATTTGTGGGCGAAGGAAACAAGGAGAGGAACACCAGTGGTGGTGAAAATGGAGAACCCCAATTACTCAATCGTTGAAGTAGAGGAACCAGACGGTGCGTTTAGGCCAATGGAGAAGCGTAGAGGCAAGAACGCTAAGCAAGTCACGTGGGTTCTGCTTCTCAAAGCTCACAAAGCTGTTGGCTTTCTCACTTGGCTAGCCACTGTCTTCTGGTCTCTCCTTGGCTCGGTCAAGAGACGGCTCAGTTTCACTCACCCACTGAGCTCTGAGAGACTTGGCAGAGACAGATGGCTATTCACAGCTATCAAGGTCTTCTTAGCTGCTTCACTGTTGATTCTTGGGTTTGAGTTAGTTGCTTGCTACAGAGGATGGCATTACTTCAAGAACCCTAGTCTTCACATACCGACAAGCAAACTCGAGATCCAGAGCTTGCTTCATCTGCTCTATGTTGGTTGGTTGAGGTTAAGAGCTGATTATATAGCTCCTCCAATCAAAACTCTCTCCAAGTTTTGTATTGTCCTGTTCCTTGTACAGTCTGTGGATCGTTTGATTCTCTGCTTAGGCTGTTTCTGGATTAAGTATAAGAAGATTAAGCCGAGAATCAACGAAGAGCCTTTTCCAAATGATGATGTTGAAGGATTAGAATCTCAGTATCCAATGGTTCTTGTTCAGATTCCAATGTGCAATGAGATAGAGGTATGGAGAAGAAGAACAAAGTATCAATCTTTCTCTTTGTTTTCTTGACCTTTTGTGCTTCTTTACATAAATGTCTGTTCTTGCTCTCAGGTCTATGAGCAGTCTATATCTGCTGTGTGTCAACTTGACTGGCCAAGAGATCGAATGCTGATTCAAGTTCTTGACGATTCAGATGATGAAAGCATCCAGCAGTTGATTAGAGCTGAGGTTACTAAATGGAGCCAAAAGGGTGTCAATATCATTTACAGGCATCGCTTGGTTAGAACTGGTTACAAAGCTGGTAACCTCAAATCAGCAATGAGCTGTGATTACGTGGAAGCTTACGAGTTTGTTGCTATTTTCGATGCGGATTTCCAACCGAACTCAGACTTCCTTAAACTAACTGTTCCACATTTCAAGGTTTGTCAATCTGTTTTGTTGTGTGATGAGCCTAACTGTTTTTGGTTGAAGCTTCTTACTTGGAAATGCCAATGTTGGTTTCAGGAGAAGCCTGAGTTAGGTCTGGTTCAGGCTAGGTGGGCGTTTGTGAACAAAGACGAGAACTTGTTGACGCGTCTGCAAAACATCAATCTGTGTTTCCATTTCGAGGTTGAGCAGCAGGTTAATGGTGTGTTCTTGAATTTCTTTGGTTTCAATGGAACTGCTGGAGTGTGGAGAATCAAAGCCCTTGAGGAATCTGGAGGTTGGCTTGAGAGGACGACCGTTGAGGATATGGACATCGCTGTCCGAGCTCATCTCCATGGATGGAAATTCATATATCTTAACGATGTCAAGGTACTATTATTATATCGACCGTTCTTGTCACAGTTTCATGAAAGAAGCCTTATGTTAATAAAAACAATCTCTTAGGTTCTTTGTGAAGTTCCTGAGTCATATGAAGCATACAAGAAGCAGCAACACCGATGGCACTCAGGACCAATGCAGCTATTTCGCTTGTGTCTTCGAGCGATCTTGACCTCTAAGGTAATGTAAGATCTATAGTCTTGTAATGTATCTGATCGTTTCAGTGATATAATGGTTCTCTGTTTTGTCTTTTGTAGATTGCAATGTGGAAGAAAGCAAATCTGATACTTTTGTTCTTCCTTCTAAGGAAACTCATACTTCCTTTCTACTCCTTCACACTCTTCTGCGTAATCTTACCAATCACCATGTTCGTTCCAGAAGCTGAGCTTCCTGTTTGGGTTATCTGCTACGTGCCGATATTCATGTCATTCCTCAACATTCTTCCAGCTCCAAAGTCTTTCCCTTTCATGATTCCTTACCTCTTGTTTGAGAACACAATGTCAGTCACTAAGTTCAACGCCATGGTCTCTGGATTGTTCCAACTCGGTAGCTCTTACGAATGGATTGTAACAAAGAAAGCAGGAAAATCCTCGGAGTCTGATCTTTGTTCTCTCACCGATAAAGAATCCAAGAAGATGATGCCACCAAACCAAATGGTAAGAGGAGTTTCAGAGAGTGAGCTCTTGGAGATAAGCCAGGTTGAGGAGCAGAAGAAGAAACCGGTTTCCGTGAAGAAGAAAACCAATAAGATATTCCACAAAGAGCTCGCATTGGCTTTTCTTTTGCTCACTGCAGCTGTTAGGAGTCTCTTAGCCTCTCAGGGAGTGCATTTCTACTTCCTCTTCTTCCAAGGTGTCACCTTTCTTCTTGTGGGTCTCGATCTCATAGGCGAGCAGATGAAATGAGAGACCAAAGAAGAAGGAAGCTTCAGAGTTGCAGATGAAATTATGATTCAAGATTCAGTTAAACAACACTGTGAGTTTCTTTTTTCTTTATCCTTTTGTTGTAACCATAGTTTGTAGGCATTTATTGATTATAATTTGGTTGGTTTATCTCCATTGTGATTAAATCCTTGGTAGGTTAGAGTTTAAGCCACATTTATACCTCTCTCTCTCTCTCTCTATATATATATATATATATATAGTATCTTCAAAAGTCAGGAACTTGTTGCTTAATGTCTGGTCTTTGAAGCTCTTCCTCTGTTCTTTCTGATTAAATCTCTGATCTTACTATAAAGAAAACAGTTTCTGATCCGACAAAACTCATCTAAGTCTCTGTCAAAACGTGAAGAGAAACTGTCGGCAAAAACAGAAGAAACATAAAGCATATTTTTCTCAGAGCCAGAGATGTCTGAATCTCAATAATAGCATCAATACAATGATGTGAAAACTAATGGGACCAAAGATGTTGTCACAGAGAACTAACAAAAACTCTGAAAGATATGAAGAGAAATAGTCAGATGTTTATTCTGTATATCCTTTATACAAACTGCTGAACATTTTTCTGTGAATGACTTCAAGCAGCAAAGTTCTTGATTTTTTTTTGTAACAAACTGGTTTTTTCTAACTTAAAAAAGAGAAATTCACATAAAAAAAAAAGTTATATCAAAATCAATCAACATCAACTGAGAAATCAGGCTCATGCGGTTTAGGAAGCATCGGTAGCTCAACATCCTTCAACTTCTGAGCCGTCCTCCTCGTGTTCTTAGCAAACCTCGAAGCGAATATCGTCGCAGCGAAATGCGGTTTCACGTCAGAAGTATGAGGACGAGCTTTGCTGCTCTGTGTCTCTCCTTCTTGACTCATCTCCTCTGCTGCAGCAGCAACCGCCATAGCCTCTTCTTCCTCTTCATAAGAAGAGAATGACTCAGCCAAGCTCAGACTCTTTGCCAACTTTCTTCTCTTATACCGTCTCCAACCGGCTTGCACGAAACAAGCCGCCCAAGTTCTCCATTGGTGAGAGTAATAACGGAACGTGTGTTGCAACTTCTTGCTATGTAAACGTCTGAATTGGTTAGCCACAAATCTAAGATCATCTGCTTGTAGAGCAAACGCTTCAACTTCTTCTAAAGCTCGCACAGTTCTTGTTGAAGACGGTAGGTTAACAGTTGACTTTGGAAGCAACGCCCATGCAAGAAGCTCTTCTCCACAGAAATCTCCTGGCCTGAGTGTGATTGAGTTGAAGAAACCGGTCCTGCCTCCATTAGTCGTCGAGCTATCAAGCTTTCCACGGATGATGAAGAGCATTTCCGTCACTGGATCACCTTCTCGTACAATGTAGTTCCCTTGCGTGCTTAGAGACGACACTAACCGCTCGCATATCGCGTCTAGTAACTGATCATCCATTTGCGCAAACAGTGGCACCTGAACAAAACCATTCGCAAGAACTATCATTAGCCCTAACGTTCTTGCCAAGAAATGTGAGAAATGTGTTTTGTTTGTTTATAGTTGAGTGGTGGTGATTAGACTTACACGACGAACAAGATCGAGACAGAGATGTCTTTGAATGTCTCTGCGGAGATCTGAAGGTAAAGAATGAAGAATGGTTTCTTCCTCAACACCTCGAGTCGCTAACCACTTGTACTGCACGAAACGCCTCACTCGTTCTCTCAGATCCTGTGGTAGTTGACGATGTCTCATCCATTCTTCTGTGTCTCTTCTCTTCAGTCTCCACTCCTCAAGCCTCACCGTGATCGATTGCAAATACGTCTACACACATTAAACCAAGAACAGAATAAACAAAACAAAACATATTAACCGGTAAACAAGAAAGAAGATCATTCATGTTTTGTTACCTGCATGTTTCCGATCAAAAGAGCAAACAAAACAAGACCAAAGATAGCCACAAATATAGCAAAAATTGTCTCAAGAACAGAGGTGCTTGTGCTCAGACTCTGTCCATAAGAACTTTAACAAGAAAAGCTCTGTGTTAGCCATAAAGAAGAGTAATGAAAAGAATGAATGAATGTAACATTACAATAGTATTACCTTAGATTCTGCAAGCCAAACCATAAGCAATACAAATACTTCTCCAAGAACGGCGAAGAAACAACGTTCTTGGTGAGAGCATCAGCGAAGATCCCGAACGTGAATCCGATTTTATTCGAAGGGTCGCAGTTGCTGAAGACAACGGTTACATTCTGCCAGCTGTTCCGATGATCACTGTTCAGTGTACTACAGTCAAAGTAATCTGTAACGCATTCTATCGGCGCAAACTCTTTTCGACATTCTGATTTCCAACACGTTGCTTGACGTTCTATTGACAGTAGATACCAAGCCGAACCAAGAATCTACATAACAACAAATGTGAAAACATAACAAGAACATAAATCATCAAGCAAAGAACACAATGTGTCTACTATATAACTAGCCTTGTGAGTTTGTTAGTGATCACTCACATGACTAGCGAGCATATACTGAAGGAGATTGTAAGCAGCACCGGCCCAAGCAGTGGTTGTTACAACTCCGGTGGCTTTGATGATCTCTGCGCTTAGAGGGAAAATCAGATAAAGGCGAGGAATGTATTGAACAAGAACAATGAGGACAAGAGCGTTTGTGGTGTGATCTGAGTGAGAGCTTCTGATTGATGGCAAGATAAACCAACTCACAATCTGTTCAAACAAAAGACAACACAATTAAAACACTAATGATAGAAGCAAGACTCTTTAAGAGATGAAATCAAGATTTGTTACCTGAGGAAGAGGCAAGCAAGCGATGAGATCAACGATGAAATCTGATCTCAAGTATCTTCTAGCGATCATTTTAGGATCTTTGACTAGCTCACCACGACCAAACACTCTTGAAGTGCGAGAGACGTAAGCTGTTCTGAATTTGATGACAATGTGCAAGACATAGAAGAGATCCGCTAGTGTTCTGAAGAAAGTGACGACGATTCCGAGATTCAAATCTGTGGTCATACAAGAGGATCGTCCGACGCGTTTGACTGAAGAGAGGAAGAAGAAGAGAGGATCGACGTAAAGAGCAACGAGACACCAGAAGAGGAAGACTCTGTTCCATTGAAGCACTGCGTCACCACCAGGATCGAGAATCTTGTCTCTCTCGATCTCGAAATTCTCCGGGAAGACTTTGAATCCCCCGAATCTAGGGAGTTTGAGACGGAGAAGACGAATCTTGTGGCTCTTTTTGGGGATAACTTGTTCTGGTTTCTGAAATGGAGCTACTGTTGCTGTTGTTGATGATTTAAACAACGGTTGTCGCTTTTCATTTACTTCTAAAGTTTGCTTCTCGTCCCCATAGAATCTGTGTCGGACCCATCAACAAACAAAAGGAGACTTTTTTAGATTAATGAGATCAAGAACAAACTAAACAGCTTCCATCTGTTCTGTCTGAAATTCATTAATCAGAGACAAGTCCAATGCAATGTAGAAACGAAGAAAAATTCACAAAAGGTACATATAAATTAGTAAAAAAGAGAAGAAAAAAATCAAAACTTTATTGGGATTGCGAATGCAAAATGCCAAACTTTTTCCATCATTGAAAACCCAAATTAATGTAAATCCAAATGCTTTTTACAAATAAAAAGTTTTTTGATGAAAATTCTAGAACCTGACAGTGTTGTCTCTCTTGAACTCCATGTTTGTAGTAAAGTCTAAACTGAAACGAGAAGCAAGAAGCAAGAAGCAAGAAACAGCTTCTTCTTCTTCTTCGTGCAATGAGAATCGAATCAGAGGATGAGATATTTAGCTGACTTCTTTATGTTGAGAGAGAGAGAGAGAGATGAGGCTGTAAGAGATTAATTGAGTTTGACTTTAACATGAAACAACAAAAAAAACTGAAGAGAGAGAGAGAGAGAAGAAAGAGATGATAACTCAATAAGTAGAACAGCTCATCTTCTGCTGCTAATTAAGAGAAGTATAACGAGTGAAAGAGTACGAATTTCTTCTTGTTGTTGAATTATTGTTTAATGTTTTCTTGGAATTTGTAAGACAGAGAAAGAGAACGTGCGTTCCACTATTTTTAAATGAGATGATGAGCAAACAATTCTTGAGAAGACGACTCTCTCTAGTATTCCTCTCGTTTTGTGTTGCAAGATCCATGATTCACTCGAACGAAAACACTAAAATATAACTTAAATACGTGAATCAGAAAGTATAAAAGATATCGATTTTCTTACGGTTTTTGAATGTTTTTAGATTAGATAGATCTCAATAATCTTCTAAAGCAGGAAAACAAAATATTCATAGTTTAAATTTTAACGTATGCACCAGAGACCATTAATACAATGACGCGCTTATAACATGCAAAACAGATTTGATTTATTTAATATGAAGAATAACTTCTTCTTATAGACACAGTGAATCTGATTCATAACTTCATATGGTGCCAAATCAGGATATTCACCCAATCTTCGTCTGTTCTTGCCCGGATTCATTGGGACTGCTTGTTTGGAAACTACATACTACCACTGACTGCGACTAAAATGGTGATCATTTCGTAGCATTGGGCAACAAGCCGCTGTAAAAGAACAACGTTTTCTTGTATTTGTATGTTGCTTATTGGTTCAACGAAGGTTATTGAAAATGTTTTGTAAGAAGTGGATTTGTGTCAAAAACAAACAAACAAAAAACGACGCACTTGAAACATACGTAAACACAGTTTAGTTTTATATATATATACCAAAGTCATTAAAAGGCCAAACAGTTGCGACAAGCTAGACTAAAATTCGAATTTGATTCTGTTGTTCATCAGCACTCAAAACAGCTTTAGCAAAAAGCAGAGAAGCTTCGAAATCTAAGATTTGGGACAAAACGAGTGATGTTGAAACTTGAAGGACCCAGTCACCCATGAACAAAACTTGAAACAAACGACGAAAATATAGCAGAAGCAGGCGATCTATTACTAGCATACATGTCAAAACCTTATCTCTTAACCAGAGCCAGTGCCATCAAGGGAACACATCTTGTTACCTGCCAGTGTAACTAGTGCAGCTCCTCAACGACTCTTTAAGTTCAAGAAAAGAAAGACCAGAGGAGTTTTGAAGAAGTCGACATCATAACTGATGAAGTTTTTCAAACATAAGAAGATGCAGAAGCAGAAGCAAGTAGGGATCCGCAACTTAGTAAACTATTATGAAGATGCCTTTGCAGGTTCAATTAACCAAGAAGCCTCAGGGCAGAGTAGACTAGTAGAGAAGCAGATAAGCAAAGAAGCAGCAAAAACCAGAAGGCAGAGTAGAGAAGCAGATAAGCAATGACGCAGTAGAAACCCGAAGAAACCTCGACACAATAATACACACAAGGAAAAACAAAGAAAACACATATTTTTAGAGCAGAATTTTTATGTTTATGTCTTTTAAGAACTTGGATAGGTATATAAAAAGTACGTTACCTAATAGCAGATACTACGGCTTCATATCCAAACGCAAAAAGAAGCATCCCAGAAATTGAAAAGTAGCAACCACCCACACAGCTAAAACATGTTCTCTTAGTGAAATCCACAGATACTAAGTTCCCTTAAGCTTTCCTCTTGACGTCACAAGCAAGCACTCGTTTCCTGATCCCACAACTTGCTCTCTAGACAAGTAACACTCAGCTCCGGCTTCGGCGCACGTCTTTCAGACCATTTCTGCCGAACCATACAAAAACTTATCAGCCACAGAGACTTTGCAAGTGAAGATAATGTCACTATACTGATTGAGTTAGCAAAGACTCTTGAGCAAAAGGGAGATTACCCATTAGCATATGGCACCTCATCACGTCCTCTATAAGGTGGTGGTGACCTACTGTAGTTGCGACCACGAGGAGGAGGAGAAGGACTGCGACGTCTTGGTGGAGGAGGAGGAGACCTTGCACGAGGGCTGTAACTCCTGAAGCCAGAAAGACAATTTAGTTAATCAGCTCACTTAGCTAGAACGATAAGTCGCCAATAAGAAAGAAGAAGGGACAAATAACCTCCGGCCTCCATAAGTTGGGCTCTTTCTGTATCTTGGAGGACTGCGACTCCTGCTACGGCTGCGACGCCTACCCGAGCCACCACGAGAACGGCATTCACGTGCAAAGTGACCAGACTCACCACACTCATAGCACTTCAAATCAGAACCACCACGCCCACGACCACCATCACCTCCTCCGCGGCCACCACCGCCTCCTCCACGGCCTCCAGCACCACCTCGGTTGTGAGACTGCTCTACCCTCCATCCATTCTTGCCTACCATAACAAGTAAAAACCATATCAAACTCGTAAGCCACACGAACACAGTAGCTCATGGATCGAACAAGCTGCTCCGTTCAATACCATCTAAATCACGAATGGCGTCACGAGCATCCCTCGAGTCTTCAAAATCGAGAAAAGCGTAACCTGGTGGTCTTCTAGCGACCCAAACACTGCAGATCAAAAATCAAAAGAACAATGAGAGAAAAATACAAAATTGCACACTTCACTTCAAAAAGAGATGCAATTGTATATAGTTTAGCTAAAAGAGATCAAATTGTTACCTTCTGATCACTCCATAGACGCGAAACTCATCCTCGAGCTCACGCTCAGTGACTCTTGGATCCAAATTACCAACGTACACACGCGACATTTGTTCAATCACCTATCAAGTTACAAGTACGAATACTCTTGTTTAAATCCTCAATTCAAATAGGAAAAAACAAATTGAAAGCCAAGAACACTCAAAAGTAAATTCTCTCGATCCAATTCAGATTTTACAATACACATGAACACTTCCAGATTCAACCGATCAGAGAGGGAGTCAATCAAAAGAAAACATGAATTAGAGAAGAAGAAGTGACAAGGGAGATCGGGATCACCTGAAGAAACTACGAGCAGTGATGAAGAGCGGAAAACACCGAAACGGCTTCAAAATTAGGTTTATCGATTCGGGAGTGAAAGATGGAATGAAATATCTCCGAAAAAGGAATTTGGTATGGGTCAACTTTAAAGTCAAGTCATTACTTACTTTGGGCTCCAAATGGGCCTCCAGTGATTAGCCTAATTTCCCTTCCACTCTTTTCCCTCTACCCGGCCCGTTAGAAATAATTTTGGAAAAATGATCAACGCTAACCAAACCATTTGGAACCAGTTTCATCTTTGAAAAGAAAACTGAAACAAAATAGTGTAATTAGGATGTTTCATCTTTGTTTCGATTTAGCTTTTGTAAACAATAATCTAACTTAAAACGAATAGTAGAATTAAACATGGTTGTTGAAAACTTGACAAAAAAAGAAGTCACTAATTTTACAACATTTCATGTATAATAAGGGCAAGAAATTGCGGTAAAGATCAAGAGCACAAAAACTTATTTTGTCAAGATAAAGATAGAGAAGGAACTTTACATATTTGTCAAGCGTCAAGACATTGGACAGAACATGGCAGACAAACTGGCATACAGAAAAAACATGGCGATCAATTATATGACGTGTACGAAGAGTGAATGGATTGTTTGTCTCTTGTGGTTAGAGATAAGGTTAGGAATATTGCATATCAATTTTAATATTCTTCATGTGATCTCTGATCTCTTGATACATAAAGCGATCATAGTCCAATCAGTTAAAGTCTTGTAATAGTTTGGTTAAGCGATTTTTAGTTAGTTGCTAGTTGCTGACCTCGGTAAAATTGTTATGTTATATTCTCTCATTCTATGCATTAACAAAATTATCCTATCTAAGAAAAAAAATACAATTTCAACCATGTTTCTATCTCTAGTTAGAAGAATGTTTTGTTTGAAAAGGACCCTAGCGACTAACTCGCAGTTTCGAACGTTCTCACTTAACCGTGACGTGACAATGTACTAAATCCACAGATTAGTTTGGGATTAACCAATAATATCATATCATTCCCAAAAGCAATGATAGTTATTTTTGGGAGTATGTAGTGCGCACCTTTCTTGAAGCAACACTCAACTTTTGTAGTGATAGGAGTAGATTAGGCTTGATGATATTGAAATGTCGTCGAGAATCCACTTGATGATTGAAGTATGACGACAACAACAATTATTCCTTTTATCTCTTTTTCTATTCAGATGGAGACAAGCTCAGATAACGATTTTTAAAACGGCACTCAATTATCTCTCGAAAAAAAAAACTTGTAAATTGTAACGATCGATTTTGGATCGACGTTTGTTATATTATTTTCTGATAGTACATATAAACATATAAATCACGCCTTATATCGCAAAATTATGTGAAAATGTGATATCTCGTTATTTATTTTTTAGTGGGATACCCAAGAATTGGGATTTCCTCTCGCATCAATCTGAATAATAATGCTAAATATTATTTTATGAATGTTCCATTCATTGAAATGTAAGGTTTTTGTTAATAAACAATAACCAGTTGATAGGGGATTTGTCTTTTCCAACACAAACGAATGGTGGGCACTAAGAAAAGAACGAAGTGGCTCCATTATTCATTCCACCATATTCCCCAAGACTACGATTAGTCAAGAACTTCAAAATCACAATATCACAATCGTTACTGTCATCCTTTAATAGTTCTATCATCCCTCGATTTCACTTGTAGTTTTTCTGTAAGATCGTGACATTGTTACTTTTTTTTCAATCAGAAAAGTGAGTTGTGTAATTAAACAAGAATATATGTTAAGTTATAGGTTGGATCAAAGTCACATATAGATATTGTGTTTTTAGAGGTAAAAATGTTAGAAATATGAATAGTTTGTAAACCACAATTGTTTTCTTTTTACATAGAACTCCATATAATAGTGTGATTGACTTGACTTAAAAAATATTTACTTTGGAACTAAATCGCTTACACGAGAAAACACAGACCTTCATACTCTTGTCTCTTTAACAAGACAATCAACCTATACAGATAGAGAAATCATTGTATTTGTTCATCTAGTTTCGTAGAAAAAACTAGCCAACTAGCCAGGCCAATTGGTTATCTATAATATCTTCAATCTCGGAACAATCCCATTTAAAATAATCCAAAGCAAATTTTTAATATCAAGAAGAAGGTAAACATCTCCGTAATCCTTTCGGACCAATAAACTGAAGTTCATGATCCTCCAACACAACCCAACCCAACATAAAATGAACACTTGTTACATGTTAGAGAGTAGAGTTTGGACTGGAATATTCTTTTACATTTTAAGAAAAACTCACATGCAACCTAACAATTCAGAGATTACAAAAAACAAGTATCTCAGAGGTTAATTAATATGTACCAGTACCGGTTTTTAGAGAGTACCTAGGAGATTGAGAGATAACCAGGTAATTGAAACCTTTAAAATTAGGGGTGGTGATGTTTAAGCTAGTGGATATAAGTATATAACTATGGTTGTAGATTAGCTAGAACTTTGGTTAAGTACTAATATTTTTATTAGCTAACTAAAGTTGGAAACTTCATGGACCGTGGCAACTTCATCCATCTCCACTATATGCCATGCCGAAATAGTATGTTTTGTGAACGTAACATTTCTTCTTTTGGTAAAAAAAAATTGCATTTGCATAGATACTAAACCATATGAATTCGATTCCCAAAAGTTTCTGTACTAGACGGATTCCTTTTTTACTTGATTATTTGAATGTTCAACGAAGAATGAATTGTAAGAAAGTGACACGAGCGAAGGGCAATGTCGTGAATTTAATTTCGGTTTTGTCCATTTGTCAAACACAATCTGCTTTTATAACCTTCACAGTGGATCAACAACAACCATATGCTTCTGTGACATCAACGAAGCTTCTCTCCCTTTTCTTGTTTCCCTCTCACTATATTCTTTTTCTTTTCTCACTCCTCATGGAATATTCCGCCGATGATCGTTTCGACGTGATTGTCGTCGGAGCTGGAGTAATGGGAAGCTCAGCCGCGTACCAGCTGGCGAAAAGAGGCCACAAAACACTCCTCCTAGAGCAATTCGACTTCCTCCACCACCGTGGCTCTTCCCACGGCGAGTCACGCACCATACGCGCCACTTACCCGGAGGACTACTACTACGCCATGGTTTCCGAGTCAGCTCGGTTATGGGCTCAGGCTCAGTCCGAGATCGGATATAAAGTCCATTTCCCAACTCAACAGTTCGACATGGGCCCTAAAGATCAGCAGTCTCTCCTCTCTGTCGTTGCCACGTGTCAAAAACACGGCTTAGCTCACCGTGTTATGGACTCATCCGCAGTCTCCCAGCATTTCTCCGGGAGGATCACTATCCCGGAGAATTGGATCGGAGTCTCTACGGACGTTGGTGGGGTTATAAAACCTACCAAAGCCGTCTCCATGTTCCAAACGCTAGCGTTTCGACACGGCGCCGTTTTGAGAGACAACACCAAAGTGGCGAACATTAAAAGAGACGGTGAAAACGGGGAAGGGGTAATAGTCAGCACGGTGAAAGGAGACAAGTTCCACGGTAAAAAATGCATTGTTACCGCCGGTGCATGGATTAGTAAGTTGGTGAAAACGGTGGCCGGAATTGACTTTCCGGTGGAGCCTCTGGAGACGACGGTTTGTTACTGGAGGATCAAAGAAGGTCACGAGGATAAATTCGCTATCGACGGAGAGTTTCCGACGTTCGCGTCTTATGGAGCTCCGTATGTGTACGGAACACCGTCGCTGGAGTATCCGGGACTGATCAAAGTGGCGGTTCACGGTGGTTACCGGTGCGATCCGGATAAGAGGCCGTGGGGACCAGGAGTGAAGCTAGAGGAGCTTAAAGAGTGGATTAAGGAGAGGTTTGGTGGTATGGTTGATGCGGAAGGACCTGTGGCGACTCAGCTTTGTATGTATTCGATGACGCCGGACGAGGACTTTGTGATTGATTTTCTCGGTGGGGAGTTAGGGAGAGATGTGGTGGTTGGTGGCGGGTTTTCGGGTCATGGGTTTAAGATGGCGCCGGCGGTGGGGAGGATATTGGCGGATATGGCGATGGAGGGAGCGGTGGGAGGAGGAGAAGTTGAGATGAAGCAGTTTAGTCTCCGGCGGTTTGAAGAAAATCCTAAAGGCAATGCTAAAGAGTATGCTGACCAAGTGATACTTGGTATTTGCCCGTTGAAATAAAGTTGAAGATAGTAAAATTTGGTTACAAAAATGTCAACTTTTGAATAAAAATAAACTTGTTGAAACAAAATAAAACTTTTGTTACATGGTTTTAACTCCTTTTTCAATTGCTTCTATACATACATATTTCAGGTCAATGAAAATGGTGAACATCACATCCCCATACTACAAACAACACCAGTATTCAATCAATTTACTTATCTTCTTCACCTGAAGATCAAAGATATGGTGATGTTTAAAACTTTTCACGTTTGAAGTGATAACATGTTAGTTAAACCAACCTGCAAAGAGAATGACAAAGTATTATGTCCTTTAGCTCTAAAGACTAGAGATCGTTAAGAGCTACAACAACATGAGTGACTGATTCTATTCTCAGTCATATAAGCTTCTAAGACGATGATCATTCACTCCCTATGAAGCAAATCTCTAGAAGAATCGCAAGGAAAAGACAAGCATAGACATGTTTTACAAAAGTTCACAAATGTGATTAGAAAGATTCAAAGATAACACAGCTTTCTTTTTTTGTACAAAAAATAAAAAAAAATCAATTTGACAGCTGTGGGATTTGAACCCACGCCCTTTCGGACCAGAGCCTAAATCTGGCGCCTTAGACCACTCGGCCAAACTGTCTTGTTGGAAGCTTACAACTTATATAAAGTCATATTAGATATCCAAAGAAACAGAGGCATAAATAAGAGTTGCGAGGAAGGAAGAGATTCTGACTCTTTTTTTTTGTTAATCAAATGTTTCTGCATCCTACTTCACATAGTTTCAAAAGTAACCATTACCTGAATAATTCTCTTATTGTTTTCCCACAAAATTTCTGCTAAAGTTCCACTAAGAACCCTAATATGTTCCAGCCTTCTTCTCCAAGTCCTAAATCAAAAGCAACTAATATGTTATACAAACCAGACAGTATCGAAATCTTCGTCAAAACTTATCGGCGATTATAAGTGAAGTGAAGAGAGTGGCATGAATGGGGCCCGATCCCAGTAAGGAGGATTATAGCGGTAAATCATAACTTGAGGAATATTGTCTAAGATGTAGAGCAGAGAAAGAGTACTATGTCTACCTTGTTCTTTGTCTTTGCCGAACTTGAACACCATCACCGCCCTCTGCTCTGATTTCACCATTATAACATCTCGTTTTTCATCTTCATCTTTGCTCAAGGTATTCATTGCTTAACTTTGTCTTTTGATATATAAAACAATCGGAAAAGAGGGAAAGAAAGAAGAAGGTTATGTGTTGTTTACTTGTATTGGGCTTATTAAAGATAACATACATTAGTACCATTTTCCCTTAAACAAGTCCATGCTGAAAGAATTGTATTGGCCACCTAATTTCTACATCTTTCTTTGATAGCCATGACACATAGCCTAAAACCAGAAACTATATAGCGTAATTGGTTTACTTTATTGAGCTAAAATCAAATTAGGTGGTAGATAATTTCTATCTTGGCAATCAGCTGCAAAATAGTTGTAAACATTTAATTTATTGGTTACTAGCACTGGACACGGAGCAAATACAGGAAAAACAGGTATCCGTGATCCGATCCGATCCGTCCGGATATTTGAATTTTCGATCCGATCCGATTTTCGGATATCCGAAAATCCGGATATTCGTAACTTTGTTTAATATCCGCGGATTATCCGCTCCGATCCGTTTGATCCGGATATCCGTAACTCTGTTTAATATCCGTGAATTATCCACTCCGTAAATATTTTAAAAAATATTTGTATTTAAAAAATTTCAGAAAAATCAATTTTTAACACAAAAATATAATTTTAATTAAAAAACTATTAGTATTTTTTTTAGTGTTTAAATAATCAATTTAATGAATATAGATTTATAAAATTTAGATATAAACATAACAATCATCCAATTTATATATGTAATTTTATATATATAGATATATCTATATGTATAACGGAGCGGATCGGATATCCGGCTTTTAAAATTTCAGTATTTGTGATTTGCTCCGGTTTTAACGGATATTAATTTTTAGTATTTGCTTTGCTTTGTAAAATTACGGTTATCCGGATTTTTCGGATCGAATCGGAACGGATAACGGATCGAAGCAAATATAACGGATAATTTGCCCAGGCCTATTGATTACCAAATTTGACCTTCGAATAAAAACAAACACCACACAAGTAGAACAGGTTGTCGGGTTGACTCACATATGATGATGATATGACACTAATTTAAATAATTTATTATCTTATTTTGCAGTGGCAATAATACTACTAGTTTTTTTTGGGTTAAGGCACGATGAGATTAGGTGTGGAGTTTAGGAAATATGATATTGTGTGCTGATAAGAAAAGAGAAATGGTGGATGTTTTATGTATTGGTCGAACCAAAGGAATCAAATCCTCAACCAAACAATCTTTCGTGATACGACTAGTGCTTCGAGTATTATTTTAGTTCTATTTTGTCTTTAAAGTCAAGCAATCAAATGATACTGTTTACTTTCACGTGCTAATAAGAAATTAACAAAATTACAGATTTACCGTAATGTTAATATTTTCATTTTAAAAGGCAACTGGGAGAGTAAACAAAAATAGGCAATTGAGAGAGTAGGATGTTAATTTGCATCCATAAACGTTTGATAAATCATCAAGTAACGATGTTATTGTAATTTTCCATCGGATTTGTCATTTTTGAGTTTTGGTTCATTTTCAGATAAAATCAATGGTGATAAAGCTTGACAACTCATACTTGTCATTAAAGCATAACGATAAAATTTGTATGTAATAACTAATAACCATAGTTCATTTTCTGGTAAAACTAATGGTGATAACTGATAAAGAAAGACATCCATATTTATCGGTATAAATTAACAACAAAAAACGTAGGCTAGTCTTCGGAACCGAAAGATGCTGACAAAACTTGCAATGGATTGATTTCGGCTTGTACATGACCTCCTTGTCAGAACGAGAAATGCCATTCTACGATTCCTCCAAAATTTCATTGTTAGATTGATAAAAAGAAAAGGTGGTTAGTTTATTATAGCATACATCCATAGCTAAACCCCTTCGAACATATAGAAAAAGAAGATAAGTTTGTATCGTTTCCCAATTAATTATGTGTAGATGTCTAAACATTGACCTTGTATAAACTATTTGAAGTTTTTAACCACTAGGTATTTAAGTAAGCCCAAATCTTCTCTCCGTATCTTTGCAATGAATAAAGCCGATTCTTCTCGAATAACAACAACAGTTATACATCATGGTTCTAAATCGTATTTTTTCATTAAATAAATCTCTACATCTTTTAGCATCCACTAACTAAGAATTAAATTTAAAAGTTGAAACAATGTAATACTCCATGTGTTTCAGAATGTAAGATATTTGAGGTTTTTCACAAGAAATAAGAAACATTTAATGTGTAAATTACTTTTTCACACCAACCATTTTTTAGTACTCCAGCTTTTAACCAATCACAATTTAATTAATCAAATACTTTTAGTTAATATGTCTTAAAGTTTGTATATGTTAGTATTAATTACCAAAAAATACCTTAAAAATTCTAAAACATCTTACATTATGAAACAAGTAAAAATCCTAACACATCATATATTCTAAAACGGAGGGAGTATATTATTATGAACCCGTACCATTATAAATAACGTAGTGGTTGGAACACGTAAACAGCAAACAAAAATACAAGATGAAGCTTCGTTTGTAGTTTGTACCGTATTAATTGATAGATACTACAACATACAATGTAACCAACATGTGTCTTTCACCTGCTCACAAAACAATTTAAGGAGCTTAATCAATTATTTAATCCGGAAATTGGTATAGTTTGTTCAACTCAGGTCTTTCTTAACTAAGTTAAAATTTAACTTAATTTTTCTATTACAAATGCATTTTTTAGACATTAGTCTTTCTGGCATAAGATTAATCAATCGAGGCAATAAAAGAATTTGATTAGTCAAAATATCTCTGTATGAAGAGAAACTACATAAGATATGAGAAAAAGACGTAATAATTTGTAAGATTAGAAAGAAAGAAAAAAATAAGTAGACGTGCACGACAATCATATATTAGTCAGTAGGGTCAACGATTCCCATGTAGTTCATTTATAATGCATTCCGTTGACAAATACATCTAAAAAAAATCATTTACACCCCAAGGCTTATTTTGCGCACAAAACACGTCATATATCATTGACAAAAAAAACACGTCATGTTATTTTTTTAGATACATTACATTTTTCTCGGAAACAAATTAGCGATGCTCATATTAACGAAACAGTCATCATATGCACTCTACTTTTTTTTCGGAAAACAGAGTTTCAGAGAAAATATATTTAGGAAAATATCTCTTCGATCAAGTTGGAATAAAGCTGCAATTTTCCTCTTTTCAAATCATTAGATTTATGTTCTACCCTAACTGTATTGTAGCCTACTGTATTGGTGGTACTTTGCTCTGTTTGTTTATACATTAAAAAACAAAAGCTTGTGGACAGGTGACAATTTATGAGTCAGCCCAACTGCCACGTGTCGAAATTTGAATTGCCATGAGAGAGAGATTTTTCTTAGGTTCCCAGAAAAAGAATGTTAAAGGGAACAATAAAGTATCGAAGAGTCAACTCCACAGTTTACAGATCCACCGTTGGATCCAGCTTTGGGTTATCAACGGTGTAGATCTTAGTTAACCGGGAACACCCGGTAACCGAGGTAGTCAATAGAAATGGGTCCATGTGATCACTTTTCTTTTATTTAGTCAGCTTTTCTTTTTTGTTTCCTACTTTGTCGTTATTCTTTTATCGCTGTTCTCAACCAAAGACTATATTATAGTCAACGATTGTCGCTGTTATTATAACATTTTTATTTTCTGTTAATGATTGTTAATTGTTCCACAGTATGCGTGCAGATAAATTAGGTAAACTAAGAGTCACGAAAGGATTAATTTTCCATTTACTAATTTTCCAGTCAAGACGTTTTTTATAAGGCTAATACAGGTTAAGAAATTCATGTTTAGAATACCTGAGATTGTAAATAAAAGTCAACAAACACCTATGGCCATTTTCTAATTTATGTAGTGTCACTTTTTATATTTTACTGAGTTATCCTTTTACTCTAGATTAGGTAAATTTCGGTAGAATATCTTTCTTGCAAGGAAACTGTTTTACTGAAAGCCATTGATACAATTTTGAAACTTAAAAAAAAAAAAACTAACTGGGTGAAAAACACAAAAGGTTTAAGAACAAGTGGAATATTTATTTATGTGTTTTATTTTGTCAAAGCACTGCAAGAAAATAGTAATAATTCTAGAAAGGCATCGGAATAAATTATGTTGCATAGTGCATACATGAGTGTTTTTGTAAGTGCGCCATATAAATATTGACAAGTTGTGGTGTTGATTGACAATAAAACATTACCAATATATAAAAAAAGAACAAGAATAGTGCCTAAAACTTTGCTTGGTTCAAAAGGAAAGAAAATACTGGAAGACACATTAACAAAGACACATAGTCAAAATCTCTTTTTTTTTTCACTCTACCTCATAACTAGCTGAAAATTTATCATATGATATGACAGCTAAAATCCAGCCCCAATTGTATGTATAATATACAGATAATAAATACCTAGTTATAATATTACAGTATAAGGAAAAATGTTAGTATAATTTTCTTTAACTTTCGTCCCTTTTATGTTTGTATTTTACTTTGTTTTCTTCACCTTTTTAGTTTTTACCCAAATTCAATTTAACGCACTAAAATCCTTTATTTTCAAGACACGATTAAAAATATTCTTGCTTTCCACAAAAGGGGACCCCACTCACCTCAAACTCGAGAAGACCAAAAACTTTGATTACTTTATTTATTCCATAGATATCTTCAACTCTAATCTCAGCCGTTGGATCATAAAACATCGATTTGACTAAACTCCACCACTGACCTGATCATCCGGTCACCCGGTTCCACTCCATTCCCCATATATCACGCCATTCCTTCATCTTCCACTTTCGCTCTCTCATCATCAAAAACTTCCATTTCTCCAGATCCTCTTCAAACTATAACCTCTGTTTTCTTCAGCATGACCGTCGATATCATGCGTTTACCCAAAATGGAAGATCAAACGGCTATACAGGAAGCTGCATCGCAAGGCTTAAAAAGCATGGAAGACCTGATTCGCGTCCTCTCTAACCGTCCCGAAGACCAAAACGTTGACTGCTCCGAGATCACCGATTTCACCGTCTCCAAGTTCAAAAAAGTCATCTCTCTCCTAAACCGATCCGGTCATGCCCGGTTTAGACGCGGACCGGTTCACTCTCCTCCTTCATCTTCCTCTCCCTCCCCCGTCGTTGCTCAGCCTATTAAGGTGATACCTCCACAACATCAGATCTCTGCTCCGGCACCGGTGATTACTCCGGCGAGCTTCGTTCAGTCACATCAACAGAGCATGACGCTTGATTTCACCAGACCAAGCGTATTTGGCGCCAAAACCAAGAGCTCGGAGGTTGTGGAGTTTGCTAAGGAGAGTTTTAGCGTATCATCGAACTCTTCTTTCATGTCTTCGGCGATCACCGGCGACGGAAGTGTCTCTAAGGGATCCTCGATTTTCCTCGCTCCGGCGCCGCATGTGGCTTCCTCCGCTAAGCCGCCGCTTTCTGGTCTCCCTTACAGAAAGAGATGCTTTGAGCATGACCACTCCGAGGACTTTTCCGGCAAGATCTCTGGCTCCGGCAACGGCAAATGCCACTGCAAGAAAAGGTATTGTTACGTGACTTACGTCACCATTCAGTCGTTTTAGAACTTCCATAAATAATCAAATGATTTACTTTCAAAATTTTTGACTAACCTAGGAGTAGTAATTAATTAACTAGTTTCAGTACAAAAACAAAATTCTACTTTAATACTTCTTAAACCGGTTCGGATTAGTAGTAGGTAATTAATTGGTTTCAGTTAACAAAGGAATTCCGGTTTACTCTTTTCTAAACCAGTTTGGTACCATCTAAACCAATTGGTCAACGTATGACGTATTAGTAAGTGGAAATTAACTTAAACCAGAATGCACGCTTGAAAGTTGAAAATGATTCGAGTTAGTGGTTGTCGTGTTGTCGTTTTGTATAGGGAAGGTTTAAAGCTCGAAAAGTCTTTGTTTGACCGTTGACTTTACTTAAAACCTGATGCGCATTGTTCACGTTAGCTTAGTAGGCGCACGTTAAATCACTTAATTAAGTTTTGTTAGTTTAGAACGTTTAATTAATTACGGTTGTTTATTTATTACAGTAGGAAAAATCGGATGAAGAAAACCGTGAGAGTCCCCGCGATAAGCGCAAAGATCGCCGATATTCCACCGGACGAGTTTTCATGGAGGAAGTACGGACAAAAACCGATCAAGGGCTCACCACACCCACGGTAACTATCGTACACCCTCGCCATAAGCCTATAAACACCGTTGGTTATATTTGGTTATATTTGGTTAGAGATCTGACGGTTGGTGATTTGTGTTGTATTTCAGGGGTTATTACAAGTGTAGTACGTTTAGAGGGTGTCCAGCGAGGAAACACGTGGAACGAGCATCGGATGATCCAACGATGCTGATTGTGACTTACGAAGGGGAGCACCGTCACCACCAGTCTGCGATGCACGAGAACATGTCTCCGAGTTTGGTATTTGGCTCGGCTTGAATTGTTGAAATTAGGAAAGAGGATTATGAAACTAGTTTGACTTTGTAATATTTTGAGAAATAGAGGGGTTGATTTGTCATGTTTTTTTTCTAAACAAAATTAATTTTAGATTTTAGTCTGTTCAATGGGTTTTATAACTTACTACCGTAAACGAAGTTGACAAAAAAAATCTTACTACAAAAAATGTGTACCTATTTTGACTTATTTCCTTGCAACGTTCAAATGCATATGGTATGTAAATGGTATATAGGCATATTTATTTTAAATACGTTCTTAATGATATGGTTTGTAATTATTAGTTTACTAGACTACTAGTCATGGTCGATTTACTAGATGGTTAGACTTTTTTTATTGGGTTGTTAGTGTAATGTTTGACTAATCTGCGAGATCATATTAGAAAGTCAAATAAAATATTGAACGAGTTGTTGGGGGTATTGGAGAAATGGAGGTTGCATTGAAGCGAATTAAAGCGAATTTGAGGTCAATGGAATCATTATGATGTTGGAAGACAATTAATTTGAGGAATAAGATTATTGGGATAGATATTCCGAATTACTAATGCTTAATACGTGAATATCCACTAACAAACAGTTATTTATAATCAAAATTTTACATATCGAAATCCAGGCTAATTGGTAAAATACATTTTTTCAAAAGTCATATTTACATACTTTTTCATGGACATTTACTTTAGATAATCAACATAAATATGCGTATTATGCGAATCATAATCATGTGAAATTTTAAAAAATTGAAAAAGAAAAAAAATGATTTCAAGATTACACTATACACTCGTCTCCACAATATATTGGGCCAAACCCAAACCCAATTTCATGAAAAAGCTAAACTCTTTAATAATGGGCTTCCACTGGTTTGAGCTGTGGTACAAAATGCAACACCAATAAAATGTTAAGAGTTCACCGAAAAACATAAGCAAACGTTCAATAGTTATTTGAGTAGTGAATTTGCTAAGTAACAAGTTTTAGGGTAATATTTAGTTTTTTAGCAAGTGTATAGATGGCTAGAAGGAACTAGCTAAAGGGTACCGAAATCTGCATGAGAGAGAATTAGTGTCAGAGTTAATGCGCGTGGGGGTGGAGTGTATTAAATACAATTTTTAATATATTTATTTTTTAATTTTCTTCTCACTTTTCAGTCTCTCACCTCTCTTTCACTCTCTTCGTTGATTTTGTACTCTTTCATTTTCATCTTCTCCCATATCAAATTGAAAATCAGATTGATCCATGTAGAATAATACGACCAAAAACTAAATCCAACTTAATCTATGAGCAGTTCGAAGATAAAATCTACGGTGACGTTATTACATATAAATATAGCATGATATCTACTATTATCAGAACATATAATTTCAATATTGCTATCTGTATATATAGCGTAGCATAAATTGCAATAACTAGTAATGTATATGTGTATCGCACAAAATAATAAATAACGAATTAGATAAATATATAGTTTGTTACAAAAATACATAGCATGTTACTTTAACGAAATAGACTTATATATACATATAACTTCAATACTGTTATCTATATATGTAGCATAGCATAAATTGCTAGCATGTTATAAAAATATAGCTTGATATTTATGTACATAGCAATAAAAAAAACAAAAAACTTGAGGTATACCGTATATGCTATTTTAACTTGTTATAAAAACCTGTAAACTTGTTACATGTATTCATAAATCTATTTAGATATATACTATTTTAACTTGTTATAAAAACTTATAACTTGTTACATGTATTCATAATTTCATACATCTATAACAAAAATAAATAAACCAATTGTTCAAAGAATGGCGACCGAAGAACAAATCTTCGAATGTCCGAATCTAAGAACCCTACTCCAGCTCCGACCAAAGCTCTCTTCTTCCTCAATGGCAAATGGATCCTCGAGAGAGGGAAGAGAGAGAGAGAGAAGAGAAGTCGTGGAGAAGAGATTGATAAAAAAGAATTAAAAAAAAATATATATGTGTCTGATGTGTATTCAAGGCGCGTGAGGGTTATTTAGGTAATATTAGTGGCAAATTGTTTTCTCTCTCTTGAATAGGGGTGGGCATTCGGATTATCGGGTCGGGTTCGGATCGGGTATTTCGGGTTTCGGGTATTTCGGTCCTAAGAGAAAAGGATCCGTTCGGATAATTATAAAATTCGGGTCGGGTTCGGTTCGGTTCTCTTCGGATTCGGGTATTACCGGATATACTTTTCGGATCTAAAAATACTTTCGGTTTGGAGTAAGTTCCTTTGTTTTAAACAAAAATTGACCTGATAACCTGTTACTTCAAATGAAATCCGAACAAATAAAAAAACAACCATTCAACTTGATTCAACCTAAGAACAAAATACAAATCATTCTCGTCCAAACACTAAAAACCAGCAACACAAAAGTCATTACCAAAGTGATATCATTCCATAACACAACCAAATGAAAATAAAGAAAGAAATTCAAAGCAATCAAATGAAAAGAAAGAAGAGTGGTGAGTCTCAAAGTCCAAAACGCGTTGTTTCTCCGTGTCCATGTCTCATTGACATCTTTGATTGCCTGTTACAACAGAAACAAATCAAGTCAAAAACACGGCACAATATAGAAACCCAATAACTTAAGTTGTTATTAATCATGTTACCTTTGAACTTTGAGGACCATATCCACTTCTAGTTCTAGTTGGGTCTAGGATACACTGAAAAAGATATATAAAATCAGAATGTTAGGATATAAACATCAATCATGAAATGGAAAACCGTAAAATGAACTTACTTTTCTGGAGTTCATCCTGCAATGTAACATCAGCAAGCATCTCCGTGTTTGAAACAAATGTTTTCTCGCCTAACTTAATCTCAGCCTTCATCCACTGCTCAGTACACATCAAGACCTCAACCATGTAATGAGTTAAACAACTTCGATACGGATCAATGATTCGGCCACTAGTGCTAAAAGCACTTTCAGATGCAACAGAGGACACTTGCATAGCAAGAACATCTCGAGCCATTTCTGATAAAATTGGGAACTTCCCTGCATTTACCTTCCACCAAGATAAGACATCGTACTCTGTTCCAAGCAAAGTATTAGGATTTTCAACTTTGTCACTCAGATAAATATCCAACTCAGACCGTTCATCTTCAACGCCTAAACCACTGATCATATCCTTATAAACTTGATCCATCCTTTCATACCCCTGTTCATCATTCACAAAATCCATGTTCTCAGAGCATGAACCATGGCCACCGGAAGTTGATGCTTGATCCGTCTGTGATGGTGTGACAATGGCCTCCTTCTTAGACCGAGTGCTATACTCAGCAAACAGAGATTTCATAACTTCAGTGACTGAAGTATACATCCATTTAGCTTGTGCAGTATCTTTGCCGTAAAGTCTTTCAAAGCATATCTTAGCAAACTGCATTTTCTTGCTCGGATCAAGGACACTAGCAACAATCAGAAGCCTATTGATGTTCTTCACTCCATCCCAATATTTGTCAAACTTTCCTCTCATGTCGTCAGCCTTTTCACTCAACTCTCTGTCTAAACTATTGCTCAAGTTCATCAGATTCTTCTCTATAGTAACTATCTCAGTATAGCACTTGTAGGAGCTAACCGAATTAGACGCTGAGACGATCAACGTAGAATTGTAGAAGATGATCAGAAACCTTACTAACCTCTCCACTGCATTCCAATCAACTTCAGTAGGCGGACCAATCCTTTTTTGACCATTCTCTTGTTCGAGAAAGTAATCATTGTATAGCCGATCTTCAGCTTCCATTTTATCAAATGCCTTCCTGAACTTAATAGCTTGTAGCAGCATCAAGTATGTTGAGTTCCACCTAGTTTTTATATCCAAAGGCAAACTCCCTCTAGTCACCTTGGCATTATCAGCACGGCTATCAAAAGTGTCGATCCTATTAGTAGACGCCCTCACATACGTCACGGCATTCCTAATGGCACACACATTATCAACTAACTCTAGCAATCCTTCCTTGACAATTAAGTTGATAATATGTGCACAACACCTCATATGCATAAACTCTCCATCTAAAACCAATGCCTCATCGCTCACTAAGCTGAATTGGGTCTGAAACCTCTTTAGGGCAGATGTATTGGCGGTGGCGTTGTCCACCGTGATGGTGAATATCTTCTGTATTCCCCATTCAGCCAAACACTCCATAAGGACTCTTGTTATAGTGGTCCCTTTATGATCCGTGATGTACTTGAACCCGATGATTAGCTTCCTCATTTCCCAATTTGCATCAATGAAATGTGCTGTAATCACCATATAGCTAGCACCTGTTGCTTGAGCCACCCATATGTCAGTAGTAAGTGACACTCGCTGCTTGTTAGCTGCAATCCAAACTTTAAGACCCGCTCTCCTCTCCTCATACATCTTCACAATGTTTCTGGTAGCAGTTCTTCTTGAATGCGGTGTGTAGAGATTAACTCGACTACAGAAGTGTCTCCAAGCCATGCTTTCAATGAAGGCAAGTGGCAATTCTCCTAACACTAGCAACTCATCAGTCGCCACTTTGAAGATATCCTCTGAAACCTTTGCTTCCACCAATCGTCCATCCTTAGTAACAGCTCTCGTATCTGCAGACTTACTTGCTTCAAATGCCAACAACTTCTTGCAGGTTAACATATGCTTCCCCAAGTTAGAAGTCCCTTTGGATGATGCACAACCGTAAACTCTTTTACAATGACGACAAATGCATTTGTCCTTGTCCTCCTCAAGTGGATCAAAATGTTTCCACACTTTAGACCTTTTACCCGCTGTTTTCTTTTCATTGGGTTGACCAGAAGTATCTCCATTTGTCTCCTTCCTTTTCCCTTGATTAGGTGTGGACTGTGTGGTAAAGGTTTCTGCTGTATCTTGAGTTTCACCATCGGGAAATGATGAAGAATCCATCTACAATAAAACAAAATCAGTTAGCATAAATAATAATTCAGATAGATAATACTCAATATCGAACTGATAAATAACAGAAACATGAAGACAATTAGAAAAAAAAACTAAGAAACATAAGCTAATAACCAGAAAAACAAACACAGTTACAGAGAGATAAGACACAATAACGCTAAAAAAAAAAAAACTTAAGAACAAGACAAGACAAAAACAGAAACAAACCGATCAAGAAATAAACATTGTTCAAAAATGTTGATTATTTTAATAACTAGTTACTTGTTCGTGTCTTAAGAACTAAGAACCAAAACCTTAAACTAAGAAGTATTAAATTCACATATTCACTCGAACAAGACAAGACATCAACGTCACATATTAACTCAAACAGATACATCACTTTGAATCTCATCTCATAATTAAGCAAGAAAATAAATCACAAGGGTTAACAAGATTAGTAAGTACAGAGACAGAACGAGAAGAAGATCTAAACTAACTAAGCATAAGAAGACTTGGAATTAAACTAAAAATTATAAGCTAAGCTGAGAAATAAATCCAATAACATCGAGTATCGACAATGCAAACTGAATTGAATCAAAGAAACAAAAGCTAAGTAACTGAACATAAAAACCAGAAACATGACAATACATTTTTCAAAAACAAATTATGAACTCAGGATTCGGAAAGCAAATCAAAGCAGACTTAATCAAAAGAATTAAGAGAAAAGAATTTGAGATCACCTTTGAATGATTTCTTGACGTCTCTGATGGAGGAGACGGATGAGAAAATCGAATGAGGGTTTCCAGATTTTCAGTTTGGGATTTGATATTGAAGATCATGTAAACGAAAATAGCGGGGAATGGAGATAGTGGAATCGAATCGACTAATGCAGGTAAGGGTCAGTTTAGATTGTGCGGATATTTCGGGTACGTTTACGGGTCTCGGGTATTATCGGGTATTACCCGGTACCCGAATGGAGAGAAGAAAAGGATCCAAATGGGTATTTTTCAAAATCGGATCGGATCGGATCGGATATTTTCGGGTAAATATCGGGTCGGATTTTCGGATCCGGATAAAATGCACACCCCTACTTTTGAGCATGAAATCCTCTTGTTAAAAAACTAAATACACCCAAAAAATTGGCTACCCAGTGCAAATTCTCTTATTTATTTTTCTTTTGTCGGCAAACTAAGCAAACGCTGAATCAACCATTTGTTTGTCTCTCTCATCAAATTGACAAATTCTAATAGTTTCATGATTAAGTATTAAAAGATAGGTTTACAAGTCTGAACCATAACAAATAGTAGGTGATTTTGTCGGGACAAAAAAAGAAACAAATAGTGGGTGATTTCGGATTCGTACTTATTAAACATGACTCATCAAAGTAATTAGCTCAATTAATATAAAATCAATCCACATATGGACCATATTCTCATCTTGAACCAGTCAAAGTTCTTGCTTCCGCACTAATCCAGCATTAACACTCTTTCTTCCAAAAATCTTCATTTTAATATATTTTTCTTATCGCTAACGATATTGGTTTTAATTGTACTAAAAGTAAACGGGATAAGGTTTCATTTGTCCACTTGTCCTACTAAACTAATCATTTCAGATACTTTACAATATTTTCAATCTAGTACCTTCCATTTATAAAACATAAAGTAAGCGTACACGAATATTTTTGTATATCTTTTGACTTATTAATGCAAAAAAATCAGCATCTTATTTGCAACCAAAGATGATCCGATCAATTTGATCTGTTCAAGATTTTTTCCTTTTTCCTATATCTCTAAAAATCTCAAAATCATAAAACATGTAAAAATATCATCAGTAATGAATGAAAAAATGGATAAGATCGAGATATGGTGTGATAGCGACCACCGAACTTTCGGTACAACGACAGGATCTGATGAAACGGGAGACAGTAACCGGAAATGTCCAAGAAACAGCCAGTAAAAGGAAGCCACGTCATAAATACCGTGTAAACCGTCAAAGTCGCCGTTAGCGTGCCTCGGACTATTCTACATTTAGAACATGTGCGTGCGTCTGTCTGTCTAACCATTACCTCATAAATAAATTAATACGTATAAATATACGTACATACGTCAGCTCGTATTTATTACGATTTTTTTTTTAATCATGATTATAAATAAGAACGAGAATTGATCCTTTTTCCATCTTTATTCCATTTTTCTCGATCACTGGTGTTTGAGTCTTTGAGAGAGCTTTCCTTTTGGTTTTTCTCTTTCTTCTTCTTCGTCTCGATCGAGAAGAAAAAATTAAATACTCCTTAACCTGCGCCTGTTGAAGGTCTTAACCTGCGCGTGGTTGATGATTTAGAGAAGAGATCGTATCAGGAGAAAATCGGGATAAGGTTAAATGGAGGTTATGGTTGGTTCGCCTTTTGGAATCGGCATGGCGGCGTACGTTAGGGACCGTGGCGGCGTATCGGCGCAGGATAAGGCTGTACCGGCTGCTCTGTTTTTGGGGGATGGATCAAGACGCGATGGATCGCAGATCGGGATCGGATTGAGGGTGAGCAGTAAATCGCCGGAGGAATCATCGGAGGATAGTTCATCGTCGATCGGAGAGAGCAGTGAAAACGAGGAGGAGGAGGAGGAAGACGATGCCGTTTCGTTCCAAGGAGGAGGAGGAGCTCTTGATTCGTTCAGTTCCTCGTTGGAAGACTCTCTGCCGATTAAGTACGTTTCTTCTTTCTTCATCAATCTCTATAATTCAAAAATCAGATTTTGATCATTTGCCCTGAATATGTCTCTCTCAGAACAAAGGTTTGGTTTTGGTTTCATATGACAAACCTGTAAAAAAAGTATCTAAATTTTGTCTTTTACTGTCTTATGCTCTTGATCTTTCATATGTAGTTATGTTATTGTCGGCTTAAGACTCTGATTCTTGTGATTTGGTTAGAACATAGAAATATTCAACAAGTACTTCGCTCCCGTTTTGTCAGTAGAAATGGTGCCACGTTTTAGATCAATCCGAGCAGGCTAAACTCACCTGAAAATCTCCTTGTAAGAAAAATAAAATTAGAGCACTTCGCTTAAAATGTAATATTTGGACTTTTCTGTGATGGTCAAATTGTTCTTATGAGTGTTTAAATTGAGTATTGCAACAAAAGCTTTAGATATACATGTTTGGTCTGAATACTGACGAAGACATATTTGTTTTGTTCAGGAGAGGATTATCAAACCATTACGTGGGGAAATCGAAATCGTTTGGGAATTTAATGGAAGCGAGCAACAGCAACGTCAAGGATCTGGAGAAGGGAGAGAATCCATTCAACAAGAGGAGGAGGTTGCTTATTGCTAATAAGCTAAGGAGGAGAGGAAGGTCTTTATCAGCTTCGAATTTCTACACTTGGCAAAACCCTAATTCCACGCCTTTACTTGCACTCCAAGAAGAGGATCACAGCGGTGATGACTATGAGGAGGGTGGTGATGGTGATGATCAAACAATGAATTTGTTGGAGAGGAGGAAGGTCATGATGATGATGAAGAATAAGAGAGATCTGATGGCTCAGACTCGAAGCTGTTTCTGTCTAAGTAGTTTGCAAGAGGAAGATGATGATGATGATGACGATGATGGTGGTGGTGATGAAGAGTGATCAAATCAGTAAACATGTTTTAATCTGTTCTTCTCTTGTGAATTTGGTTCTTTTTCTCAAGGGAGATTTAAAGAAGTTTCAATGGTGGAAGATTTGATTTGTTAGGAATATTATTACAGTATTAATCTATTCATAGTAGCACCCTTAAGGGAATTTTCCCTAACTACAAAGAACCATCCCTGAGCCACTACGAGGAATAGCCGATTTCACCTAACAAAGTCGCTTGGTTTTGGCTTGGTGATACTTGGAAACTGGTTTGTCTCGCATTGTAGTTGTAGGACTAACTTGAATACAAAGGACTCAGAAGGACATAGCTCTAAAGGAGAACACGAAACCAGTAAATAAACTTGTGAATATGATGGCGTTAGAGGATCAAATGAAACCAGAAAAGGAACATGAGGCTAGAAAGTTAAAGGAGGAGGTCAAAGAAGAAAAGAACGAAGTGAAAGAGGAGAAGACATAAGAAGGTAGTAGAAGAACCAACAAAGGGTACAAATTCTGGTGAAGACGTGCGGATTCAATTCAACTGTCACAAAACTCATCTTTGAAACAAATTTATTTACAAAAATAGTTAAGAGTTTTATAACTTTATCCCCACGAATTTTGTATTTTCTAAATTTACTACAGAACACAGTACAATGTTTTTGGTGAAATAAGAAGAGTACATTTGTTTCACTGTTTCAGTTCAGACATAAAGCACGTGGCAGCTAGCAGGTGAAAACTGAGTACAAGATTGAGGAGACGTAATTATTCTCCACTCAACACTGAACTCCCCGTTTTGCCCCTCACTCACTCTACCCTCCGCCACGTTAAGCCCTCCGGCCACCACGTAAACCCTGTCGTCCGCTCCCGTCACGGCGAAAGGTCGCCGCATCGACTTCCGTGGGAGCTTCTCACCACTCACGAACCTCCACGTGTCGTCTTCGGAGGAATAAACCTTCATCGGGAAATCACCGTGCTCGGAGATCAAGAACAGTCTGTCGCGGATCACGGCGCTTGCACCCGTCCACCCTTCCCTCATCCCACCGCTCATTTCTCGCCACGTGTCTTCATCCGAATCGTACACTTGTCCCACCGGCGGGAACATAAACGGCCAAGCCCATCCTTCCGTCACCAACATCTCCTTCCCGATGACGGCCGAATCGTACTTCGCCAACACCATCGGCAGCTTCTCCGATTCCCTCCACGTGTCACTCTCAGGATCGTACGATTCGACCGCCGTCGTCGTCGTCGCTTCTCCGATCCCGTCTAAGCTCCCACCAACGGCCATGATCTTACCGTCTAAATTCCCGGCGACGAAGTAAGTCCTCGGACTCAACATCGGAGACGCGAACGACCAGCGATTCGTCAAGGCGGTGTAAACGACGGCGGAGCGAGTGGAATCGCCGCCGCCGAGGACGAAGAGTTTCCCTTGACGTGGAATCGACGCGCAGGAGAGCGCGTGAGGAGAGGAGATGTTGGCGAAAGAGTTTGGCATTGGTGGTAAGACAAACCAACGGCCGGATGAAAGATCAAGGGCTTGCCATTGAATCCTGCCCGTTGATTTGTTGAAGGCGAAAACGAAGAGGTAAGGAGAAGAGATTGAGAGAGATTGCTTGGAGAAGAGGAATCTAGGGTTTGTGATTGTTCTGTTCCAGGAAGATGAGACGGAGCGATAGAGAGCATGGTATGGGTAAGGAAGACGAAGAAGACAGAGCTCGGCGATCTCGTTGGGCAAACCTGGAATCAAAGGCTGAGACTTTGTTCTTGTTTGTTCTTGTTGTTGTTGATCGATGGTGTTTGGGTTTGATGTAGTTTCAGAGTTTGCCATTTTTGTTGTTGAGAGAGATTCAGGAAAAGCTGAAATCTTTAAGAAATGTTAATAGAAGGGAAAAAGGCAAATGCAGAGTTGTTTGTTGGTTAACCTCGATATTTTGAAAATTTTCTAATTTTTGATGAATTTTGATCAAACTGAAATACAGAAAAAGATGTAAATCCATGAAAGTGGTTTTGATTGATTGATGAAAAGGTCGCATTCGAATAAATACGACATGGTCGGTGGACGGATGAGAGTCTCGAGAAACTCGTGTTCCACAGTAGTCCACGTATGTGTGTGTGTTAAGAGTCAGACAATAATTGATTGTTTTCTTTTTTATGTCCATTCCTGAGATTACATGCATCTATGTACAGACAATTTGCCACATAGTAGTAATTGTTATAGATATCATAATCGATCCAACAAGTCTTTGTGGTACGAGATAACGGTTACAGAGCAGTGCGGTTAGAAGCGGTAAATACATAACGGTTACAATGTTACCAAAATAAAAAATTTAAAGTCTAGTTATGAGCATCTTTGGTTGTTCGAACTTTTGAGTCCCATGGAGGAGGCTTTTATTTGTTCTTAAACATGTTTCTGGTATGACGTGTGACTGATTACAAGTCGAGAAAGACATTGAAGTTTCAGACATCAAGCAATCTCAATACTCCTGTCTCTTCAGGCCTGTACCCTGATTCAGGGAAAAATTTGGGGATCTCTGCTTTCTTAGCAGATGAAGATCAATTTTGCGTGGTTTACAACTTTGATGTGTTCTTTGTGAGCTGCTTTTGTCTGTTACTCTACAATTAACATCTTATCTAAGAAAAAAAACCAAAACTGGTGCTCAAGATAATGCCATTAACACAGTAGACTTGTGTTTATTTCCGTAGCTTGAATGCTCCTGCAGAATTTCGCCAGAGCTCAATACGATCCAAAACCAGATAATGAGCTCAAAGACGAGGTGAAGTTAAAGACCATCATGAACAGATCCTCCCCATTAGCAGGAACAGCTTTGACCAACACCAAGACATTAACAACATCTCATATATGAAATTCATCTATTGATTCATTTGTTAGATCTTGTGAATTATAACACAGCACAATACGGTACCTGATATCTTCTCGTTTGGTCTAGGTGGCAATTTAAGCAAGTTGAGAAGCTTATTCATGATGGCACAAGTACAAAGAATACAACAGCTCACACAAGTAACAATGTTCAATAAGGACTCACCAGAAAAATTGCCCGCTTCATCAGTCAAAACATGTATTGTAGCAACTTCTCTTCCAACGAGTGAGACTTGCCTAAAGATGATTGAAGCTCTTCTGCGCTGAGATCTTTTAACATTGACTTACAGGACAAACATGTTCTAACTAACAAGAACAAAGGGACAAGCAATAGATAGTACACAAGCACCAGTAGAAAGCAAAAGAAACAAGGCCTTTCATTTGCGGACGTTGAAAAAATTGGGAAATTTCCAATGAAATGAGAAAAAATGTCAAATTTGTTATTAAGATGTGATGAATTCTAAACAATGCTAAAGACTACGTTACATACAGATCAAACTGCAGCTATTACATGATTGACATTGTACCTTTGCCCCCAAACTTAAAAAAAAGCACACTATCTCTGCCAAAACTGTCTCCCCAATTCCCTTTTATTGGCCTCAGATTTACAAACTATTCTCGCAACTCTTTGAGATTGCCAAATCACTCCTAATCTTACAACATGACAACCATCACCAACGCATCTTTTATACGGTTCTTTGTGATAAGTTGCATTTTTGAAATAATCTACTAACCTGCTCTGAGTCTGCTGCTCCAGGATCATAATGATGCTCAAAACTTCATCTCTTTCGTGTCCATCGTAGAACTTCACATTAGAAATCTTTTTGCTACTGCTCCGAAGATTTCTTTCACACATCAAATTCTTCCTCCTCGAAAGACCGCATGGAGATTCTCTCTCGCATAATTGGCCAGTCCTCACCAAGCTGCTGTGGATTTAACTCCATGGCGATTCTAAAATCAAGCAGAGACACAGTACGATGATGGTCTCGTGCTATGTCAGAAGGTCCATTGTTACTAGGCCACACCCCATTTACAATCTTGTTTTGACTCTGCTGTTTCCAGGGGTCTCCATTAGTGGACCGAGCTCCAACCAAATCAGTGCAAGATTTGATCAGCTTCTTCAAATACACATCCAACATGCTATTCAACGTGTTGGCACACTCCATCGAAACCCCTCCAAGACCCTGCGCTACTGCAATGTTCTCCATCCTCTTCCTCAGCATCTCCACGTCTTGCAATCCACCACTGTCGTAGCAACTAATTACATCACCACCGGTTGAAACAGGAACCGTTCTACGGATTGGAATCCCTAGAGGTGCAACCAGAGGACTCGCTGACAGATTTGGCCTATCTTGCTGCTCTTCTTGATTTTCATCATCATCATTATTTGGTATTCTAGGTTTCTCAACAGGACGAAGAAACTCGCCATCTCTTTCATCAGCAGCAACATATCTCCCTGATCTCTGATGATGATGAGCCAAATCACCGTTCTCCATACCAACACTAGCTCTATTGTCATCTCTACAAATCGGCTGATGCTGCAACATATGTTCCACCTTCCCATTTGACGCTGGCCTATCTCTGATCTTCCTGTCGCGTATTCCAGACCTGACTTTCCGCGGAGAGATTGGCAAGACACCGTTAGACCAAGCATGATCCTTCTGAGTATGGTTAGGGACTAAAGATCCAGCACCATTCGCCAATGGTTTGGCCACTTCTTGAACTGGCGGTGGCGGTGGGGACTTGGCGGCAGTTGCGTTTCTCAAGATCGAACGGATCAACTGGTTGTGTAGAGAGAGATTCTCCCTCCCTAACAGCCTCAAGCAAGTCTTATCAAACTCGCTCTTAGTAAGCTTCTGACTCAGAAACCTGCTCAGGTAATAAAAATACCTTCTTGATCTCTCAGCTCCAATCTTCTTCACTATATGTGCTTTCAATTCACCAAGATTAATCCTTTGATCTTGAGAACGTTGCATGATGATAAAAATCGGATTTTTTTTCTAAATGTAACAGTGTTGAGAGTGCACAGAAACACACTCTCTCTCAACTTCTATGTGTTCTTCACACAAACAAATCTAACTCGTTCCAATGTAAATTGATTTCGATACATGCTCATTGAAATTGAAGCTCTTCTCTTGCGAATCCCAAATCCAAATCTGATTTCACCACAACCAAAACCCTAGAGATCATATCCACAAGCCAGTTCACAGAAAAGCCCTCAAATTTCCAACCTTTGCTGATTCAGTATCAGTATCAATTTAAAAACCCTAGCTTTTTTGGGTCACCGAATCATACCCTCTCGAGGAAGAAAACAGGCGCAACGAGCCTCTCGCAGACTTCAATAAAACTGCATCAGCAAAGAGAGACCCAACATTGTCACGACTAAATTAGAAGCTAAAAACTTAAAATTTGATTAGAGTGAATCGAGATCAGTGAGTTTGAAAAAGATCCAAGCTTTGGGAACAGAGCAAAAGAGAGCGAATTGGGTAGAGAAATGGTGAAATTCGGATTGGAGAAGGAGAGAGAGAGGCAATGAGGAGGGAGAGAGAAGCTTGTAAGCAGGAAAAACAAGTGTTAGATATTGAATTCGCGACCTAAGTGAAGCAACAGAATTGACCAGAATTTCAGACAAATAACACAGAACAAGTAACTTCCGACACCAACCTGATGATTCTTCGCTTTTGTCACTAGTATATGTGGTTCGATTCTGTGACCCCCCGAAATCTTGGATTCCTTCGTGGCTTTTAACGAATTGTCATCGGATTTGAATGTCTGAGCTTTTCGCTCTTCTGTGTTAAAAAGCTTCGATCGCTGCTTATTGGGTTTCGTTTTCCTTTTTTTCTGTCTTAATTTGTGTTTTTTTTTTCTTTGGTGTTCTCTTTCTCTCTCTGCAAACGTGTTGTTTTTCATCATTCTTATTAATCATAATAATAATTTTTATTATTTAGATCATGTTAAAAAAATTATGAATTCGTGTGAAAAAAATATGCACCACATTTTAAAGTTTTTAACATTTGATAGATCATGCTGATAAAACAATAAAATTGTAAAAATCATAATATATTGATATTGTTAGCTATTTAGTTAATTTGTTATCAAGTATCAACATTAACTAAAAACTTGCTAAATGGAAATAGAAGTTTCAATATAAAAAACTAACAACTAACTCAAAATATTTTTTTTAAAAAAAACAACTAACTCAAAATAATACTATGAGTTCATGTGCAGGAAACAATCGTCAATTATATGTAGAAGAGATCGAGGATTTCCAGTAGCCACATATGGGACTAATATATAAGCTGGTTGCAGACAGAGCCACTTCTTTAATGAATTCAAGTAGCTTAGAAGAAAAATGATGCAACCTATAGGAGTTAGATTGATATATATGTTTCAAAACTTAGAATAAAATCATTCATTGATCAGACCATGCAAGTGGAAGCAGATAAATAAAGAATCAGCTCTATCTTCTAGATGGACCACCTAGGCTAGACCTGAAACATTGGTACATCTCGCTAATGTGCAACACAATCAAATGGATTGCATTCTCTTCACATTGGTCTTTCAAACAACAACATTTTTTTGTAGAAAGAAATAAATGCGTCTATGCATCAACAATGTTGGACAACATATCAACAACTCACAAAATCTATCAACAAGTTAGTTTGTATGACAATTTTATCTCTAGGTTATAAGGTTTCATACAGTTTGAAGGTCACACTGATTCGAAGTTGTTTTATTCCTCTTTATTCTTTGTAGGCTTTTTCAATTTGTCCAAATTATTAGTTTTAAATACACATTCCAAATTTTTTTTATCAACCAATTTGAAACTCCATTAAAAAGAAAATGCATCATTTATATTATTGACTTGAACAATGTAATAATATGTTTGACATAATAAGTTGTTTGACATAGGATTGACAATATATAAATATTTCGTTTGGTGAAAATATTGTTATTATAATAGTTTTAGTGTATGCATGTGACATCATAATAAGTTGTTTGATGTAGAAATGATAACATATTATATTTTATTTGATAAAAATATTATTATTATAATAGTTTTTTGATGACTTTGTTACTTGTTTTTGCTCGAATGTAGCATTTTATAATAAAGTGGGTTCAACCTCTCGAAAGAGAGGGAGGATTACAAGATAATAAACTGGATTTCGCCAGTAAATCAGCCTCAGAGTTCTGAGCTCAAGGAAAGCTCAAGGAATGAAGTGAAACACAGTTGACAAGAAGGAGCCTATTAGACACTTGAGAGTTGAGATCCAACAAAGGACCTATAGTTTCTTTCGGATGACCACCCGGAGTTAAAAAGAAAGACGATCTGAAAAAAACATGTTAAACTTGATATATCAGCAGCTCTCGTATCAATGAGAGCAAGCTTGATTGCAATGGCTTCAGCAGCTAAGGCTGAATGACTTTGTTACTAACATGATACATATACACTGGTATATGCTAATTAGATATATTATAAATCAAATTTAAAATTTATATAATTACTGCAATAGTTAGACGTATTGTTCACTTTGAATTATCAATAAAAATTCATTATTCTCTAATTATATCATCAAGTTTATTGTTGTCGATACCTATCTAATAACATATGTTGCTCTTAAGCATTTTGTTATAGAGAGTTATTTTTTTTTTTGTATTTGTTTCCGAAGCAGTTTATCTTGTGATTAATCATTTGTTCCTTCATAAATTTGATTCATCAAAATACAGTAGGAAGTAAAACTAAGAAAGTGATTTTGAGGAATTGTAAGACTAAGACCTGTCCAACGTCTTTATAAAAAAAAAAAAAAAAGAAAACTTGTCCAACGTTGTTTTTGTTTGTTAAACCAAACTAATCACAATCTAACTTAGACTGTGTAATGTTGTTGAATCGTGTCAATGTCAAGTCCTTTAAACTTCACCACTGACTCTACTTGTCCTTTCAATGTGTTTACCTCTCTCAGCCTGCATATATCATCAAACCTCACATCTCATTTATGATTATAAAAAATTTGAATTGATGGTACGAAGAGAACAGAGAAAAATGAAAAATGTTCTAGATTTTACCTGGCAACTTCAGCTCGGCGTTTGGCCTGTTCAGCGATCTCAGAGAGCTCACTGTAACAGTTCTTTTCATTGAAGATGTTGTTTCTCTCAGGTGGTTGAAGTCCATGGAGTGTTCTTTGTGCTGCAGCCCATTGAGCTTCTCTTTCCTCTTTACCATAGTCTTTCTTCATCGTGAAGGCAGTCTTGTTCTCAAGAAGGTTTAACCAAGCTTTGCCACTCAATACGTAGCGGATCGCAAACTTGAGCAAGTCGAGAGGGATGTACGTTACGAGACTGTATAACCAGACCACTCCAGCCCATCCCCAACCGGCTCCTTCTATTCGCGCAAAACTCCAGTTCGCATAAACCGCTATGAACGTCGCCACCTGAGATTGCATAAACCGCTATGAACTTCTTGTTCTGTTTCTGTGTAGAGAGTTCAAAGGGAAAGCATGTGTTACATATACACATACCAGTTGCGCTATAATGAATGCACCAAGTAAGAGAAGACCAGGGCGTTCGACGTAGGACCAGCTACGGGATCTGGTGACGAAGATGAGAGACTGACTTATGATGCTAACTTGTAGATACAGAGCAGCCATCATTTGTTCAGGACGATGGCTTAATGGTCTCACACCAAACTTGTTCTACAAAAACCACAAAAGAGTTGACCTTTTGAAATGGTTTAGAGAAGTAAAACTGAGAATAAGAGTATATATACCGAGAAAATATCAGTGTCTTTCATCGCCCAGAAGAAAACGACAGTCATCAAAGCCTGGTAGCCTCCGAACACAACGCCGGTAGAGAAAATTTCTATGAGTTTCCAGCTATCTGGCTGTGGAGATGGCTTCATTCTGTCTTTCGATATTGTCATTATTGTTCCTATAAGTGGCAATGCTTTTTGTTAGTTATATCGATTGTTAACCATTAGAAGAAGTTAATAATACTCTATAATGTGACCTCACCGTCATTTAAGATTGCCATTATCAGGACCATGAAAGGTGAGAAGTCAAACTCCCATAATAGAGCAATGAACATGAAGCCAAACTGCAGACATTGTGATAACTTTAGGTTAGGATCGAAATCATTATAAACCAAAAGAAATCTCCTGAGGTCTACTTAGTACACTTACCACAATACGTATCGTGATGGAAACCGCATAAATCTACACAGAAAGACAATGTCAAGATTGGAGTTAATGAGTCTGTGAATGGACGGCAGTTTTCAGAATTTAAGTTTGTAACTTACAGTGTAGTTTTTCATTCTTTGGAATATAGCTCTACTGGTGAGCACTGCACCGATGATAACGCTCAATCCGGATTCTGTGAGAACGATATCAGACGCGTCTCTCGCAGCATCAGTAGCATCAGCCACAGCTATACCAATATCTGCCTTCTTGAGAGCTGAGGCATCATTCACACCATCTCCAGTCATACCACACACATGCTTCATTTGTTGCAGCCTACTAACAATCTCATACCTATGCTCTACGATAATTCATCCAGCGGAGAATCCATCAGTAAGAATCTGGACATGTATAAGAACTTATGGATAAAGATATAACCTTTTGTTAAAGTATGTATACCTGGAAAAACCCCAGCAAATCCATCAGCCGTCTCGATCAGTTCATCAACAGGAATTGCACCCAAGGAAGAGTCTTTCTCTTGTCCGAGCAGTGCAGAAGACAGATACATGTTCGTACCCATTCCAAGCCTGCGACCAGTTTCTTTCGCAATCGCAAGCTGATCCCCTGATTTCATTGAGAAGGGCACAATAGTTTCAAGCAAAATGAAGTGCAGAGTGACAATGATCAACTCAGAGGAGTTGTGTGATTCTTACCGGTTATCATCTTAACATTAACACCGAGGTTCAAAGCCCTCCTGATTGTCTCAGCACTGTCATGCCTCGGAGGATCAAACAGAGGTAAAAGACCTACAAGCTGCCATGGACCTCCAGAAGCATCTTTCTTCTTCTCAGGAACTTCCTGCACCAATGAAGTCGATATGAAACACATATTAATTCTCGATATTTACTATATAATACATAGTAAACGAGAAAAGAACCTGTCTTGCAACAGCCAAAGATCTCAGTCCACGCTCACCAAACTTATTAATCACTCCATGAGCTTTCCTCCTAACATCTTCCTCGCAATTGCAGAGGTTTAGTATCTGTTAACAAAAGTCAAAAGAAAGATCATTCAGATCACCAACAAGCATTCCTGTTACTTAACCAACATATCAAACATCGAAAACCTGCTCTGGAGCTCCTTTGCTAGCTCGGTGCCAACTTCCATCAGAGTCTACATACGTCAAAGCGGTTCTCTTATCAACCGGGTTAAAAGGAAGGAAATGGACCTCTCTGACACCAGCTCGAGCCTCTTTAGGATCAGCAAGCATTCCAACAATGGCTGCATCAATCGCATCTTGATTCTCAATCCTCGAGGCTCTCGCAGCCAAAAGGATAACATGTTCTTTATCAACACCTTTCGCAAAAACCTCCACTAAGTTTCTATCAACCGTAAGCTTATTCAGAGTCATCGTTCCGGTTTTATCACTACAGAGAACATCCATACCGGCCATTTCTTCGATCGCAGTCATCCTCTTCGTGATAGCTCCTTGGAGAGACAATCTATGAGACCCAATCGCCATCGTAACAGATAACACAGTAGGCATCGCAATTGGAATCCCTCCGATCAACAAAACGAGAATATTATCGATTCCGTCACGGTACTTACGGTGTTGTATCGGAAACATCACGATGAGCTCGATTGTGATTCCTAGGGCGATCGAGCAGATGCAGAAATTCCCAATCGCGGTGAGGACTCTCTGGAAATGGCCGACTTGGTTTGTGCTGTCGACGAGATGAGCAGCTTTGCCGAAGAATGTGTGGACTCCGGTGGCGATGACGATTGCTTCGATCTCGCCTTGTTTGCAGGTTGAGCCGGAGAAGATTTCATCGCCGGGGTACTTGGTGATGGGAATCGATTCGCCGGTGAGAGCGGACTGATCGACTTTGAGAGGATCGCCGTCGAGTAAACGAGCGTCGGCGGGAATAATGTCGCCGAGTTTGACGCTGATAACATCTCCGGGAACGAGAATCGATGCCTCTTGCTCGCTCCATCGATCATCTCTTAGCACCTTCACTCATACCAAAACATCATTTTGCGAATTCGCGTGTAATTAGTCTAAAATTACCACTTAACACAGTGCAAGTGTAACGTTCAATAGCGAAACAAATTTGAATATTTTTGTGAATTTTCATAATTATATAGTTTGATACTTTGTTTGTATTAGTTTGTGGAAACAATAAAGCATTTTAAGTAACTGGTTTAACCTGAGTTTTAGGGGCTAAGCCGGCCATGAGAGCGGCTGCAGCATTACCGGCATTGTATTCTTCAATTAAACTAATGGTTGAGTTGATGAATAGCAAACACACAATCCCAACAAAGTCTTGCCAGTCCGGTGGCCGTCCTCCTCCGTTCGCCACAACGATCGCCACCAGAGCCGCCACCTCCATCACCCACGACAATGGGTTCCACATGAACCCTACAAACTTTAAAATCTTGCTTTCCTGCATGAAATGTTACCCAATTAAAAACATTAAAAGTGTTTTGTTAAATTCTTATTTTGAACTAAGAAAATAAAAAAATAAGAAGAAAGCTTACCATCTTCTCTTCGAGCTTGTTGGGACCAAAGAGGTCGAGACGGTAAGAAGCTTCATCTGACGTAAGACCTTGCTTTGTACATTTCAGCTCCTCGAACACTTCCTCCATGGGTATTCGAACCTGTACCCATCATTTATCATCTTTTGCGTTTTAAAAAAAAACTTTTAAAAGTTCGTAATCATACACAAGTAACTCGTATGGGACAAAATATAACAGATTGCATTTAGAACATATATAGCTGCATCTAGTTGGATTTTTAAGGCAGATTAGAATACAACTGTATACTTTATTCGAATTTGATCATACACATATATATCGTAATATCTCATAAGAAAAAAAAACTTAATTATGAGATACATGTATTTACCAAATCAACGGATTCATTCTTGATGTGGTCGAGTCCGGTGCCTTTACCGGAGGTGGCCGCCATAGTGAAGACGGAAAGAAAGAGAGTGAAGAAGAAGAAGATTTAAAGGAAAAAAAGGGTTTAGGTTTTATAGTTATGAGGCGAAAACGAAAATGGAGAAATAAGAGAACATTTGGTATTTAACTATCTCTAGTGTATGAGGATCAATGAGTATGTTTGGTAATAAAACTTCAAAGACGTAACGAAAATGTGAAATGTGGAATTGGGGCTTATGTGAGGGAGGTTTGTTTGTGTGTGCACTTTTGGAAATTATAGATCAGTTCACGAGTTCGCTTCTTTTCCCTTTCCAATTTACGTGTTTTTTTAATTTTATTTTGTATTTTTTGTTCGTACATAACTTTTGAGTTCTGAAAATGCCATAATATATGTGAATTTTGTAAACTATTCTCTTGAATAAGTACTGGTGAATGAAGTATGAACTATGTGTTTTTTTTGACAGAAAAATATGTATGTGTTGGGTTGAAAAATAGGACTAAAAATAATGTTAGAAGTTGTAGACGAAGATGAACACCCAAAGGAGCAACTTGTGAACGAAACAACTTTATTTTTCTCTGTCTCTTCTTTTAATTTCCTGCTTACACATTTTGCGTGAGAATCCTCTCTCTCACGCACCCATACAAACTTTTTCGTTTAAAGATCAGAAGATACAAAATTTATCGAATTTTTGCTGAAGACAGCCAACAAAGAAACCCCAATTATAAAGAGATATATTGTTTAAGTTAAAATAACTTGGTAGATTGTAGATATGCATGTTATAGACGTAACCTCTTAATTTTAAACTTTATGTATACAACATTTTATCAGTTGCAGTCATAAGTATATTTGTATAATCTTATCTCAAGTTCCATGGGGTTAGAGATACTGTAATCGATTCTCATGAGTCATGATCATGGAAATAGAGATGCCTTTGATACGGTTATGACTTAGGAATTAATGGATGCGAAAAAACTTATGGAAGACTAATAAGTATTGGCTTTGACCTATGTGTATGTTCATTTGATCCACTTAATAATATAAAACCTTTTTGGTCCCATCCGTATATGATCTAATAAATGATGATGTGAGGAAATATAGGTTCGACTGATAAAATAAATTCACGAGGATCAAACTCTTCTTTGCCATGTGAACAACAAAGAAAAGGCAACGGATACTCGTGGATCGTGGCAATGCAATGCCATGTGGAAACATCAAATGTCTTTATATTTTGGGGTTCAGTGTTTAAGTACTCTTCTTCTTTTTATTTTTGTATGATTAAGAAGTTCATGTTCTACTGATTCGAACCTCTAATCTGCCACATGATGGAATACCTTAGATTTGTATTTCTCCATTGCAATAATATACATTGGGCCCAATAAGCAGATGAACCTTCTTCATTTGGGCCGAAATTAAATCCGAGCGGGTCTTGACCCGACCCATATCACATCATCGCTTACGCAAACACACAACTTTGGGATTAACCTTGTTCCACCTCCGACCTACGAGCCGTCGTCGCCTCATATATAAACCTCAAGCTCATTTTTTTTCTCAGGAAAATTCTGATTTTTCCTCTTCGTTTTCAATCTATCTCAGAGAGAGAGAGATGTCAGGTTTAGCATGTAATTCGTGTAACAAGGAATTCGAAGACGACGCTGAGCAGAAGCTCCACTACAAATCCGAATGGCACCGTTACAATCTCAAGCGCAAAGTAAGTGAAATCTCTACTCTTTCAGCTTTCGTTTCCTTATTTTCACCCTAATTTCGATTTCTTCGTTTGTTTGTTATCTATGAACCCCATATTGTAGCTTTATTAGTTTTGATATGCTTATGTAGACTCTGATTGTGATGAAGTTTTAGTCTTTTGATTTATCGAAGAGGAACGAAGAATTAGACTTTACTGTTGTAAATGTTAGATTGCTGGTGTTCCTGGAGTTACAGAATCACTGTTTGAAGCTCGTCAAGCTGCAATTGCTAATGAGAAGATCAAAGCTAAAGAAGCACCTATGCTTTACAGTTGCGGAATCTGTGATAAAAGTTACAGAAGCTCCAAGGCTCATGAGGAGCATCTCAAGGCAAAGAGCCACATTTCCAAGGCTTCTTCACAAGGTGTAAGCAACGGAGAGGAGGATAAAGCGATACTTAAGAAGCTTCCTCCTCGTGTTCGTGTTGAGAAGAACGACCCTGCCCTGCTAAAAGGCTCAATTGAGGAGGAGAGTGAGGAGAGTGAAGATGAATGGGTTGAGATGGGTTCGGATGAGGAGCTGAATGACGATGAAGATATGGATGAGAATGAGTCTGGTTCTGGTGAAGAAGATATGGATGAGGATGAGATCGAGTTTGAGTTGGACCCGACTTGCTGTTTGATGTGTGATAGGAAGCATAAGACGATTGAGAAGTGTATGGTTCATATGCATAAGCACCATGGATTCTTCATTCCTGATATCGAGTACCTTAAGGATCCGAAAGGGTTTTTGACCTACGTCGGTCTAAAGGTTTGTAGTCTTCACTTTAGCCCTCGTTGTTCACGGTCTTAGGATCTTTGTTTACATGGTTGTTGCTGTTGTTGCAGGTCAAGAGGGACTTCATGTGTCTGTACTGCAATGAATTGTGCCATGCTTTCACAAGTCTGGAAGCTGTTAGAAAGCATATGGAAGCTAAAAGTCATTGCAAAGTGCATTACGGTGATGGTGATGATGAAGAAGATGGAGAGCTAGAAGAGTTTTATGACTACAGCAGCAGGTCTCTATTCTTCTTTGTTTTGGTATCCTGATTACCAAATCTTGCTTAACTTTTGCTTGAGCTGTTGTTTCTTGTGAATGTACAGCTATGCCAATGAAGGCGACAATCAGATGGTTGTGTCCGGCGAATCAGATAACACCGTGGAGCTCTTTGGTGGGTCTGAGCTCGTGATCACCAAGAGAACAGAGAACAAAGTAACGTCTAGGACTCTCGGGTCTCGAGAGTTCATGCGCTACTACAAACAGAAGCCACCTCCATCTTCTCAGAGGAACATCGTCAACTCTCTAGCCATGAGGTTTGTCTTTGAGAATCTCTCTTACCTTCTCTCTAGAATCAGCACTGCGTAATCTGACTTTGAATGGATCTTAAATGTATAGGTACAAGAGCATGGGACTAGCGACGGTGCAGTCTAAGGAGAACATAGTGAGGATGAAGGTGATGAGAGAGATGAACAAACGAGGAGCGAGATCGCGTGTTAAGCTCGGAATGAAGAGCAACGTCATCAGAAATCTGCCCAACAACGTCACGTATTAGTCTCTCTCAAAACTATTTCTGTTTGATTCTGTAACGGAACCTTTGTATTGTAAGATCACAAAAACCAGAGAGTTTGATAAAACTTGTTGTCTTGGTGAGTGAGTAAAGAGAACCTATATGAGAGCTTTACATGGTTTTTAAGGTCTCTCGCCTGTTATTTTTGTCCACTGTGGCTCGATTTTGTCCGGTTTAGTCTTGAAAATCTATCCTTTTGAGCAAGACTTTGCATCTCTGTTTTGGTAACTACAGTCTGCAGTAATCAATGATCTATGCTTCTTGAAATTTGACTTGTACATTTAACTCTTCTTAATGTTGTGATTATGACCAAAAACCAAAGTTCTCAAAAGAAACCAAAAACAGTAAATTAGGACCAGAGAAAGAACAAGAAAGCAAGTGAAGAGTGTCTCTAGGAAAGTCTATCAACTGTTGTCGGCTTGAGGGGCGAAGGATCAGAAACAGCCACCGCGGAAGAAGGTGGCGGGAGAGGGATTCGATACAGCCACCGCGGAAGAGCAAACGTTGAAAAAAATGATTCCGAGAGGAATCCGATTGTGTCCATCTCTCCTCCATCGCATCCAACAAAACTCATAGTCTCACCGTCTCTGCTACGTTCCTCCGGCTCATTATGAATCCTAGTTTTCCTATTGCGTAAGTTAAAAGATGCCAAAGATTCACACATTGGGCTCCACAGATACACTGTATTACCATCAAAAGGGTTCATCATCACCGGAAAATCCAGAAAACCTCGAGAAGATTCAGATACTAGTTGCCATCCAAGGGTCTTTAGCTTCCATACACATAACTTATGCTCCACGCCACCTTCATCTTTTTTTCGAGAGATTATGTTCATATACATGAGATCTCCTTGAGAAGTTGTGCAAGATCTTCCGAAATGTGGTTTTTTATCTGAGTCAGGGAAAGGTATAACCTGGTGTTGAAGATCAGAATCGTAGAAATCGATAGACACAACAACTTCTTGCTCCTCAAGATTGTGACCATGCCAATGAAGATTTCTGTTCAAGCAAACTGGATCTAAAAAGCTCAGTGAGACTAAAGGTAGATGATATTGGACAATGTTGGTACTCCACAAGCCTGTCTCTGATGAATAAATGATGAAAGTAAGGATACATTCGTTGTTGCTGTAGTAGGTTCTCTGAACAAGAACAACTTTGTAACCAGAAACGACGGCGTTTTCCATCCGCGTGACGAGCGCTGCTTTCTCGAAAGACCCTTCTTTTGTAAGCGATAGAAGAGATTCAGGGAGAGGAGGGAGTTTGATGCATTGTCGTGAAACCGGATTAGCTACGTAATAGGTTCGTTTCTTAGGGTTCGATTTCACAAAGATCAAAATCAATCCGACTTCGGTGTAAGCCAATACTTTAACTTTGTCATGTCTAGGTTTATCTGTGTTGAATCTCGCGGCTATGAAAGAGGAGACGTAAGAGCCAAGCGATCGTGGAAGTCCCCATATTTTGCATCCGTAATGAGCAACGACTTCTTTAGGTGGTGAAGATTTGGACTGCATGAGAGACCATGAAGGATGCGAGTTTTGATGATGAGACAGAAAAAGCTCGCGGAAAAACGGAGATTCCATGATTGTTTTCCATTGCTTGCAGACCAATTTGGAAGTGGCGATGCTCTTGAGAGGTAACCTCGTAAGTATGATCGTCAAGATATCACCCGTGAAATCCATTATCTTCCTCATCTTTTCTCTGTCTCAATGGCGGCGATTTTGCTTATAACTAAGAAAGGATGTAGAAAGATCTAGTTATGATATAAATCATATAATTAGTAAATATTGTATATTTATTATATAGGTTATTTACATATTTGTATCTAATCCTAACCGAGTTATGGTTATCAAAAAGATATGGAAAAGTCAAAAAGTGTTTCGTATTAGAAAAGTCAATTCTGCATGCCGGTCTCTGTACGAGAGAATGAAAAGTCTAGGTCAAAACGTTCCTGAGCTCATCATTCTTCCTGTTTACAGTGCCCTTACTAGTCAAACGCAGTCTATAATATTCCATCCTCCCCGTCCTGGTACAAGGAGAGTGGTTGTAGCGACAGATATTCCAGAAGCTTGTTTGACAATACATGGGATATATTATGTTGTTGATCCAGGGTTTGTAAAGCAGAAGGCGTATGACGCAAGGCAAAGGCTAGAGTCGCTAGTCATTACTCCAATCTCACAGGCATCAGCGAGGCAGAGAGCTGGACGTGCTGGTCGTACTGGTCCTGGTGGTAAGTGTTACCGTCTCTACACAGAGAGCGCATACCGTAACGAGATGCCTCCTACGACAACCCCTGAAATCCAGAGGGTTAATCTCGGAATGACAACGCTGACCATCAAGTGAGATACCTTTCGTGTGTATCACGCAAACTCATCAAATGTACTCTTTTCACCCTTGCTTTATGTATTCAATGTTTTTTTAAAAAAAGAAGTGAAAACACATATCGATTCGGGTGAAAACCAACGAAATAATTTTTTAATGGGATTTTTTTCATTACTTAAAACAGTTTCTTTGGCAATCAAAATGATCTAGTAAACCAAAAATCGTAGAAGACATTCACCTTCTTTGAACACAAAACCAGAACCGTTGCATTGTTTCTGAAACGAGAAACCGGCAAGTTCACTATCAATCATCCCCTGCATCTCATTACGGTATGCGCTCTCTAGTTCTCTATTATAAACTGTATGTATGTATGTACCTTAATCATTATTCTTCTGAGTATAATAAATAATAATCTTTCCATCATAAGCTCTATCTTTATAAATGTAAATAGTTTACTGGGAAAAGGAAACCGCTTTCCCTAATTTTCTTGTAAATTTTATAGATTGGTTAAGAAAAAAGTTGAGAAAATTTAAACTTTTTTTTTTGCTAATTGAGAAAATTGTATTTTGAACGTAATAAACCTCATAAATTATTACACTCATATTCTAAACTTCCAAAGCAATTGTACTTACACATTAAACTCCCAATTTAGCTATCTAGTTTGCAGTTTTGCACCACCAAAGAAAGTTGTTTAAAATGCAATTTTTTTTCAAAAACATTTATAGCTAGTAAGTTAACCTAGGTTAGGTTAGGAATTCTCAAATATTTTCTAGAAATTTACTTAAAGCAACCATGGTTTCTTGGCGCGTGGTTATTATAATCTGTGGCAGACTTTCAGTGTTCTAAGTTCTAACTTGGGATTTAACTATAGCAATAACGCAAGAACAACGCTCCAAGTGTAAGTAGAATACGTTGGAACAAGCTTGAAGATGGGCGGTTTTAGATGACTACTAAATACTAATTGTATCTTCTAGTGTTTTGCCCCCTGTTGCTTCCTTTCCCTTCTTGTCTGCTCAAATCGTTGTATTCACAAACGTCGTCTCTGTTGGAGAAGGCGGAAAAGGAAATAAAGATGGGAATTAAAAAACAAAAAACAAAAAAAAAGCTTGAAGAAAACTTGAGATGGAAAGTTTCCAAATCCTAACCGAGTAATGGTTATCAAAAGGATATGGAAAAGTGTTGTATTAGGATTAGGAATAATGTTCTCTTATATAAGGAGGTGTCTAGTTCTGACATAGTTTGAGAGATTGAGAGATTAATCTTACGCAATAAAGAGAGTCATCCTTTATCAATCTTTGAGTTCTTTTATTTTGTGTCTTACGATTCTATAATTGGACGAAGGTGAGATGCTTTATCAAGAGGAGGATGCTTTTGGACAGAGATCAAAGCTCTCTATGCAGGAGCAAAGGGAGAGCCTTCCTATATACAAGCTGAAAAAGGAGTTGATACAGGCTGTGCATGATAACCAAGTTCTGGTGGTCATTGGTGAGACTGGGTCTGGTAAGACGACACAGATGACTCAGTATCTTGCCGAATCAGGTTACACCACAAAAGGAAAGATTGGGTGTACTCAGCCTCGTAGGGTCGCCGCGATGTCTGTTGCCAAGAGAGTAGCTGAGGAGTTTGGTTGTCGTTTGGGAGAGGAGGTAGGGTATGCGATTCGGTTTGAGGATTGTACTGGACCAGAACGGTGATCAAGTACATGACTGATGGTATGCTTCTTAGGGAGATTCTGACTGAACCTCTCTCAATACTCTGTTATCATGCTTGATGAAGCTCACGAGCGGACAATTCACACTGATGTGCTGTTTGGTCTTCTGAAGAAGCTGTTGAAACGCAGGCTTGACCTTCGTTTGATAGTCACGTCTGCCACATTGGATGCAGAGAAGTTCTCTGGGTATTTCTTCAACTGCAACATTTTCACAATCCCTGGAAGAACCTTCCCTGTTGAGAAACTCTACACCAAACAGCCAGAAACCGATTACTTGGATGCAGCTCTCATCACAGTTCTTCAGATCCACTTGACTGAACCAGAGGGTGACATTCTTGTTTTTTGACGGGACAGGAAGAAATCGATTCTGCTTGCCAGTCTCTGTACGAGAGAATGAAGAATCTAGGTAAAAACGTTCCTGAACTCATCATTCTTCCTGTTTACAGTGCCCTTCCTAGTGAAATGCAGTCTAGAATCTTCGATCCTCCTCCTGGTACACGGAAAGTGGTTGTGGCTACAAACATTGCAGAAGCTTCTTTGACGATAGATGGGATATTATGTTGTTGATCCCGGGTTTGCGAAGCAGAACGTGTATAACCCAAAGCAAGGGCTAGAGTCGCTAGTCATAACTCCAATCTCACAGGCGTCGGCGGAGCAGAGAGCTGGACGTGCTGGTCGTACTGGTCCTGGTAAATGTTACCGTCTCTACACTGAGAGCGCATTCCGTAACGAGATGCCTCCTACATCAATCCCTGAAATCCAGAGGATTAATCTCGGAATGACAACGCTGACCATGAAAGCAATGGGGATCAACGACCTGTTATCGTTTGACTTCATGGATCCACCGCAGCCGCAAGCTTTGATCTCTGCTATGGAACAGCTGTACAGCCTGGGAGCGTTGGATGAGGAAGGATTGTGACAAAGCTAGGTAGGAAAATGGCGGAGTTTCCTCTTGAACCGCCGCTCTCTAAAATGTTGTGGCTAGTGTGGATCTCGGGTGCAGCGATGAGATATTGACGATGATTGCGATGATCCAAACGGCAACATATTCTACAGACCGAGGGAGAAGCAAGCTCAAGCAGACCAAAAGAGGGCCAAGTTTTTCCAGCCTGAAGGTGACCACTTGACATTGCTAGCTGTATATGAAGCTTGGAAGGCTAAGAACTTCTCAGGTCCATGGTGTTTCGAGAACTTCATACAGTCACGATCTCTACGGCGTGCTCAAGACGTGAGGAAACAACTTGTCAGCATTATGGACAAGTATAAGCTAGATGTGGTGAGTGCTGGGAAGAATTTCACCAAGATAAGGAAAGCAATCACAGCAGGATTCTTCTTCCACGGAGCAAGGAAAGATCCACAGGAAGGTTACAGGACGCTGGTGGAGAATCAACGGTTTACATACATCCAGAGCAGTGCTCTGTTCAAAGGCAGCCCGACTGGGTGATCTATCACGATCTTGTGATGACGACCAAAGAGTATATGAGGGAAGTGACTGTGATTGACCCAAAGTGGCTTGTTGAGCTAGCTCCAAGGTTCTTCAAAGTCTCTGATCCAACCAAAATGAGTAAGCGTAAGCGCCAAGAACGCATTGAGCCTCTGTGCGATGATCGTCTCAGCAAAAGACGTGAAACACATATCGATTAAACAAATTATTTTATTCTTCCTTTCGTTTATCACGGAAACTAATCAAATGTATATTTTGTTACCCTTGCTTATGTATTCAATGCTTAAAAAATAAATAAATGTGAAACACACATCGATTAAGTTATGAACTTATGATACGATTCTATAATCAACTCAATGTAAGATCTTGCTCTATTTTTTTTTGTTCTTTTTTTTGATAAACATATCTTGCTCTATAGAGCTTTATTGTAATAGAAAACAAAGACTAAAAATAAAACAAATCTTGAAGAAGCTAAAATACACTTGTGATTCAAAAAGAAAGAATAGAGAATCCAAATCAAAAACCAAACCGACTTGTATAAGTACAAAGCAAATCAAATTAAACAAGTAGTAGTAGTCAAATGAATGCCAAAAGGAAGAAGCTAAGGAAACAATCACTTGTGACCGGTGAGATGAACATCTTGAGGGGAGTAGAGTGTAATCGATCTCAAGCTCCTCGAGTGCTCGCTTAAGCGCGATGATCAGCTGTGTTTTCCTGTGATTCTTCCCTCCGAAATTCTGGAAGTTCATCGTGTGCTGGACAAGCACATTCATATTCAGTTTGTTCACATTCTCAATAACCATCAACATATTAAACTAGTATTCATTTGATGCAAAAATAGCTAAACGGTACAAGAAGTTTAAATTTCTAAGTGTCTTCTTCATATAGGAGAATCAGAAATGACAGTACCCAAATTCTTTGTTTTCTTTTCTATGCTGTCTTCGTAGGTGGAGACATATTACTGGCAAGAGAACCCGTAACGATGATCGCCAATATCTGCACCACCGCTCCTGCACACGACCAGATATCCATTACTGGCGAATATATAACTCGGGACACACTTAATGAAGAAGAAGAAGAAGAAGTGAGAAAATCTTCATGAATTTTTACCTAATTGAGCACAAATGAATCCTACAAGCTCAAGCTTCGCTGCTGTTCCCGAGCTATTCCGTGCCTAGAACATTTTACAGAGTCAGATGATAGCAACAACGCCAAGCTTATTTTCAAGAGAACCAGCTAAAGGACTAATGATGCTGATAAGAAATGGCAGTGTATGTAAACTATATTTGTGAGTTAAGTTTGTTCTGACTTTACCTCCATTGTTAATCTGCTCCTAACAGCACAAAACACCAAAAGAACCATGACAACGGTAGATGCAGCCAGGTAGAGCCGTAAAAGATTCACTCTGCTACGTCTGCAACCTTTTATAAACAAAGACAAGAACAACCGATTACAAAGAAACCAGAATAAAAAAAGGATGCTTTTTTTGATTATTTGTTGAGGAGAAAAAGGTTAAACCTAATTCTCCTATCAATGAACACACTAAGCCAAAAGCACTAGATGCTATTCCAAGCGTGTTCCTCCCATCCTCTTTAGTCGTCGTCAGAGACGCACACGACAATCCAATTATATAAATCACAGCCTGCAAACAAGAAGCTGATAAGTGATTGAGCTTAAATCGGTGCTCAAAATCATAAATCAAGTAATTTAGGCATCATAAGAAGCGTTTTTGGACGGAATCAATCAAGCAAGCAATCAAAATTCAATTTGCCAAGACGAGAGTACCTGAACAAGGATCAAAAGACGGAGACGAGATTTCTCTTTAGTGACCTTGGTGTAACCTACACAAACCAGAAATATTTAAATGAGGCGCACTGATTAAGAAGAGATGGGAAAAGTTATCGGAGACTTTGGGATTTGTAACTCACGAGAGTCAACGACCATTCGGTATGAGAAATCAGATCCATCGGTGCCAGTGGGTCTACCCGCCGTCGGTTTCCTCTGTTGCATCTTCTCCTTGGAAATTCGCAGTGCTTCGGTTTTACCGTCGGGAGTCGGCGTCGAGTGATCGGAGAGAGAGAGTAACAAATTCGATTTTTGATTTTTTTTGTTGATTTTTTGTATGACTGAGAATTCAACCGAACTAGACAAAAACCAAATTGGTTTAGTATAACAGGACTGACCGACTGATATACACCCGGTTCGGATCGGTTTGGGTTATGCAGATTTCACCCTATTGGTTGGTTCTTCACTCATATACCCACGATTTTCGGTTTAGTTCCGGTTCTTAGAAATCAAATCTCTTGCAATTTCATGGAACGTTTCAGCCCTAATAAGCGGGAAGCTTTATCAAAATTGGAGGGAAAAAAATCCCCAAAAATCATTTCATGCCTCAATAAAATTCTCGCAATCTTCTTCTCCGATTTGCTTTCTCAACTTCCGTCTCTCTCTTTCTCTCTCTCTCTCTCTCTCTACCCGACTTTTCGATTTGTGAGCTTCTTCGAAAAATGTATTCCAACAGTCAATTCGAGCCGAATTCCGCTTTCTCCGGCGGCGGATTCATGTCTTCTCAGCCTTCTCAGGCTTATGAAACCTCGTCCTCCACTGCTAAGGTAAATCCAAATTTCGTCGGAAGTTTTTCGATTGCTATTTCGTATTTTTCCCTAGATCTGTCGATTTGGGAAGCTAAATACGCTTTGTATGTATTTGGGAATGTAGAATCGCGACTTTCAGGGTCTTGTCCCTGTGACGGTGAAGCAAATCACCGAATCAGCTCAGTCCGGTGGTGAGAAATCTGGGATCGTCATCAATGGAGTTGAACTAACAAACGTACAATCTCTTTGATTTATCCATTTTTGCGCTTTACCCCCAATTGAAATGTTTGCTCAATTAGTTGTGTGGATGTTTTTGGCATCTTCAGGTCTCACTTGTTGGTCTAGTGTGTGACAAAGACGTATCAAAAGTCACTGAAGTTAGATTCTCTCTTGACGATGGAACTGGAACCATCGACTGTAAAAGATGGTAAAAAGCACAAAACTTTCTTTTGATAAACACTCATTTTAGGTATGAAGTGAGATATCAAACCATACACATTCTGTGCCTGTCTTATAGGGTGAATGAAAGCTTCGACGCTAGGGAAATGGAGTCAGTGAGGTTAGTGTGTTCTGATATATGGTGAGAGATTCACATTTCTTGTAAAGGTTTTTTTTTTTGTTCTGATGGTTTAGCGCTTGTGAAGCAGAGATGGAACCTATGTGCGTCTTAATGGTCATTTGAAGACTTTCCAGGGGAAAAAACAGCTTCTTGTTTTCTCTGTGAGGTATGTCTTATGTTCTTTCTTATGATTCCTTTAGCATTGGGTATAGATGTGTATTTATGTAATCATCTTGCTTGTTTTGGTTTTTGTCAGGCCTATTATGGACTTCAATGAGGTTACCTTTCACTATATTGAGTGTATACACTTCTACTCTCAGAACTCTGATTCGCAGGTAAAAAAAAATGAAACAGAGGCAGAAGATTTAAATTAATGTTGTATGTAAGTTCACAGTTTTGCAATCTATCTATCCTCTCTGATATGTGTGTTTGTGTTTTCTCAGTTTGGACAACAAGTTGGTGATGTCACTCAATCTCATACGGTCAGTTCACAGGGTGTATCAAACACAAACCAAGCAACCACATTGAACCCTGTATGATATGATTTACCAAATTTTACTTTATGTTCTTCTACATTACATATGTTAATATGATTGTTTTTCGTAAGAGTCTCATTGTTGTTGCTGTGTTTTTAGGTGATGTCCTCTCAGAACAACGATGGAAATGGTCGCAAGAACTTAGATGATATGATTCTAGACTATCTAAAGCAACCTGTTTGCGCGTAAGTTTGAGTTAGATGAGTTTGTTTCTCACATTGCACAACCTAAAGATTGGTCTGATAATTTTGGTTATTTTGTTCAATGCAGTGCAAGAGAACAAGGGGTACACCTTGATGACATTGCCCAGCAACTAAAGGTCCCAAAGAACAAGATTGAGTATGCTCTTCTTCTTATAATTTCTCTCTACTTACAGGTTGTTGATCATTCGAATACGTTTTAAATCTTCTTGCTGGCTTTACAGGGATGTTATTCGGTCATTGGAAGCTGATGGTCAAATATACTCAACGATCGATGAGTATCACTTCAAGCATGTCGAGCTTTGATCATCTACAAGTGAGTGTGGTTTAATCAGTAGATAGAGTCAGTTTGTGTCCTCTGGTGATTTGAGACTTGTTTCAATATCATTGTTCTTTTGTTTCATCACGATCAAGTTTATCTTTCTGAAGCTACTTTAGCAATTGTAGCTGACTAAAAATCTGATATTTGGATTACTGATTCGTGGTTTTATTTTATCTCCCATCTTCTTAAGCCAACAATTTTTTGTCTTGTGTACCAGAACCGAGATTTGTGTGACCTGTGTACCAGAATGTAACTTGCAACGAAAGTTTACAATGTGACTTTGAAGTTGAGAATATTAAATTTTCATTAAAAAACAACAAAGATAGAATATACAAGTTACCAACGAACATAAACTCATAAACATATGTGAAGCCCAAATTAGACTTCCGACACAGGATTAACTAAATCATTACTTGAAACCCTAATAAAACCCTAATTAATTCTCCATAGCTTGACTCCTGTTGCCGTCAACAGATTGACGACAGAGAGGGCACGAGTCGTGTTGTCGACCCAACCACTTGATGACACATTCTTCGTGAAACTCGTGTGTACAACCAGGCAACTTGCAGATGGGATTAGTCTCTGATTCCGACAATTTCTCCAAACATATCGCGCAGCTCTCTGCTTCCAAGTCCTCTGTTTCCACTTCTTGGCTCTCTTGGTCCGAATCATCTGTTGTTGTTGTCGAAAGAACAGAGCTAGTTTCGAAATACTCTGATTCCCCTTCGCTCTCTTGGTCCGGCGAAATAGAAGAAGGCACGGCGAGATACACTTTCTGTGTCAATTTGACCGAGACTGCTATGAACAAGAGTCCTCCTTGTGGCAAGTCTCTCCGTTGGGATTCGACAAGAATACGATCAGTGACTAGCCCAGACAAGACACGGTCGTGGAGATAGCCGTTGACTCGTTGGAAGACGTAGTCTGGTGTGAAATTCTCGAAATCCATAAAGGGAGGAAGAGGGTCACGAAAAGAATGATCCGGGTAAGATCCGAGACTCGACACAGTGCCATCGCTCTCGTATAATGCAAATTCTTCGACTTCTCGTGTTTGAGTGATAGCCACCGTGTTTAAGAACCCTGACGACGACGGAGCTGCGTGAGGCGTAGCCCTAGCTTTGATATCGACCTTGATTACTTCGGTTTCCATTGTAGGAGAGAAATTCAACGAAATCAGAGAGAAAGAGATTATGAGGCGTAAGAGAGATTTGTTGCGAAGAAAGAAAATTGAGATGAGAATTGTGTGTGAGAAGAATGTGTTGTGATGTTCATGTATTTATAGTCTTGTCTTTTTCCTTTTTTCTCTTAAATTTCCTTTTTTCTTCTTAACGGTCATTTATTAATGTTGCTGTATTTCCTTTTTTGGTTTCCTTTGGTACTAAGATTCATGTTTTCCTTTTTTCTGATTGTACCGGTTAAATAACTATGTGGGTGATTGTACCGGATGGTTCACCTTGAAACGGCGAACAGTGATGGTAATGGTCATTGGAAGGTGATGGTCTGATATACTCAACGATCGATGAGTATCACTTCAAGCATGTCGAGCTTGATCATCTAGAAGTGAGGTTGGTTAATCAGTAGATAGAGTCCGTTTATGTCCTCTGGTGATTTGTGAGCTGTTTTAATATCTGAAAAATCTGCATTTTTCTATTGTTTTCATCACGATCAAGTTATCTTTCTGAAGCTAATATTTGGATTGATTCGTGGTTTTATTTTACCTCCCCTCTTCTTAAGCCAACAATTTTCTTGAATTGGTTACATTTTATTAGAAACAAAAATTTGTGTCTGTACGTGTACCAGAACCGAGATTTGTGTGACCTGTGTACCAGAATGTAACTTGCAACGAAAGTTTGCAATGTGACTTTGAAGTTAAGAATATTGAATCTTTACTAAATGAAAGCAGCTAATTGGGGCCTTTTAGAGCACCTCACAGCTTTCAGCCACAGAATGCCACGTGGCATTTTACAATAACAGGTTAAAAAAATAAAATCTCGCTTCCCCGCAATTCAATTACAAAATTCAAAGTAATTTACTTTCTAACCTTTCAACTTCAATCGTTTTCGTTTCGTCTGCTTCTTCTTCCCCTTCTCTCTGATTTGCTCCGTCGGTTGCGTCATGTCGTCATCCGATCCGCAGCATCACCGGACACCGATGCTCTGCGGTAGTAGTGATGATTCTCCTTCTGCTGGGCTTTTCGTTAGTGACAGCCGACGATGTGTCCTGGTCCGACGATATCGGCCTCAAGTCTCCTGGATGCACAAACAAGTTTCAAATGGTAATTCGATCTTCGTTCACCGGAGTTGATTGATCGATTTTTACTTTCTCCTTCCCTTTTTTGGCTCTTTACTCTCTGATTAATGCGATTCCACACACCGATTTTAAACATGTGAGCAGAGAGAGAGACCTGAATCATTTGTTGAATGAATGGTCGTTTATACAGGTTAAGGTGTTAAACTGGGTCGATGGTGTTAAAGGTGACTACTTTACTGGCTTAACTGCTCAATTAGAAGCATCAGTGCCTTCTTGTGCTGATCAAAGCGTTAGGTAGCTTATTGGATTATTTATGACAAAGAAGGTTTGGGTTTTTTGGATTGAGATTTTTGTTTGTGTTTGGTAGCTTTGTATCATCTAATTTAGTTATGATTTGTTATCAGATCTTGATGAGATGGGATGTATGGAAAAGGATACATCTTTAAATGTAAGCATACCTGTCTTGATGATCTCTAAGTCAAGCGGAAATTGCTTATTGACCTGTTGATCCTCTCTCTTCTTCGCTGTGTAGTTGAGCTTCTGTTGTATGCACCAAAACGTCCTGTTGTGGACTTAACAGCAGGGTTTTGATTGCTCATGGCGGTTGGAACTGTCGTCATTGCATCACTGTGGTCAGAGCTTACAGACCCTGACCAAGCTAATGAATCTTACAGCATATTAGCAAAGGTTAGCCTTTTTTTTTCCTGCTGCTCCTTTTCTACTTCATGTCATCATGGTTTGTATGGGTGCTCACCATCTTTTTCTGCATCGGCGGCATGCAGGTAATCTTCATTGACATTCCGGTGGTTTTGACAGAATATTTAGATCAATGTGTGTGCTTTAACGAAACGGTTGTTGTTTTCAGGGTATGCATAACATCATTATGGCAGTTATATTGAGGTATTCTGAAATATTCGTAAATGTTTTCACTTCTCTCTCTTTCAGGTTAGCAGATCTTGACGGATATAAATTTGTGATCTGCCTGTAGAAAATGCAGAAATCTTGGTAAAAAATCTGTGAAGCACCCTCTGCTTGGGACAATGTCAGTGTTGTCGCTTTTGGTGATCATTTTTTGCTTGGCATTTGCTGTTTTCTGGTTTGTAAAACGGCACGCATCTTATTCTTGGGGTGGGCAAGAATATTTAGTTGGTTAACTTTTCAAAGGTAAATTAACATGGGAGTAGGGAGATGGGGATCGAGGGAGGAGAGGAAAGCTGATCTCTTTTTTAAAACAGCGACCAAATAGAAGGTAATGAAGGCTTATCATATCTCTCATTATTATATTTTTTGTAATTTGTTCAGTATTACGATTTCCTGTTGAATTACTCCTTCTCATGAGACTGTTTTGTTTACTTGATCAGAGATATGTAGGTTTGACAAATATGATCTAAAGATTTCAACAGAAGTTTCTGTCTTTTCACTATTGCCTTCTTCTTCAAACGCTGGATAAAATGGTTTTTGAAAATTGAAGAATAATATTGCTGAAGTTTTGTTTCATCAATAGCTAAAAAGATCAATAGACCATAATTAGTTACCAGCATTTGTAGTTGATCTACCCTAAATCTTTAACCTTTGTTTAGTAACTCTTACTCTCCTCATTTGCTCACTATGATTTGGTTGGAGGACGACTGGTATGTTGCATTTCTTGGTCTCCCATGTTGGAACTTTCTTCAAAGCCATATTATGTGCGTGCTCTGTCTCAGTCAATTCTCTGATAATCTCACTGCAGACAGTGGAGCAAGTTTGTCCTTGCATAACTGAATTTCCTAGCCAGCATGATTCCACATAAGTAAAACTTTCTGGGCTCTTCTGTTCTTGGCAATATGAATGTAGAAGTTACACTAAGGTGGTTCATTTCCTGTAAAGAGTTCATGCGATTTGCTCCTCAATTCAATCGTGTTTGCTGTTTGTTATATGAGAAATAGCGATTTTGAATGCATCGGACTTGAATTTGTTTTTCACAGGAGATTAAGCTGTAATCATTTTTAAGAAGTGTATGTAAAAGTGATTCCTGTGGCTTTCTTATTGTGATTCTTATGTAATGAAAGATGGGTATGTGTTCCTTTGTACAGCTTAGCTTCTTTTGTATATGTATATTTTCTATGTTGGATCCACCAATCACACAGCCCTACTTCTCAGTAAAGTGTGGGAGACATGATGTAATGATGAAAATAGTAATGCGTAAAAATATCAATGCAAGCCAGAAAGCCAACCAAGTTTAATTATCCAGTGAAAAGAGGGTCCCTGAAAAGACGATGAAAAAGACCGAAAGTTATTGAAACACGAAAATAAATTACAACTTCAAGCAAAAAAACCGAAGGGCAAAAATTGTTTCTCCCAGGTTTGAAAAGGTCAAGGCTCAAGGAAGTGGAAACTCAGACTATACGACGGGATATTTGTTTCGAAAGAAAAGTGTCACACTTTATGCAAGTTCATTTCACTCACACTGCGACCACACAAAAGCTGTTGTAAAGTATGTACATATAGATGTTGTAAAGATTCAAAGCTTTGTAAAAAAAAGTTTTCAAAGTTGCTGGAAAATTTGACACCACCGCTAAAGTTAAAGGAGATCACAGTGACCTTAGACGTCTAATTCTAAATACTTAAATCTAATTTATACTTAATCAAATTTCAAAAACGTAAGCAAAAAGTCTTGGACTCGATTTCAAAAATGTCAAGTACAACCGTTATAGCAATGATCTTTGAGCCCTTTATAACTCTTTACAAAAGAAGTAACTATAATTTGCTTCAGCTTTCCTCCACAATAGTTATTGCATTATTAAGAAGTACTGAATTTAACATATGTTAACCTATAGTGTTCCTTAGAACCTCTTCTTTTTTTCATCACGATGAAAAAAAAATTAAAAGATTTAACTAAAAGAGAGTAGAGTGACCATACTGTTACTCATAAATAAAAAAAAATCTTTGGTTAGAAAATTCTGGAATAATAGAGATTTTAAAGCAATATAACAAAGAAAAATTATTTGTAAAAAGTTAAATGATCACCAAATTTGTTGCTATATTGTATTTAGACAATTATAAAGAGGAAACTTTATACTAAATGTTTCTAAATTTTAGCAAAACAAAGTGCAAATTTTATAACATAAAACCTGCATATAGCGCGGAAGGACACCTAGAATATAATTGGATCTCCGTTGTTTTTCAAGGTTACCAAGTCAATGACGGTGGGTGTAGCTAATAACAATAAAATGCTGGAAAATAACTACAAATGTAGATTTCTATTGGTAGAGTCCGAAGGTAAGATCATACATTTTTTTTTTATTTGATATTAAGAATGCAATAACTCTCAATTGTAGGATCTAATGTGTTACTAAAGTTGTATGACATTAATGCATTTTAATTTTTAACAATCTAGAGTTTGTCTTATGAGCATTTTTAAATATGTAAAAAACTTATATGCTCAAATACAAAATTTTATAATTATCATAAATAAATAAAATGTTTATAACAAAATCCCCAGGCCCGGGATATCCCTAGTTTTCATTAAAAACAACAAAGATAGAATCAAGATACAAGTTACCAACGAACATAAACTATGAGAAACCGTACTTAGTCTCATAAAGTCTACGACAAAAAGATTAACCAAATCATAAACATATGTGAAGCGCAAATTAGACTTCCGACACCGGATTAACTAAATCATTACTTGAAACCCTAATAAACCCTAGTTAAGACACCATAGCTTGACTTGTGTTGCCGTAAACAGATTGACGACAGAGAGGGCACGAGTCGTGTTGTCGATCCAACCACTTGATGACACATGTTTCATGAAACTCATGAGTACAACCAGGCAATTTGTAGATGGGATTAGTCTCTGATTCCGAAAAATTCTCCAAACATATCGCGCAGCTCTCTGCTTCCAAGTCCTCTGTTTCCACTTCTTGGCTCTCTTGGTCCGAATCATCTGATATTGTCGAAAGATCAGAACTAGTTTCAAAATACTCTACTCCTCATCGCTCTCTTGGTCCGAATACGTCGAAATAGAAGAAGGCACGGCGTGATACACTTTCAGTGTCAATTTGACCAAGAATGACATGAACAAGAGTCTTTCTTGTGGCGAGTCTCTCCGTTGGGATTCGACAAGAATACGATCAGTGACTAGCCGAGACAAGTCACGATCGTGGAGATAGTCGTCGACTCGTTGGAAGACGTAGTCTGGTGAGAAACTCTCGAACTTCATAAAAATACTCGTTGGAAGAGGATCACGAAAGGAATGATCCGGGTAAGATCCGAGACTCGACACAGTGCCATCGCTTTCGTCTAATGTAAATTCTTCGACTTCTCCTTTTTGAGCTATAGCCACCGTGTTAAAAGGGCCCTGACGACGACGGAGCTGCATGAGGCAAAGCCCTAGCTTCGATATCGACCTTGATCGCTGCGGTTTCCATTGTAGGAGAGAAATTCAACGAATTCAGAGAGAAAGATATTACGAGTCGTAAGAGAGATTTGTTGTGAAGAAAGAAAAGTGAGATGAGAATTGTTTGTGACAAGAATGTGGTGTGATGTCTCTGTATTTATATAGTCTTATAAATGGAAATTGTGCAATGCCTTTTTCCTTTTTTTCAGTTCTTAAATTTCCTTTTTTTTGCTCCTAACGTTCATTTATTAATGTTGCTGTATTTCCTTTTTTCTTCTAAGATTCATGTTTTCCTTTTTTTCTGATTGCACCGGTTAAATAATGATGCGGGTAATTCTACCGGAATTGTTTCTCTGGTTTATTATGATGGTTCACTTTGAAACGACGTCGCTTTATTTAGGTATCTTTTGACACGACTAAACGGAACGACGCCGTTTTCCGTCGCTCTTCTTCTTTTTTCTTCCAAATCGGAAAAGCCGGAAGACGGTGGCTTCGTTTCGACTTTGATTCATAGAAATTTGCTTACTCTGATTTCGGATTTTATTTGGGGTTCTGGGTTCTTCGCACATTCAAGTACGCTTCAATCCCTCTTTTCACTTTTCTTTTGACTTTTTTTTGTTTTGACTAGATTTGGTGTTGTTTTATCTTTGTTATATCTGCTGGATTGAGTGTTAAATCGCGACTCAATTCAAAAGTTGTTGTTTCTGCTCTTTTGCGTCTAGATTTAACTGTGCGTTTAGAACATCGTACGTGATTTCTGATGGGTTTAAGATTCTGCTCTAACAACTGTTAACTGCGTGTGACAAAATCTCTGCTTTATCTTCTTGAAAGGTTTAAGCTTTATCGTCTTATTCAATTTCCAGGAGCACAACTTCTTATATTCTCCCTCGAATTCGAAGCTTGTGCATTTGACATAGTCACTAGTGGTCTCTTCTCAACCTCAGAGATGCAAATGTATGTCCAATTTCAATTTTGTGTTTTTGCTCGATTCCTTCTATGCTCTGTTATCAAAACTTGAAATTGTGGTTTGTTTGCAGAGTAAAGGCAAACGCAGGTGCACTTACCAACTTCGAAGTTCTTGACTTTCTAAACTCAAGAGGTGCATCGAATGATACTGCAAGAGTTATAGGTCCAAATCCAATTGCTAAATCAGAGATCAAGGTCTCTTACTCTGTTTTGTGACTTGTTCTTTGTTTAGTAAAGTTAAAACCTTTTTTTTTTGGTAATTCGAACGGATTTTTGTTTTTGGGGTTTCAGGTTTATGATTATTTGATGGAGACTGCTGCTTCCACTCAAACAAGAGAAGGGGTTAACGAGTTCGCTGAAAAGTGTAAAGATTTCAATGTGGCGAAAGCTGAGATTCTCAGTATGATCAATCTCCGGCCGTCTAATATTGTCCATTTTGGATTCACTTTGTGGTTTTGATTTATTCTGTTTTGTTGTTTGTTTCTTCTCCACCAAGTCTCATGGAAACATATATCTATCATTGCGTTTTGATTTCTCTACACGAGTTTTCATAAACTTTGTTGATTTGCTGAGTTTTGTTTGTAGATCATAGAGAGGAAGGAAGAAGAAGACAAGCTTAAAGCTCGGGGAATCGACTCAAATGATGATGATGATGTCTCTTCTCTACCAAGTCTCATGGTAACATATATCTACATTGTGTTTTGATTTCTCTTCTTCACACACATGTTTTCATAAACTTTGTTGATTTGCGTTTGTAGATCATAGAGAAGAAGCCCGATGATGAGGATAGAGAAACCAACCTTGAAACTCGGGGAATCGACTCAGATGGCGATGATGATGATGATGTATCTTCTCTACCAAGTCTCATGGTAACATATATATATTCATTGCGTTTTGATTTCTCTTCTTCACACACAGGTTTTCATAAACTTTGTTGATTTCCGTTTGTAGATCATAGAGAAGAAGCCCGATGATGATAAAGAAACCAACCTTGAAACTCGGGGAATCGACTCAGATGATGTAACTTCTCTACCAAGTCTCATGGAAACATATATCTATCATTGCGTTTTGATTTCTCTTCTTCACACACAGGTTTTTCATTAACTCTGTTGATTTGTGTTTGTAGATCATAGAGAGGAAGCCCGATGATTATGATAGAAAAAAAAACCTTGAAACTCGGGGAATGGACTCAGATGGGATACTAGAGCTCGTGCAGGATTTGCTAATGCCTCCTCCTACTACTGACCAAGAAAATGACCAAGAGGAAACAGAGAAGGGTGAAGAATCGTAACCATGCAATGCAAGTTGCAGTTTTGAAGTTGATGTCTTCTGTGAGAAACTATATATATATAGGAGTTGCAATATTTATTCTTTTTTGTTAAATTTGTTTGTTTCCGTTTCAATACATTGATCTACAAATATATAAATAAAACATATTTGCCTATGTAGCAACAGAGTTTGGTGTATTCTACTAGGTTTAGATAAGCTATGAAATCATCTTTGAGTATTAAAAGTGCTTGTTCTTGATTTCAGTGAGATGATTACCTTTTACTATGTTGATTTAAAATGTTAGTGAAATACTTTGAAGTTCAAAGTGCTGATGAAAGTTTAAATGCCCCATTTTCAATGCTTGATTTCTTTATAGCATTTACAGATGGGCCATAGCCGAAATTACATTTTAAGTTTTGGTTTGTTTCAGAAGGCCCAAAAACAAAAAGGTAATGTCAAAACCGTAAATACCTGTAAATTGGTTTGTTGCATTTTTACGGACAGAGATTTGGGTGGGCCACGAGTTTCGCAAAATTTGTTGGGGTTTGCAAGTGTCCCCGATCATGGATCCCCAATTGGAGATGGCGAAATTTGCTTCGAAGACTAGGGATGAGGAGGAAGCTGCCAGAGTGGAAGAGGAAGACGACGGCAGCGATAGTGATAGCGACTACGTGGTGGAGAACCATCTAAGGTTTAAACGCGTGCCGGAAAAGGAACCGCAGTGGGATGTCGACAGCTACGATGGTCGCGATTACGAATCAGATCCAGAATATCATAACTTTTACCCAGACGAGGACGACTATAAAGAATTCCGTCGACTCAGGATCGAGACTTTGGCGTGTAAGGTACTACAATCACTTTGATTTAATTATATCTGTTGGGGTTTTCTTTTGAATTTTTTTTTTTTTTTTTTTTTTTTTTTTTTTTTTTTTTTATTGTCGTTGGTGTTTCTAGGGTTTTTCCCCAGATTATCTACTCGGAATCTACCCTTTTGGCTGTCTAGATTATCCACTGGGTAATAACAGGACTAATAGGGATTTGTTGACAGAACTGGCTTCCTTGTGTGTTAAGAAATTAAATGAGGACAAGGTAAGTTGTTGTCAAGATGTAAAATGTATATCATTATAATCATCATCTTGATCTAATCAACATTGTACATGTATATATCTGTTATTTTATACAGGGAAAAGCTGTGGAACTGGATAGTATAGTGAGTGCTACTGTAAGTGGAGGAGCAAGATGGAAGATTTATATAACGTTTATGGCTCGGGAATATCAGAATGGTCCTCTTGTTGAGTATCAAGCCAAAGTCATGAGGTATGCTGCAAATTATAGACCTCCATTTCCCATACTCTGCAGACCAACCCCAAAACCCACAAGTTGATGTTGAGCTTGTGAAGATTAAGATGTGTTGAAATTAGGAGGCTCTCCCGTTCATCTCAATGATTTTTTATCTAATAAATTGTAACTGTGTACTCTAGTAAACTATTGCCTCTGAATACTTTTTTTTTTGATTTGTATGCTCTGTAACTGTTACCTTTGAATAGTTCGATTTGTATTTTAAAAGAAGAATGTTATGGTGAGATATGTTTATTATTATTATTATGTCACGTAGGCGTTGTTGTGATTTGTGATTAGAACGATGAACTAACAACTTGTTTAAGTTACATTGGCGAATTAATTGGTGGTGATAAGAAGACATTTAGGAGTTTCTGTGTGGTGACTCAAAATGAAAGGCAAGACTATGTGGTGTTTTATTTATCAAGATCTGTCTCGTTATGGGCAAAATAAAATAAAGCAAAAGGAAATAGAGTTAATTTTATTACAACAAATGTCTTTTAAAATAGCTAAATAAATTACTATATAATTAGTGTATGTAGATAATCTACTAATTCTTCCATTATTTTTAAGAGTGTTTTCAAACGAACAATCTTCAAGTCTTAATTCTTCAATATCTTGTGTAGATAAAAGATGTCACAACAAGCGTGGAAGATTCTGCAAGAGCCTGAAAGTTTAGGGGGAATGGGGTTTAGAGACATTGAGGACTTTAATTAAGCCCTGTTAGCCAAACAAGCGTGGAAGATTCTGCAAGAACCTGAAAGTTTAGTGGTGAAACTTCTCAAAAACAGATATTTTCCAGCGGTGAACTTTTTGGAGTCTATTGTTGGAGCACGATCTTCCTTTGCTTGGAGAAGTATTCAGTGGGGCAGGGAGCTGCTAGTTAAGGGATTAAGGAAGAGAGTTGGCAATGGAAACACGATTAAGGTTTGGATAGATCCATAGATAGTTGATGAAGGTCTGAGAGCTCCATGGAAACTAATCAACCCTTTCAACGTCAACTTATTGGCAAAAGACCTGATAGATTTTCGGTATAAGAAATGGGATGTGGCAAAGTTGAGAGAAGTGTTCTTTGAGGAAGATGTGCAGAGAGTGATGGAATTCCAACCAGTAACAAATGTTGAGGATTTCTGGTGTTGGATGCATAATCAGAGTGGAGATTACTCTGTCAAGTCAGGATTCTGGTTAGCGACGTCGATAAACAAAGCTGAAAGCATCAGAGAAGCTTCGTTGCTTCCGTCTCTGAATGCTCTAAAAGCAGCCGTGTGGATCATTCCCACAACTCAAAAAATCAGAAATTTCCTTTGGAGGGCTTTGAGTGGTGCAGTAGCGGTTGGTGATAAACTCAGGGAGAGAGGTATGAAAAAAATTCAGAAATGTTTGTCAGGCTTGTGGATTTGAGGGAGAGTCCATTAATCATCTCCTATTCACTTGCCCTTTCGCGAGACAAGTATGGGCTCTCAGTGACTTGCCCTCCCCAGAAATGGGGTTCAGTGAATCGATCTATACAAACATAAACTTTCTCTTGGAACAGAGGAAGAATGACCTGATTCCACAACTCTTGAGAAGAAGATTCCCGTGGGTCATCTGGTTTTTGTGGAAGAAGAGAAATAATCTAGCGTTTGAGAGCAAAAATTTCAATGCGATGATAACAATGGAGAAGATAATTGAAGAGGTGGATCAATGGTTTGTGGCTCAAGAGATCGACAAAGTCCTTGAGGATATGGCGCCTGTGGTCAGCACAACTCAGGTGAAACGGTGGAGACCACCGCCTGAACCATGGCTTAAATGTAACGTTGGAGTGTATACGGAGAAAGGTTCTAGAACAGGAGGAGTGGCTTGGGTCCTTAGAGACTGGAAGGGTGTCGTGTGCCTTCATAGCAGAAGAGCTTTTGCTTCTGTAGGCAACAAGTTAGAGTGTGGTTTTGTAGGAGCTTTGTGGGCGCTCGAAAGTTTACGCAGCCATGGGGTGAAAAGAGTGGTTTTAGCGTTAGAAGACTCGGTGGTGTTGGGAGTGATGGATAGACCCAAAGCTTGGCCTTCTTTCAAGCTGCAAGTAGGACTTTTCTCAACAGTCATTCCATGGTTTGATGATCTGAAGTATGAGTTGGAACCAAGGTGTGCTAACAGAGGAGCTTATCTCATCGCTCAAAGTGTCGTTAGAGGAGAGCGAGGTCATTCTTATGTTGCTTCGGGTCATCCGCGTTGGTTGAATGGTATCTTTGACAATGAGAGAGTTCCCTCCTCTGTTTAAAGCTTGGTCTTTTTTGGGTAGTTAGTTTTTGGTCCCTTCCTCTAATCTCTTTTGTTTGTGAGATGTTTGAGAGGATCTTGGTTTCCCTTGATCTTGGGTGTTTGTGCGTTGGTTAGTAAGTGTGGTTGGTGTTTAACACCTTGTATTCTTCCCCAAATTCAATATAACTTTAGATGGAAAAAAAAAAAAGATGTCACAACCATCTTCAATAATAATTCTTCCGTAGCCCTTAACACCCCAATTCTTTCCCCAAGAGTTTTTCAAAATAAAGAAGAGTTTTCCATCTTTCATCCTCCCGTAGCCAACTATGATAAGAGCATGCCTAGCAATTTCGATATCTCGTGATGACTTTCGTAGCATTAGAATTCCCTGAAACCAGCAATTCCCACATTATTAACATAAAAGATTAGTTTACAGTAACTAATTATAATTTTTTCTTTGTATATTCCACTTACGTCTTTGTGATCCAGAAAGTTGGCATCAACATCGACGATGATGCCAACAGGACCAATGTTCAGCTTCTCAGCGATAAACTCAGGGCTGGCATTGTCTTTATCACAAAACTCACCCTTCACAGCATACACTTTAGATCCCTACAAAGAATTTCATGCCTCGTAAATTTTTAAAAATGAAATTACTTTAATATACACATATACAAACACTGTTTATTACCTTTCTCCCATCCTTCTTTTCTAATCCTGTGCGAAATAGATAGTTCATTGCCTTCTTTAACGAACCAACAGCCAAATCGTTTTGGTTTAACTTCTTTTTAGCATTGAGATCAGCAACTGTTAGTTTTACTTCTCTGATGAATTTCTCGATGTCTAAATCTTTTTGTTGACTTGTCGGAAGATCCATGTTGATGCTAAATTCTAATATTCCTGAAAGAGCCAAAGCCCAACAATCATCTGCAATGTAGTAGAAGAAAAACATTTAATGTTGTAAGTATTATCAATACTACAAATTAAATTGAAGCGTTTAATTATACAAAATACCAAAAAAATAAAAACCCAAAATATGCGTTGGCACCTCTTGTTTGATCCAAAATTTTCCCAAGTAAACCAGGGTATAAGAGAACCCAATGCTTGATAATTTCACTTCCATCACCGTAATCCTACAAAATAAAAAGATTATAAAAATGCATAATTGATATTTATTTAATCATTATAACTTTAACAAAAACTCTTGGGTTTTGGGTCAGTTGTTTGTATAGGTTCACATATCTTTATCCACCGGAACTCATGAGACCACTGAACACAGAAATTGACCAGAGTTTGGTTTGGCTTGGGAAGGGTTTTTGTGGTCCTTTTTTTAAAGACTAGCTAGTAAAAAGGGTAATCATTTACCTGTGGTGGCATTTCCATCGCCAGCTCAGCCATTTCATTATTTTGTTTCTTGGCTTCTTCACGTCTAGTTTCTGCATCAAGTTTGCGTTGGTTAGGGCCCTTGTTTCCTCCTCCGCCAGTGCCAATATCGCCTAAGACGCCACCAGTACCATCACACTCCATGTCTGCTTATAGGCAAAACAAATTAAAAAAAAAAAAAACCAGAAAAATCGTTGGCAAACGAAAAAACACATATATAGAACTTTGAATGTAATATAGCCTTAAGATTCGATTATAATCAGAAATTATATAGATTCAGTAAGTTCGATGATGTATATATTATGTATGTGAGATCATATTTCTTGTTCAATAGGTTATTAATGTGCAAGGGAAGGGAAGAAAAATGAGAAAAAAACATTTACGGTATAAAGAAAAACAAATGAAGATTAACGGATGAACGCTACTCAACATCCATACAATAATACACCATGTTCACATTTTCAAAAGCATACATGTATATTTTTGTTATTAATAATTCTACAGTGTCGATTTTACCACTTTGGTTTGCAATAACGGGTAATTGAAACAACCGATTGAGAAATACATAGATCTTATGTAAATGCAATATAAATTTGTTTTCCAAAGCTCATTTTTCTTTCTAATGTCCTGATTTTTCTTTTTTATCTTTCTTCAATATTCTTACGTTTTGACGCTTTGAAAAAAGACGGCAAGGAAAAATATAATCATCCTTTGTAAATTGTTTTTGATGTAAACTGTTATATTTTGTTTTCGATCAGAATAAAGAATCAAAAAGAACATGTGGAATCTCTAAAATCCAACATTTGCTGGTTTCAAAACACATGCGACTAGTATTTAAAATAAAGTTTCGAGAGAAAGATTTGAAGCAAAACCTCTATATGGGTAACATTTTATCCATGGTTTTTAGATGGAGAAATGAAGTACCTTCTTAAAAGAGATGATGAACACACTGTAGAGAGAGAGAGAGAGGGAGGGAGAGAGAGAGTTTCCAGTTTTGTGTCACCTCAAAAACTCAAATGTGTGAGCATTTGGCTCAAGTTTTGTTCATATATATACTAAAATCTTTATCAGAATAGTTTTGTTTATATGCCTTTTGTCTAGTTTATTTTATAATAAAAAATGTACACAAGATTTATCTTCATGTGTGTGTAAAATCCGTCAGTGTCGTTCTGTTTTGATTGGTCAATTAATCAATGTATTTCTAAAATATACAGTTAACTTCTTAATAATTTTATTTTTGTATAAATAATATATATTATATTTTAATTTTTTTTGGGTGTCAATGTGAAGATATATATTATGTATATTTCATACCAAACTTCGCTATTTTTCCAATATATTCTTGTATGCCATGTATGTAACCTTCTTTGAATATGTTTTTATCGACTTTTAATTATATATTAAACTAACATTACAAAATTTTGACAGATATCCCATCCTTATATCAGTACAAGAAAATATGTAGTTAGGCTAGCAACTGAATAATTCTTTGCTAATACGTTGCTAATAACTTTTTACGATGACTTAGTGATGATCTCTATTTTTTTTTTTTTTTTTTTTGATGATCTCTAATTCGTTATTAATTGTTTAATGATATGGATTATAAACTTCTGTACGATGATGAAAGATCTCATCTTACACTCATTGCAACTTCTGTGATGAATTAAATGAGAAGGTAATTCGTCGGTAAGATATCATCGCAGATGCGACGCTAAAGTTGCAATGAAATGGCGTCAAATTACTAATTTACTAATTTTAGCGTTTTCATTGACTAATCTTCTTTCCATGCACCTTTTCCTCGCATCTTCTCTCTCTCGGCCTTTTGTCCTAAAGCATTTTCTATCTTTGCTGTAATGCTGTTTTTTGCTTTCTTCGTTTGCTTATATTCAATCTGATTTCTTAACTCAAATCTCGAATAGGCTAATACTGGAGCAGAGCATTTATTAGTTTGAAAATCGTGTACGCAAGAAAGTCTTGCTAAGCAATAGACAAAAGAAGAAACAATGAAACAAAATTCAAGAGAAAAAAAAACGAATTTTCTTATTGCTTAAGTTTACACTGTTTATCATACATTTTAGTTTTACTTGATTGGGTTAGTGTATTATTGTATGAAATGGTGGAAGGATGATGCGTTTTAGTTTCTAAGTTAATATGTAGATTTTGGGATCCGAATATCGCTTTTGCTTCATAATAAGAGTTCTCAAGTAACTTGCTGTCATATGATATAATTAAGACTTTTTTCAATGTTATTTCTTTTGTGAGTTATAATTATTTTGTTGTCTTTAAATTCTGAAATGCTTGATCGAGTTTAGCATTAGCAACAAATTTTGGTGAATTCATGCTTTGTTTTGTTCATGTTGTAGATAATAAGCTAATAAGTTGTTACTAGTTTGTAGGCATGTTATCGACTGCAACGAGGTCAGCTTTCACTAGAGTGTGCACTGTAAACACAGGTAATTAATTTTGACTTTTAAAGTTCAGTTATAGTAATTTTAGTCAAAGCTTTGGGACTGGGTCTTTTACTGATAGGCCGTAGCCCAAAACATTTTAATTTTTGGTTTGTTTGAGAAGGCCCAAAAATAAAAGGTGATGACAAAACCGTAAATACTTCTGTGAAAGGTATGTGTGTATGGCTATAATTCAGAGAAGCTAAAAGCTGAAATGGGGAAGATGAAGTGTTGATCTTCTTACAACGTATTTGAGTTTTACGTCATCATAATCTTTATTTTGTTACTTCAAGTGTTTAGTTGTCTACAGTTTTAAGTTTTCGTGTATGGTCAATCAAGATGTTAGGATTTGGTCAAAGCAGTAATACTAATAAGTTGTTCCTAGTTTGCAGGACTAGTTGCTTCAGTCAATAATCGTTACCGAGTCTTGCCCTCGACTCTTAGTTGTTGCTAGCTTTTAGTAGCTAGTAGTTTAGTTGTTTCACGTTTGTTTTAAGACTCCTATATAAGGAGCAATCTGTATTTGTTACAACTATCAATCAGAATACCTTTGATCAATCTCTTATGTTTAACCAATTTCAAGATGAGAGGTTATAATACTCTTTGGACAAAGTATTAAAAAGAAAAGACAATCGGACTTTTTTTTGTCCTACACCTATTTGAACGTTAATGGAATCTGCTGGATGTTTTTTGCGAGATGATTGCTTTGAAGTCCTAATATGTTTGTTACATTTGGCAACAATTTTGGTGTACTCTATTTAAGCTCTGTTTGGTCATTTTGTTAGATAAGCTATAAAATACTCCAATGAATATAAAAATTGGCTTTTCTCAACCTTTCACTATACTGAGTGTATACATTTCTAATCCCACAACACTGAATCACAGGTAATGAAAATGGAACAGAGCAAAAGATTAATTAACTGTATCGTTCATTTTATCTTTCTGAAACGACTTTCGCAATGTTCCTACTTCAATTTTATAGGTTTTGTACTTTATAATCTACTTAGTGATGACGTAAGACCATTGGTATTTCAAGTACGAGGATATGAGAATTTCAATTAAATCTACATTCATGTTGCCAACAAAACTAGTAACGAGATGGATACATAAAGAGAAACCCTAATTAACCACGTGAAAAAGTCTACGCCAAAGATGAAACATAAGCGAAACCCTAATTAAACACTTCCAAGTTCCAAGCCTCTCCAAAACTTTACTCTTTTTGCTCGTTTCCGGGTTTGGCGATCGGCGACAGAAAGGGCGCGAGTCGTGTCGATCAAACCACTTGATGAAACATTCTTCATGAAAAACATGCGCACAACCAGGCGGTTCGCAGAGGGGCTTAGTCTCGTGTTCTGAGTTCTGACTCCGACATAATCTCAAGACCTATCGCACAAGTACTATCCCAATCTACCTTTGCTATCGTGGAAGGAGCAGAAACTGAAGGCACAACGATGTATTATGTCTTTGTAAATTTGACGAGTACCGGTATGAACAAAGTTCTTCGTTTTTGTGGCGAGACTCTCCGTTGGGATGCGGTAACAATCCGATCAGTTATGAGTCGGGACAAGTGATGATCGTGAAATTGGCTGTAGATTCGTTGACGGTCATTTTAATGTTGGTGTATTTCCTTTTTTCTTTCTTATTGGTGGCGTAACTCTCCGTCTCTGGTTCATTGTTTTTCTTTTCCTGCGGGTGACTTATAACCAAGTCATTTTGGTTCTTGTTTCTCGGTTTAAATATGGTTTATTGATTTAAATATTCCACCATTCACCACAACAAAAGCAGAATAATTCTATAGAATTCAAATGATAATGCTGAAACATTACTATTCAATTGAAAAAATAATAATTCTAAAGCATCATCATCATTAAGACGTTCGTTTGTGTATCAATATATCTCTCTCTATCTCTACGCATTGATTTCTTGAAACATCCCTTTGGTCATCTTCCTGCAAATCCATTGCCACCAAAAGAAACCATGTCAACAAACAGACTTACATACATAGAAACATACATAGACTTAATACGAGACAAAGATTATATGCATACCTAGGGAGTACTTGTGCCTTGTGGCATTTGGTACCAATACAATCGTGATAGCATTTGTCTTGGCCGGAATACCATATTTGGCACTTGTGATAGCACCTATTGTCACAATCTGCAAATGATTCACCGTTTGCCGTTAATGGCATCGTCGTCAACGCCATCATCATCATTATCATCACCAACATACACTTCTTCTCCATCTTTCTTTCTTGGTGTGTGTGTGTGTGTGTATGTGTTTTTTCTCTCTTTTTTGCTTTACTGTACTCAATATCGCCAACCTCTATTTATAGCATTTTAACATTCTCCATTATTGGAAACATATAGAAATAAGTAGTAAGGTTGACTAGGTATAATATGGTTATAGAATGTATATATATTTTCTACAAAGATCAATGGAAATTACATTGACTATTTAATTGGTGTCAATCAATGTACAATCGCAACGTAGATTTTGTTGTCTGTTATGGAATCACTTCTATTGACCACGATCATGACGATCGCAAAATATCTTCTAGAGGAAAGAATGGAAGATTCTGATGCAAATAATCTTTAATGTTGGAGGCAAAGACCTTTTACTTTCTGAGTCTTCCTAAATTTCCCATAAGAAGGATGTGGATTGTCTAAAGAGTCGACTAATTGAGCTAAAGAAGATCACTACAAGTGAATCGAGATCAAGCATGTAACTGTTGACATCTACTGGGTTGATTTTGTGGTATTTTGGGAAAAATAAATTTCTGGTATTTTAGGAAATATATTCAGCTTCAGTTTGCTCAATTGTCTCTCTTTTCTCATAGGCATCTCCTTGTTTTTATCTTTTTTGCCAAGTAAGTCCCTATCTATTTTTAACTCTTTGTAATCTTTCTAACCCTTCTCATTTTTAAATGAAATTCAAATACTTAGCAAAAAAAAAAAAGTTTGCTCAATTGTTATTTTTGCCTTGCAGTGCAAGATTACAGGGGATACACCAGGATTCAATTTCCCAGCACTTGAACATCCCAAAGAACAAGCTCGAGTATTCTCTTTCTCTCTATTTAGTGATGGAGATACTACAATTAATTAAAATCTGATGAAGTAAAACCATCTTAGAGTTGGTTCTGTTAGCAGAAGCAAGATTTGGTTTCAACATCCAAGTTATGTGGCTTACCAAAGTCGAGATTTGTGTCGTGTAGAACTGGAATAAAATGATAATGGGTTGTAGTTAAATTTCAATTAAATCTACTGGATTACATTCATGTTGCCAACAAAACTAGTAACGAGAAGGATACATAATGACAAACCCTAATTAACCACTTTAAAAAAAAAAACATAAGCAAAACCCTAATTTCCCTTCCAAGGCCCTCCAAAATCTACTGCATTACATTCATGTTGCCAACAAAACTAGTAACGAGATGGATACATAAAAGATAAACCCTAATTAACCACTAAAGAAAAAAAAAAAAAAAAAAAAAAAAAAAAAACCCTAATTTCCTCTTCCAAGTCCCCTCCAAAGCTGTACTCTGTTTATTCAGGTTTGACTGATCGGCGACAGAGAGGGCATGAGTCATGTTGAGCCAACCACTCGATGACACAATCTTCATGAAACATATGCACACAATTAGGAAGTTCACAGAGGGGTTTCGTCTCTTGTTCCGACTCCGACATAGTCTCAAGACATATCACACAAGTACTATCCCGATCTACTTTCACCGTCGAGGAAGGAGGAGCCACGACGACGTATTCTTTCTTTGTGAATTTGACGAATACCGGAATGAACAAAGGTCGTTGTTGCGGCAAGCCTCTCAGTTGGGATGCGGTAACAATCCGATCAGTTATGAGCCGGGACAAGTCATGATCGTGGAATAGGCTGTGGATACGTTGATGAACGTTGTGTCGTGTCAAGTTTTGGAACCTGAGAAAGATTTGTTGGTCGTCAACAGAGGAATCCGGGTAAGATCCTAGACCCGATGAGATGATACGACCACCATCGCTCTTGTCTACGTGAAATTCTTCAACTTGTCGAGTTTGTGTTATGATCACCGAGTTTAACAACCCTAGCGACGGAGCTAGTTGCGTCATAGCTGTTGCGTTGACCTCGACTTTGATTGCTGCAGTTTCCATTGTGGGAGAAATTCAACAAAAAAACAGAGAGAAAGATATGAGTCGGAAGAGAGAAGAAGATTGTGGCGAAGAAGAAAATTGAGATGAGAATTGTGTGACAAGAAGTGGGTGTGATGTTATTTATTTATAGAGAAGAAATGAAGAGATTAATTTTGTTGTAACGGTTATTATTACTCTTAAGCGTATGCCTTTTTCCTTTTTTCACTTCTTATTTCCTTTTTTCTTCTTAACGGTCATATTTATTCGATATTTCCTTTTTTGTTATTATTCATGTTTTCCTTTTTCTGATTGTATCGGTTAATCAGGATGTGGGTAAACAATCTGTGCTATTGTTTCTCGGTTTCTTATGGTTTGTGATTCACTCCACCCACAACAACAAACAAAACATTTGATTATTTTTAAAACCTGTAGCACAACACTGTCATTACTTCGGATTGGAGCTTGCTTGGACCTCAAGTTGTTGAAGAACTGACTAAAATAAAAATAAAAAAAGGATAGGCTTGTCTAAATTGACGATAAAGAAGAAAAAACAAATCTCAAGAACACAATACCCTTAAAACAGAAGGTGGAAATAAAAACAAAACAGTTTAAACCCAAATATAGAGGTAAACAATAAACGACAGGTTCAAATTTAGCCAAAAAAAAATCCTCTTTTGAAAATATCTCTCCACCATTAATCTTGATTATCACCTATCATCTTCTGTATATATACCAAATGAGATCCTCTCATTGCAAACTCAGGCTTTGAGGTTTAGCTTTGCACTATAGAAAATTAAGGGTGATAAACAAAAACAACTCAAAGATGGGTCTCAAGGCCTCCTCTTCTCTCCTCTGTCTCACAATCTTACTCGGTGTCTCCTCCATTGTATCAGCGGTTAACATAACCCGAGCACTCGAGAAATACCCGGAATTCAGCACCATGATCGAGCTTTTCAACAAGACACAGCTCACACCGATCATCAACAAACGTCAGACCATCACCATTCTGGCTCTTAGCAATGATGCAATCGGTTCCATCTCTGGTAGACCCGAGGAGGAGATCAAGAACATTCTTATGAGCCACGTGGTTCTTGACTACTACGATGAGCTCAAGCTCAAGGCTCTCAAGGACAGGAGCACAATGCTCACTTCCCTTTACCAGTCCACCGGTTTGGGCCAGCAGCAAAACGGTTTCCTCAACTGTTCCAAATCTAACGGAAAGATTTACTTCGGGTCCGCCGTGAAAGGAGCTGCTCAAACCGCTGAGTACATCAAGACCGTGTTCCAAAACCCGTTCAATCTCTCTGTTGTCCAAATCAGCATGCCCATTGTGGCTCCTGGACTCGGTGCTCCGGTTAAGATTCCTTCACCACCACCCATGACCGCTTCACCACCCGCTCCAGCTCCCAAGAAGGCTTCAGCCACTCCGGCTCCTGGACCAGCTGAGGAAGGGGATTACGCAGACGCTCCTCCTAGTTTAGCACCAGAAACCTCACCTGCATTAGCACCGGAAAGTGATTCTCCTGCTCCGGCTCCATCCAAAGCTGGTAAGAAGAAGATGGCTGCAGCTGATGAAGTTGAGCCACCTACTTCTGGTGCTAACGCTGGTTTGAGCTTTGGTGCTGTTCTTGTTCTTGGATTTGTGGCTAGCTGGTTCTAAGATGTTTTTTTAAGACAGAGCGAGTAGAGAACAATAAACTGAAAATGAGACTTGACCATAGAGAAGCGTTTTGATATGAAGTTGATAAAAAAAGACAAACAATTTCTACTCCCATTAATGTACTTCAATCATTTATCAGTAGGGGCAATGAAAATGTGATTTGTCCTGTGAAAATTTGTATAACGAAATTGTACTACATGTTATATCTTCATTCATTCAATTCGTAACGAAGTTGACGCCATAAACAATTCAACAATAACTTTAAACTAGCATTAGGATGAAACAACAATAACTCTAAACTAGTCATGTAATAAATTTCCGTAGTACAAATGTTTTCCCAATGATACACGCAAAAGATGATACGAAGAGATAAATGTGTCGTAATTGCTTGTACGAGTGAGCATATCCTAACATTTGAAAAAATTGGACTGTAAACAGATTATAACAATCTTTTACATGTAAACAAATCGTTATACGTAATGATGATAGCTTCATAGGAAACATTTTATTAGGGAAAAAAATGTACAAAGAACGGTAGGTTCTAATGAACGGGACATTCGTAGTTGATTATAGATGCATTTCGTTTTCTTACTTGAAGTGTTTGATAAGTTAAACCTATTGTTTTTTCTGGAAGACTAAGAATATGAGGGAAGAATAACTACATTTGTGATTATTTTCAAAACTGGAATGCATGCTTCATCTGATCAAACATTACATATTTTTGAGTTCAATGAGATTTTGAAAAACTTACATATTTTTCTCCGACTCTTAATTGTAAGATCATATGTATTAGCTTTCGTAATTGGTATTTTATTTGTTGCTGAGAAAAAATTATGATTTCCATCTGAAGTTTTTTATTACACTTCTATATTTTACTGAGAAAAAAACTGTTGACATTCTAAAATCAAATGTTGCAGTGACAGATGACAGATCATATAATTTTTAACTGTTTCAGTGGCGTGACATATACAATGAGATCGAGATCTAATAATCATGCATATGTATATAGTATTGATTAATCAGAGAAAAAATACTATCGAGTGCCGCTTGGGACGAAACCAATATTACATGCTATGGTTTCGGGTCTAAGGGGATGTACAGACTTCGGCCCAAAACCTCTTAGTAATTCAAAAAAAAAAAAAAAAAAAAAAAAAAAAATACTGAAGAAATGGATGATTGAGTCCTTCGATGGTAATAAACCTTGTCGCCAAATTAGTGGGCATGGGCCGCATGGTTGGTGTGAAACCAAATGTGACGTAAATTGTGAGTGTGCACGAGTGACCAAATTATCTTCGTAATATTATGTCTCTTTGCATAGATATGCCTAGTTTGACTCTCATAATTGCTCGTTGCCTTTAATCCCCGTTACCAACGTATGCCTCCAAATATATTTTGATGTGAGATATTCTTCAAATAATCAACTAAATTCTCAGTATAACGATACAAAGTTTTGAAGATGGTCGATCTCCTAGAAATAGAAATATTTTGGAATTTATTTCTATTTACAAAAATTTCAATGATAATTGTAGTTTTGGTGAGACCGGAAAAACCCCGACATTGTGATTATCTATTCCGTGAGTCCTAGCTCAGTCCAATGCCCTCAACAGTATTCATCATTAAAGTTCTCGTAACCGCATTAAGATGCGCCTTTATATTCTGATGTTTCGTTGAATTTTATCAATTTCCAAACCAACTAAAATCGCATATATACGTAGCGTAACAAGTTATACTTTGTGGCAGCTAATTTAATTGTGATCTTTACATATTATCAGAGATGCATGTATTTGTTAAGATTTCGTACATCGTACTTGTGCATGGATCAGTACTAGCTTTTTTGTCGGATGTTTACATAAGAAATAAAACATGTAAATTTTATAGGCATATTACACATGTGGATGTGTGTATATATGATTATATACGTATAAGGTAAGATGAGTTAATAAGGGTCCTAAAAGGAGAATTTCTTGACCAACTACACAAAATAAACAAAGGATAAAATTTGGACGTGTAGCTGCATGTACGATGTACCTTGTACTTGAAGACCCTTATTAGGTGAGAGCTTCATGCACACTCTCTCTTCCAGAATTTCGATTGGATATAGTCATGTTATTTAATCATAAATAATTACTAACAATTATTTCTGATATATATGTGGAAATAGATCTTCAATCTAGACCAGTATAAGGCAGAGCCGTGTTACAGTAATTATTTTTTAATTACATCAAAGAAAAAACAAACCTACTATTTGTCTTCTTCCTTCAGATTTTCCTCCTTAGAATAGTCACAAGTCATCCCTGTCTCATGATATATAAATATCACCAAAACCCTAATCTCACAAAAGGTTTGGTTTTCTGGTTTTTCTTCTTCCATCCAAGTAAGCCCATATCTCCCCCTATACATATATATAATATATATTGTAATTATTTTCTTCATTCAGACAATAACATTTTTAGAATTTTGGGATCTATGTCCTCTCGTATTCTTGTGGATGGTGAAACTTAAACATGTTTTTGCTATGTACAAGCAGATTTAAAACTAAAGAATAGCTCAAATGGATCAAGGAGATCATCAGCAGGAGAAGAAAGAAGAAGAAGCTTTGCCTCCGGGTTTCAGGTTCCATCCAACGGATGAGGAGCTAATCTCGTATTACTTGGTTAATAAGATCGCCGATCAAAACTTCACCGGAAAAGCAATCGCCGATGTTGATCTCAACAAGTCCGAGCCGTGGGAGCTTCCTGGTACGCGCTAATTACTCTAAAATATTTTCTGCGTACTCACACAAAAGATCACATGTATATCTATATGATATGTTTACAAATCATATTTTTATAGGTGGATACATCATACATGTATATATTGATATATCTCTTTTACTTAAAACAAAAAAAAAGTTTTTATTCAAACCTGGTAAAACCTAATTTTGTTTGGTTAAAGACATCCAAATCAATCAGTACATATAAAGTATAAGAAGTACACACATATGTATAGTGAGAATATATAGCAAACATCATAATCTTCAACAGTTCAATTATAATCTTTTGATTTGGGAATGCAACTGACAGTTCATAACACCCACTATTTTTCGTATTTTGGCTGATAAAAAATGCAATATTTTGTATACCATGAATGTAGTCTTAAGACAAGTCTACGGTGGTTGTAATTCCTTTATATGTTCTAGAAATTCCCTCATAATTACTCATGCGGCGTATCCGCCAATGGTTGAATTTCTTCGTGTATATTCATTAAAAACAAAAAAAAAAAAATTCTTCGTGTACTATAAAAATTATTTGATATATCCCCTCAATAATCTACACAAATATTCTGTTAATGTACAGATGTACGATATAAACTTATAAACATGTGACTAGAGTCTAGAGTGGAGGCTAGATTGTAGATGTAAAATCTATGGAATAGTTTGGGTTTCTAATTTTAAAGACTCGGTTTAAAATTAGCAAGCATATCTTTAAAATAGATATTCACACAATGAAGTTTCCTAACAAACACTGATTACATGAACGGAAGTCATGCGTTCACTACCGTACGTACGTCAATTTCTCATCTACTCATAATTTTGTCTTTAATTAATCCATAACACAATAAATTAACATTATCTTTGTTTCTTTTCTTTATTCCAAACTGAACCGGTCTAATTAAGTTAACAGTTGTCAATACTCATAGAAGCTTCTTACTAGTGAGATGTTTATTTGTCAATATTAAGAAAAAGAAATTTAGCTCTAATCAGCCAATTAACTCATTGTACTTAATTACAAAGTTTCTGTTTGAGTAAATTGTTGATAGAGAAGGCGAAAATGGGAGGCAAAGAATGGTACTTTTTTAGTCTACGCGACAGAAAGTACCCGACGGGTGTGAGAACAAATAGAGCGACAAATACAGGATACTGGAAAACGACAGGAAAAGACAAAGAGATATTCAATAGCACAACCTCGGAGTTGGTCGGAATGAAGAAGACTTTGGTGTTCTACAGAGGAAGAGCTCCTCGTGGAGAGAAGACTAGTTGGGTCATGCATGAATATCGACTTCACTCTAAGTCCTCCTATAGAACCTCCAAGGTAACCTAACTTTTTTTTGTTCTTCAACATGAATATAAATAAAAAACTAATATGCAATCACGGTCATGATTCAAATGACTTCGATAATCAAGTTTTATGGACCAAAATCTACAATGTTCCTAACACATGGCTTATTTTTGAAAAATATATATTCTCACTGCCGAAGTTGTATATATGTTTTGTAGTGGGATTAGCACAAATTGATGAATCATTTTCTTTCACAAGAAGAATGCATATACTCAATAATTCTCATTTCTCAATTTTCTTTTCTTTTCAATGGTGTCGCATGCAAAATGCAGCAAGACGAGTGGGTCGTGTGTAGAGTGTTCAAGAAAACAGAAGCAACCAAAAAATACATAAGCAATAGTAGCAGCAGCACAAGTCACCATCATCACAACAACACAAGAGCTTCAATGTTAGCAACCAACATTAACAATAACCCTAATTACTCATCAGACCTCCTTCAACTCCCACCACATCTACAACCACACAACAGCCTCAACATCAACCAGTCCCTCATTGCTAACGCCGTTCACCTAGCCGAGCTCTCTAGAGTCTTCCGCGCCTCCACAAGCAGCAACATGGACTCTGCTCAGCAGGTAATTGGCTACAACCACATGCCTATCTCAGGACTCAATCTCAACCTTGGTGGTGCATTGGCCCAGCCTCCTCCTCCTACTGTGTCGCTGGAGGATGTTGTAGCGGTTAGTGCTTCGTTCAATGGCGAAAACGGGTTTGGAAATGTGGAGATGAGCCAATGCATGGACTTGGATGGATACTGGCCATCTTATTGATTAGTAATTCGTTGAAAATTATGGCTTTTTATATTGTTGGTTTGAGGAAGATAGTTTCATTTACTGGTTGGTAATACTTTTTTTTGTTTTTGTTATTGCATTTGTTTAGCTATTCAAGGAAAAGATTCAGCATCAAAGACTAGCCAAACCAATTATGGTCTGGCATACAAATAAATGAAATGTTGTAACATATCCCAATTTGTTTTCATTTTAAGTTGCCATAGAAGTCTCCAGAATTATACTACTTGTACGTGATTGACGAGAGTGATCACATATTTTCAAGAGTAATAGAGCAAGTACCAAATCTATCCACATGAATCACAAATTACAAAAACAAAAGCCCTTAATTACTAGATTTCCTCTAAGATATGTCTAATCTTTTCTATATATAAAAGACTGAAAACTTTATCCGAAAGGCATCTCAAAAAAAACGAGAGTGAAGAAACACTTTTGCACACACCGAGAGCTTCAACAAAAACACAACAAAAAAACTCTGAGATACCTCTTAACATGGGATGTTTAGACAAAGATATATGCCTATTTCCGAGGCACAAAGAGACCGCATCAAAACCTGTCGTTACCTGCAACAGTTTATATAGGAAAGTCAAAAAAACGCAAGACACAAGGCTTCATGATCATGTGAAAGCTTTAACCTCAGTCTACAGTCGCTAATCGCTTCTAACATTACATACGAAAGTGTTGAAGGCGTTTCAGATCAGCAAAATGACTAATGCATATATCAACATCTGACATATAGCAACCAAAGATTCTTTCTTCATGATACGTTCTGCCATGTGCATTTAAGCAAGAAGCGAGACGTACCACTAATATTTTCAGAGTGAAAATAATGTTGCTTCACTTGTCGGAATGACCCCTTCTGGCCTTACGACGACTATGGTGATGAGCCTGACGGGTAGGTTTCTTTGTCTTTGTGCTGTAAGAAAACGATAACAAACGAACTAAAGGTCATTTGGAGGAAATCATATTGACATCTTATAAATAATGGATCAGTTATAAAGGACTTGCCAGAAGAGAGAACAGAGGAATTTGTACACTATGAAGATGGGTAAAGCCAACAAAGCAGAGGCCTGCAGTGAACAGTTTTTCAATTTGTAAGTTAAGAGAAGAAACAACTAACAAAAGGTTGTAAGACCAGAAAACATACCGTAAACCAAATGAACTCTTTGGTGGCAAAAGGTTCAGTCAGCTCATGGCTTTTCAACTTTTTTTCCACAGTGGCTTGAACCTTCACAGATTTACCAAATGATTAGCTCAAAAGCCAACTTACTTCTCCAGAAGTGGCACTATTCATATTTAGAGTTAGAGTGTCAATATATTATACACAGTGCCTTTGATTCTGACCTGATGGTGATACGTTGTGGCAGATTTTAGGAACCCTTTGTAGTAGTGAATAGCCTTCTTTGTGTATGGCTTCATGGTAGCTTTCGCCTTATCAACATGTGGTTTTGTGGCCGTGGCCACTTTGTCAACGTATGGCTTGCTTAACTTTTTAGCCTCCTGGAGAGTTAATAAACACATTAAGCCGATGTTTTCAATTTTTCATCAGCCGGTGGAGCTGAAAGATTAGTATCCACGAAAAAATTTAAAGATATATAAGCAAAATACTTCACCTGGTAATAGGGATCCACATGTCCTTGAAACTTGACAATATGAGGACTAACAGCACTCTTGGAAGCATGGTAAGCCTCTTTCGCTTTGGTAGATAGTGTTTTTACGTGTGGCTCAACATGCGTTTTGACAGTTTTCTTCACCGCTGGAATATATTTCTGCAAATAAAATTTCATAAATATAACCATAAGAGCCTCATCTGAGTAATAAAGTACATTGTTTGTAAGCTGCTTACAGTTTTAACATTAACCAAGTGTGGTTCAGCCCATTTTTCAGCGTGAGTCTTTGCTTGCTTCGCCTGATAGATAATCAAACATCGTAAGGCATAAGTTTGCTCACATATACATGTAATCACCATTTTAACTGGATAAAACAATACCTTTTGAGTTACTTTCTCCATAACTGGTTTCCCGTGGGCGTCCCAGTGTGTCCCAGCAACAGTCTGAGTCGAGGAAGTGCCTAAGTTAATTGAGAAAACCTCTTAACGTTAAGAAGATAAAGTCTGCTAATCTAACCTCAAAATGAACCCAGTGAACAGCAAGCCAATGGGGAAGCCACGAGCCATGAACCTCTTGCAGTTCCCTAGCCTTTGTGGCTGCTTCATGCTTCATCCGCAACATTTCTTCCTAAAATTTCATTTTGATAAGGGAGAGTTCAAGGGAACTAAAACTTAATCCAAGAGCTAATCATCATCATACCTCAGAAGTTTTAAGAGCACGCTCAAGTTTTCGAATCCTGCTCTTCTGCTCTTCATTTGTCTTGTGAAGCTGCATGACATTCATTGTTAACATTGGCATACACAAAACACACATATCTGTCAAGCAACTTGCATACACCTCCAAATATCTCAATCACATTTCACTACCAGCTAAGCTATTTAAATGATTTCGAAATGATAATGAATCTGTGTCAATAGGAAATGAACAAAGGAATGTAAAGAACATACTTTCTCCAGTTTCGAGTTTAGTTCGTTTAGCTTTTTCTCGGCTTCACGACTCCGAGCTTCTGTCGATGCTTTCTCCTTGTTCTTTTGCTCCAGAAGGTTCCTAAGTACCTCAACCTGAATGTAGTAGTAGCAAACTAAATTTCAGACTGCCATTTGCAATACAAAATGAGCTCCAAACGAAGATCTCACCTGCTGCTCTAATTCCTCAGCTCGTGCTTGAGCTTTCTTCAAAAGTTCCACAGAATCTGATGAACCTTTGTTCTAAAGACAAGTGAGAAAAAAACAATCAAATTGGGATTCGTCACTCGGAAAAGTCTACACAGAGATGACTGAACAAGTAAGAAATTGAAGTGAGGCTATAAGAGGCACACATACTCTTAGTGATGAAACCTCAGTCTCCAAGGAAGCAACCTTATCTTGTCTCTCTTGAAGAAGTTTCTCCTTCTCTGATACTAACACTTCTCTTCCTTTAAGTTCTCTGCTTTTGTCATCAATCTGGGATTCTTCACCAACCAAAAACCAAAAATATCATAAACCGAGCAACAAGCTTCCCTCTAATATGGGTGTTCAAATCAAATTGATCAGACATCGAAAAATGGAAGCAAAATCGAAATTTAGTGACTGTGAGATTCTGAGAGGAATTGCAAACAGAAACTAACCTAGGGAACTAATTTTCGCATTAAGCTGTTCCAATTCGATCTCAGAAGCTAAATCAACACCGCCGTCAGATCCGGCGAGCTTCGGCTCTTCACCGCCGTCGATTCCGGCATCGGCAAACACACCGGTGGTGAAAACCAAGGCGAGAAGTAGGAACAACGCCACGAGTTTCGCGGCCGCCATGTTTGAAACAAAAACGGAGAGGTGATCGCCGGAGATTCTCTCGTAATTTATGAGTTTAGTGACCAAATTGGACACACAGAGATTCTTCTTTTTTTCTTTTTGATGATTAAGAAAGAACAAAGAGGAGGTTTTTTGTTTGGGTGATCAGAAAAGGCAGGAGATGTGGCTTCGTGACTAACACGTGTCAAATTTTCGAGATGATTATTAATATCAAAAGAAAACTTACCTCTGGAGGTAAAATGAATAAAGACATTGTCACATCTTTTTTGTTGACGTCATAAATTATAATCATGTCTGAGTCTGACGTCACTCTGACCAAGTGACCATTTTAGAATGGGAAACAAATTTTGTAATCAATTGATGAGATTTCTATCCATAACTTTGTTTTGTTTTCCATAACCATAACCTGTGAAAGATTTATATCCATAACCTGTGACATACTGACATGTAAATGAGGGGAAAAAACAAAATCATGGCTAATTTTCCACGAAATTGTTTCTGAGAAAGTAAAAACAGATTGTGTGTGATAAACTGATAATGTTGTTGGGTTGCACCTGCGCACGTGTTAAGTTCACGACGCTCAAAAGGTTAGGGTAGGTAAGAAATATAGTTGGGCCGTAAGTACATTATTAATGGGCTTTAGTCTTTTTTGTCAAACTTGTGTTTAATTTCTTCTTCAATGTTAACTACTTCGAGCGACTTTTAAATATGAAATCGAATAAAAGTTGTAATACCAACCAAACCAAACAATTCCGTTGCTTTTCACGAGAAAAAGCTATAAAAGCAATCGATTTCAATTATACATTCATCCTTTTTATGCTGGACAAGACATATCAGACTATGAAATCTCTATTGGACCTCCCTTGTGATCCGAGAAGAACCATGACGTCGTAGTTCCATCTTGTAAGTTGTAACATGCACATTACCCAACTCTATTCTACACCGCTGGTACGTACGCGTTAACTTTCTAAGACCTGTCAATATATGTAACAAGAAAAGATTGTACCATCTTCTAATTTTGATATTTTATTGTTGAATGATCATTTTGAATAAATCATATAACAATCATGAAGATCATTACTGAATGTGGCACGTATAAAACACCCGAAATATAAAGCCAGCTATAATTATATAATTTCTCGATTGTTCATTACTGATTAGTTCAATCATGCATTTAGATTGTTTTAAAATGGTGGTTACCACTTAACTCCAACTATCATTGAATGTCTTCTAACAAGAAAACGATTTCTGATCATTTTCTTAATGGGGATCGATACATTAATTTAGTAAGAATGATGTTAAAAAGAACTTTCAATTTAAATATACACACACAATAACATGCAACGTAACCACGAGAACGTGTATTCAGTATTCCGATACTTACCGTATTGGACGGGCCATAAGAGTTTTTATTTTTCCAAACCATACGAATTAGCTTCTCGAGTCAGAATTTTCAAATAAAATATCACATTACAGTTACTTTTATATACAGTGCTTCCCCACTGATTAACCACCGGCACATGCAGAGTCACAGAGATCGTCACCGTCAAAACTTTAATGCTCGATATAAATTGTTTTCTGTAACTTTGTATGCTTAAAATAATAATTCAGTATACATGTTTTAAAAAAATAACGTCCAAAAACTTCATTCAAGATGTATTTTTTTGTTCTTTTGGGGGTAAAATGTTAAGTGAAGAAAATATGGACCATTTCGGACCATGCTAATCTTCTATTCTTCTCCGTATAATTCCAATTTATCATTCGAATTCTATCGAATGTCTTCAAAAAACTTTACATGAAGATACATAGCTATGTAAAGAAATAAATTACACGATAATGATTCTTGACATAGCTATGTATCTTCTTGTTATAGTCTTGGCTTTTATTGTTATAAACTTATGTGTTTTATTTATTAATACGAAGTTGTTGACGTTAAAGAAGAATCAAATTTTTTATTCAAAACATTTGTCGTTGAAACTAATCATTTATACTCTATCGGAAGTTTTTGTTTCTGTGAAGAATCATTCTGTTGAACTCATAATATATACCTGTTATATATATTGTTGTCCCACATACTTAGATACATGTATTAGTATTTTTTTTCTTTTCTTTATAACGCTGATTGATGAATTGATAAATTGAAAGACAAATAAACCAATTAGTGCTTAAGCTTTTATATAGTGCATGGGATTTTACTTTTGTTTTTTGGGTTTTATAGTGCATGAGATCTTGTATCACTTATCGATGAGCTAGATCCTATCAAATAGTATTGCACATAAGAAATCAACTATATACATTAGTAGAATAATATATATGCTTTTCATCTAGATGAATTTATGCCTAATTTACCCGATGTTGATTTTTGTAATATATGTAGTCGTTCTTTTTTGCAAGACTACATTCGCACGCATATGTTTTTTCCTGCAAGTGTGAACATAATGCACTTGCTCTTGTAACACGTAATACTTTTATTTGATGGTCTGAACTCTGAAGAGATGTAGGAGTACAAGAAAACACAATTTTCAATGTTCAATTTGTTTGAATCAATTAAAAACCCTAAAGCATATGATTAGCTCAATATTTTAACTTAAAACTACAAAAATAGATAATCTTTAATTACGTAACTAATTAAATCAGAATTCCAAAGTCACCAACACCTCTATATATCCCCATTCCACCACGTCGTCATCACTACACACGTAGAAGAAGAGACAAAACACAAACCATCACATAAGACAAAAGAGAGAGCACAAAAACACATTTTCTTGTCTTCTGTCTTCTATCTCCGCCATGGAAGCCAAGAAGTCCAACAAGATCAGAGAGATCGTTAAGCTTCAACAGATCCTCAAGAAATGGCGGAAACAAGCAAATGCATCAAAAGCAGCCAAAAGCAACAACAACAACAACGAAGACAACAATGACAATGGCGTAGGAAGCAAGAGCATCAAGTTTCTGAAGAGGACACTGTCATTCACAGATGCAACAGCGGTGCCTAAAGGGTACTTAGCTGTCTCGGTAGGGTTAGAGAAGAAGAGGTACACAATACCAACAGAGTACCTTAGCCACCAAGCTTTCCATGTTCTTCTCCGTGAGGCAGAAGAAGAGTTTGGGTTTCAACAAGCCGGTGTCTTGAGGATTCCTTGTGAAGTCTCCGTTTTCGAGAGCATACTGAAGTTAATGGAAGACAAGACCGAAGGGTACCTGGTGATGACAACAACAACAACAGCTAAACAAGAGTGTTGGTTCAATGCAGCAGCAGAAGACAATACAAGTTATCGGCATCCATCGGAATGTCCTCGGACTCCTTCACACCAACCTCACAGCCCAATGTGCAGATAGTTTTGTTCTTTCATGCATCTTCTTCCTCTCTTGTTGTTGTTGACTTGAGCCATTCTGCTAAATTTCCATGTTTCCCACTTTTTCTTTAGGGATTTGGATTTGTGTGCTTTGTAACTTCTGAGAGAGAGAAGTGAGATCTTTGAATAATGGAATGTACAAACCTATCATTGAAACTGAAATGAGAACCTCTGTTCCTGGAGACTCTTTTGTTCTTTCCCTGCTCTGTTTTCGATTTTTTGTATGAGAACTTAAAATGACTTTGTCAGATTCTCTGGTGAAATTTCTCACAAGAAACAACCAGTTTATTGAAATTAACAATCAATTTCTGATGACAAATGCAGTAGCCTTTACCAAAACATATTCAAATGCTGTATAAAGTGAATCAAGCAAAAACAATATTCCAAACTTTTTATACACAAGAAGAATTAAAATCCTCTGTAATCCAGTGGTATATATCTGCAGTGGATTACAAATCTCAAATCTCAGCAGATAGAACCTAATGAAACTTGAGGAGAATTGAGTCACATGGATTGAAAATCTGCATTTTTGTTTTGTAACTCTAAGCAGAAATCAAGCTGACAACAATCCAAAATGCTATGATTCAGAAGTAGGAAGAGAAAAACAAGAAAAGGGAATGGTTCATGTTTCTATTTGTGCAGTTTGCGTTTTTTCCGGAACAACCATGTGAATCGAGGTTGCAGTTATGTTAAAGTAATCAGAGAATAAAAAATCAGTACAATAATGTAATCACAAGCATTATTATAACGCAATCACCAGCATTATTATAATGTAATCACAATCATTATCACGGCATTGTACTTCTAATCACCAACCGGAATGTGGTTGTTAAACTATCCAAAGGCAATAAGTACGGTATCCTAAGCTAATCTCAAAGAAATTAAAGCTATAATAAGGCTACTTAGTACTAGAATAAGCTAATATCATAGTCAAATGAGTATTTTCATGTAAAGAAAGTAGCTCCATTATTATGTTCACATGCATATACGTTCATCTTGAAAGAGTACGGCAGATCAAAAGGACTGATTTGATTCCAAAACGAGAGAGAGAGATGTTCATGGAATCATATGTTGGTTATGTGCCATATGATTAATGAAGGTCAAAGTCAAAACATAAACATCGAGATCCGGTAAACCAGAAAAGGCCACATGACATCTGTACCTTAGGTTTAATACCATCAAGATTCTTAACTCATCGACTTAATACATGTGCATTTATCTCCTGAACCCAATATCGAGGATGATGATGAATGAAAACTTGGAGAAAGAAAGAGTTGCAGATTCTATAAAGACCGCAAAAACCATTTGCCTTGGAATCATAAAAACCGTTGGAATGTGCATCCATTGACTCATAGTTTTATGCGTCAAAGATGGGCGTTGAATGTTGAGGTTATAAGCTAAAGACGACAAAAGGAATCACATTTTTATACGGCCATTAATCAGTGAATGCATATCTACAGACACACATTGCAGACAAAAAGCAACCAGGAAAGGTTTCAAAGTCAGCTCATACATGAACACATAAACCAATGAATAAGCCAATGCAATCACTAATCTGATTAATATTACAAAATGTTGCTTATACATATGGCTAGATTGGCACATTTTAGGTTTCAGAGTAAGAAGAAGAGAACCTGAAACCTCATTGAAGAAGCGTGTTGATGATACCACAAGAAGAGCTTAGAAGTTAGAACAAAAGCTCTTCACCGTCTTCTGAATTAGGAAATGTGACACATTTGAACACTTTACACTTTTTACACAACACATATCCCACCTGTTAACATTATAAAAGTACACAAAATCAAACATTTCATATCACCAAAACCATAAAATTGGAGGAACAATCACAAACAAATGCAGATACTTTAGGGTTTATAATCGAAAACGACGACTACTTACAGCTCTACAAGTCGGGCATCGGCGATAGATTCTCTTGTTCTCAGATTTCACATTTGTTTTCTGCCCTTTACAGAAATCGCAGAGCAACCATCCTCTCCCGTTACAATCCTCACACAAAATCACCGCCTCGTCGTCTCCCTTCACGCGAAAAAAACCTCAATCAATGGTCAAATGACTCAAATCAAAATAATCCGATCTCAGTTTCATCGAGCTTCAGTCGTCATTTTGGTACCTGCGACTCCTCGAGCTGGAGCTCTTGTTGCTGAAATGGAACGCATCGAAACGGCTTTAAAAGACAACGGTGACGTCGACGCGACGAGCTAAGATCCGGCGACGGCGATGATCGTGACGATGATGATGGCACGAGCCGTAAATAACATGAAATTGGAGGCTGTAACGTTATCCAAGTCGCCATTTTCCTGTTCTTCCCCAATCCAACAACTTCCGTGGCGGTTGATTTTCTCAGCACACAAATTCAGCGGTTACAGTAGTTAATGGGCCGGTAATGGGTCAAATCAAGGCCCATTTAGCTTGGATCAAACATACACTAATAACATAAGCAAGCCCTAAACTTTGAGCTTCTTCTCTTCTTCCTCCGTCGTCGTCAATGGAACCTTCTCTGCCTGAACAAGTGCTTCAGCCGCTGCTCAATGCTTCGGAGTTATCATATTCTCTAGAAGATTGCTTGAAGTCCCTTCTAGAGACTTCTAAGACCGATGAAGGCCGCTCCGACCTCGCTTCGAAAGCTATCGTACCGTCGATCCTTGCTCTTCTTCAGCTTCTTCCCTACCCTTCTTCCCGCCATTACCTGAATCTCTCACTGAAGGTCCTCCGAAACCTCTGCGCCGGCGAGGCTTCGAATCAGGACGCCTTCGTCGATCACAGCGGTTCCGTTGTCGTCTCCGACTTGCTCGATTCCGCGATCGGAGATTCCGAGACCGTTCGTTTCGGATTGCAGGTTTTGGCGAACGTTGTGCTTTTCGGAGAGAAACGCCGCCAGAGAGATGTGTGGCTTCGCTTTTTCCCGGAGAGGTTTTTGGCGATCGCTAAGGTTAGGAGGGAGCGCGAAACGTGTGATCCGTTGTGTATGATTTTGTATGCTTGCTTCGATGGAAGCTCCGAGATTTCTTCACAGCTTTGCAGCGATGAAGGACTCAACATCATTGCTGAAACTCTACGCACATCTTCTTCCGGTACGTATGAACACACAACGCGATCAAAAGCTGGTTATTCTTCTAGTTTTTTTATGATTCCAAGGCCAAATGTTTTGAATTTGTTTTGCAGTTGGGACTGTGGAGGATTATTGGCTGAAGTTATTGGTATCGAGACTCTGTGTTGAAGGCGATTGCTTCCTTGACCTCTTCTCCAAACTGTATAAGGATGATAAAAATGAGACATTTACATCAGAACAAGCCTTTCTTCTGAGGATGGTGTCTGATATTGCAAACGAGCGTGTAAAAGAAGTGTCAGTCTCCAAGGATGCAGCTTGTCTCCTCCTTGGATTACTGAAGCAATCATCAGCTCACGTTTTTGATTCTGTTGTTTCGGGTGAAAGATCCGAACTTCCAACAGGTTCGACTGTAATCGACGTAATGGGCTACTCTCTGGTGATCATAAGGGATACTTGCGCTGGAGGAAGCCTTGAAGAACTCAAGAAGAACGATTCAGGTGGTGATGATACTGTTGAATCGCTCTTGTCCACTGGGCTAATAGAGCTTCTCCTTGACATGCTTCGCAAACTTGAGCCTCCAACAACAATAAAGAAGGCTCTAAACCAGAGCTCTGGCTCTGGCTCTTCTTCTTCTTCGTCAAAGCCTTGTCTTTACAGAGGGTTTAGAAGAGATATTGTGTCTGTGATTGGGAACTGCGTGTACAGAAGGAAATATGTACAAGATGAGATCAGGGAGAGAGATGGGTTGTTCTTGATGTTGCAGCAGTGCGTGACGGACGACGAGAACCAGTTCTTGAGAGAGTGGGGCTTGTGGTGCGTCAGGAATTTGCTGGAAGGGAACCAAGAGAACCAGAAAGCTGTAGCGGAGCTGGAGATGCAAGGCTCTGTGGATGTGCCTCAGCTCCGAGAAATTGGTCTCAGAGTTGAAATCGATCCAGAAACCGCAAGGCCAAAGCTTGTCAATGACACCTGAAGCAAGCAAAGCTTTACTGTGTTTTGCATAACATTCGAATTTCATAAAAAAACATAGCAATTCAGATGTATTATACAATCTCCACTTGTTTTCTTATGTTGTTGAGATGAAGAACAAATGATAGTTCCATGAAGAATGAAATCTTAAAACTAACATCTTCTCTACTGACTAAGTCATGTCTCTGATTCCGGTAAGTTCATCTGTTCTGCAAATTCTTTAGTCATCTTCAAGAAACCTTCCATGTGAAGTTGCTTCCATTCCTGAAGCAGAGCATATATGTACATAGCAACTCAAACAAGTCATGATCCAGAGATCCATAGAAATGATCTAATCAATGAACAAGTATGAAGACATCTCACCTCGAAGTCCCATGTACCGTACAGATCAGGATCATCTTTGTTGGCCCATACGTAGGTTTTTGTTTGCAGTTTCTCTGAGCTATCCTGTGGATTGAATGAATGAAACAAAATTTCAATTTTTTTTGGAATGATTCAGCTGACAATCTAAAGAAATATTTGGAGATGATCTGAAACGACTCACAGTTAGCAAAACTTGAACATTCTCTCTTGTATACTCAATATCCTCAAACTCATCTAAAATGTAAAGTTCATCATCTGTAATTCCAAAGAGTACCTGCAAAACAAAATTCCACAAAATCAGATTTCCCAAAAAACTGGGAATCTGATTCGGATCTTCATCGGTCTTCGATCATAACGAAAACAGAAATTTCATAGAGAGACACCTTGCCAGAGACTTTATCAGCCTCAGCTGGTAGAATCGTGGGATAAACACGTCCTTTGATGCTGAATCTATGGCTGCAAATCCCGAAAATCCATCATCAGTTTCATCTCATTTCAACAACTGAAATCGATCAGAGAGAGAGAGAGAAAAAAAAAAGTATAGTAATCGCACAAATCAGGGAGGATTGCGGAAGCGGTGTGAGGCACACGCTTGAGGAGAAGGCGAACGACGTCGTCCGCCATGAGACTGCCGTAGACGAAGACACTGTGCATTGTCACTGTACCACTCATCTTCGTTCGCTATCGCTGACTTGAGCTAGCCTTCGTTCGATACGCAACCTTTTCTTCTACAGAGACGATTTGTGTGAGCTGTGGACAGAATCTTCTCGATATTCTTTGGGCCTTTGAGCCTACGAATCTTTGGTTTTGTGCTTTTGTGACATTAAACTGAACAGAAATGAAAACAAAAAAATAAAAATTATCGATTCTGCTGGGGATCGAACCCAGAATCTCTGGTTTCGTAGACCAGCGCCTTATCCATTGGGCCACAGAACCGTTTCTTGCTAACTATTTGTACTAAATGTATATAACATTAAATCATATGATTAAATTGTTTGTTTATTCCCAAAACAACCGTTTCAGATTTTTTGTCTGACAAAGTGACAAGGTAAAGGTTCTCACTAAATTTGATTAATAATGATGCAAGCGACAAATAGTATTATTCAAGCGACAGAATCTATGATATTGCTTTTTCTCTAAATCATGTTCCCTTTTTTCTTGCCATATCATATTTGTGTTAAAATGTAATTGGCTCTATTATGCAAGCGACACGTTTGATAACACAAAATAAAATGTTTGAGATACATGTGTGTTCAAAATCTTACATGTGGCATTTTTCGTTCAATTATGATAAAACTTTTAATTAGCTATTAAGTGTAATCTTGTAAGTATAAATACTAGGATTATGATTAGGATTAGCACAAGGCAAAAACAATCAAGATAGAACATTAAAATTCCAAGAGATGTCTACCACAACCGCTTCCAACACCAACGAGCCACCGCCACCAAACAATGATGATCCTCCACAGCCACCGTCGGTATTTTCAACATTACCAGTGGACATCGTTTTAAACATCTTGGCCCGAGTCCCAAGAAACCATCATCCAATGCTCTCTTGCGTCTCCAAGAACTTCCGATCCCTCGTACGTTCCTCCGAGCTTCACATGACTCTATCTCTCCAAGGAAATGATGATTCCTTTTACGTCTGCTTTAGAGACTTTGACTCTCCTTCCCTAACCTATCACTGGTTCACTCTCGATGATGATCAGAGACGTTTAGTCTCGGTCCCTTTCCCTTCTCCGCCTGAGCCAAACTCTGCTGCTCTCATGATTGGTCACGAGATCTATCTCGTAGGCGGTTATCGCAACCATTCTTGCAGGAGCATATGGATCCTCGATTCCCGGTCAGCAGCAATGCGCAAGGCTCCACGTAGGCATGTGGCCTGCTGTTTTCCAGCAGTGGGACTTGTTGACGAGAAGATTTACATGTTTGGAGGTCACCAAGATGAACACAACGAGATCCAAGCGGAAGTGTTTGACACAAAGACGCAAACATGGGATGTTGCACCAAATCCGGATATGCGTGTGAAATGCGTATCCATGTCGGCGGTAAACCCTTCCTTGGACAGTAAGATTTACGTGAGAGATACTGATGGACAAGTCATAGTTTATGATCCTAGCGATGGTAAATGTGAGAAGATTTATGATGTACAAGATGATGTTAGTTTGTGGAGTCAGGATGTGTGTGTGATAGACAATGTTCGCTACATTTACCAAGAATGTTTTGGGTTGATGTGGTATGACTCTGAGGATATGGAATGGAGAGAAGTTACTGGTTATAAGCTCGGATACTGTTCTGCCAACAGAGTCACATTGGCTGAATACAAAGGAAAGTTGGCATTTATACGGGAATGTTATTGTAGCACAAAGAAGAAGACGGAGATTTGGTGTGTAATCCTTGCGTTGGAACGTGAAGGGGATGCGTTAGAGATTGTGGGGGAAGTTGAGTGGGCTGGTCTCATACTTTCCGTTCCTCATGGCTATGAGATTATGCATTGTTTAGGTCGTACGGATTGATAAAAGACATGTATATGGGGAATTTTCATAATGGTAATGATAAACCTAAAAGAATATGTTGGTGGTAGTGATGATGATGATGTTATGTCGTTGAAAACTTTGTGAGTCATTTTAATAAACATCAATATGGTTTGTTTCAATATTTTCAGATTAATTAAGTACTAGATCCTGACCCGTGCTTCGGAAGCACGGGTTGTTGCAATTTCTGTTGAGTTTATTTACATAATTAACTTAATAATTGGCTTGAGAAGCACGAGATGTTATAATTTTTAGTTTTTTGAGTTACACAGTTATTCGGTGTTAATTTTAGTTTAGGATTAAATAAATGATTGAATCAATAATAAGACGAAAAGTGATAAAATAAGTGGTAAATATTTGGATTGTAATAATTCTTCTCGAGTATACCCTAAAACGGATAAGTTCATTTCGCATGTTTTCTATCCATAAAATTAACATCAGCATTTGTGGCATCCACACCGTTTGTTTAACATCTTGCGCAAGACGAAAAGTCGCACAACTTGGGGGAATGAGAGAAATCAAATCCCAATTCGATTCGATATCTAGTCTTTTGATATGAAATTAATTTGGCGAATCCATCGAATCAGCTGTTTCATTAATAAACAATAATTTTTCATCAAATAATTTAATATGTAGTTCTGTACAATTAAAATGAAAAAGAAAAAGAAAAAGAAACTTATAATAAGTCTAGTAAGTCTCCTTGACCACTTAAAATAATATATTCTCAATTTGATATCATATAAATTTTTGTTTGTAAATCCAATATTTACTTCTTTCCTTTCATTTATAAATTTGTCTATGAGACATATATTAAAGTCAATATTACAAATTTTTACCTTTATCGGTCATGTTCTTTCTTTATGTTTTTCCGAAAAGACACGGATCTAAAAGAATGTTGCGCTAACCCGTGATGTTACTAACCTTTGAGTTAGTTAAATTTGTGAATATTAGATTTCTAAGATTATATATTGTTTTGACATTTTTTATTAAAGAGATCTAAATCGTCTCATTGGCATTATTTTTTGTGTTAGTGTAAAGCTCATTTTAAAAAAAGAAAAATTGGTAATTTAGGTCAAGAAAATGATACTCTTGTTTGTAGATCCTTTTTTTTTTCTCTCATTTTTAAATTTGTTCATGAGACATGTTAAAGTCAAATACAATTTTCAATTTTTGATTAGATCCATCTTTTTTTCTCATATGAGACATATCAAAGCCAAAAAAAACAAATTTTGACCATTATCACTGTCCTTTCTTTATTTCTTTATGCTAAAACGACACCGTTTAATTTCTTCTTCCTCGAGTTTTTTTTCCATCGGTGAAAAATCAGATATAGCTTCGACTCACCGTCTTCACTCCTCTCCACCACCGTCTTCTCTCCTCCCCACCACCGTCGATTCTTACACTTCTCTCCACCACCGTCGATTCTTAAGCTCTTCTCTCTTCTCGGTGAAGCTCGGCAATCAAGTGAGTTTTCAGTTGATTTAAGATTTTGCAATTTTGTTGAAATGGGTTTCAGTGGATTTGCGGATTGGTTGAAATGGGTTTACTGGGTTTTTTTATTGGCTCATGTGATTGTGTTTTGTGTATTGTGCATGAGCTGAGGGAGAAATCATAAGCGGATCTATCTCCAGCAGCCTTGGCCCTTGCGACTCCGACCTCCAGCCAATGCAGCCATTTCCTTTTCCCGAAGCAATCTTTCGATTGCTCCTTGCATGCGAAATCAGAGAACTCATACCCTGTTTATGTTTCTTCTTAGCTTCCGGCGAAGCTCGAAATGGGACTCCCCAGGCTTTGGGAAAAATGGAGGTAGTTGCCTTAACCTCATTCTCAATCTATCTTCCGAAACAACCTTTAGTTTCTTGTCGATTCCGCTTCTAATTTTTGTCTTTTGAAACAGGAATTGCAGGTTCTGGTTTGAGCAACAGGCGGCTCTCAGTTTCTTCTCCGTCGGAGGTACCTTATGTTGCCAAGGACCTCGGCAATAGAGTCATGATTCGTCTGGGTTTCGCACCATGTAGCGCAACCTCTGATTCTTCTCATGGAGCGAAAGGTATGTTATAAATTTGGCTATGCATTGATTTATTTATTCACCTGTTAAGATTTTAGATTGTTGGTGTGTGTTTATCTCTCACTGATTGTAGTTTTTAGTTAGCTATTTATGTGCTCGTAATGTGATTGATGCTTTGAAAATAAAAAACCATTTTCTTTGTCTTTTCTGAAAATGATTTTTCTGTGTTTGTTTGTGTGATAGATTCTTGTTATCGAAGAGTGGATCTATTGTTGGATGTTAAGACTCTTGGTGACAGAAAACTGTGAAAGCTTAAAATTGCCAACCTCTTGACAAAAGAAACCTATGACATTTTAGATGGTAGAAAGAATATTTTGCAAACATTTGACATTTTATTTAGTCAATAAAAGTACCTCATCGAAAGAAACATTTGAGATCATGTGTTTGATCATCAGCTTGCTTGCATTCCTCAAAAAGTTGGTCTGCATAATCTTCACATAGATAACCATTTAGTCCTTGATCCCTCCAGATTTATCAGTCAATAATTTATGGCAACCTAAAACTCTTTGTTATAGGGTGTTGATATGATGCAGCTCTAGTGATCGCATATAAACCAACTCTCATCAAGTTCAAGAAATGTATGCATAATATCTCAATTAGTCCATACTGAATCTTTCATATTTGATAGAAAACTGAAATGGTTCCTACTTTATCAAACCTATAAAGGTTTCAAATATTTCTAGAACCAAAGAATTCTTGATTGCATAGAAACCTACTTTGTTGTGACTACTCTTTGTTGGGTATCTTTAACGTTTATCTCCAATGTTGTACCTGACCCACACTTTAATTTCTTTCAAGAATGAAGACAATGGTGATTAAAAATTTACAAACCTTGCATCGTGACAATCTTGCCAATTCAGCTACTCATCAGACTCTAGTCACAATCAAACAAAAAAACAAAAACACATTGTTAGTTGTAGTTTGGAGCACACAATAACCATCTTTAACATAATATAGTTTATAAAGAGATTAAGCATGTTTGACTTTGGATTCTTATAACCTAATCTTACATTTTTGTCTGTCAGAATCATCTCCAATTTATGTCCAGCCTCTGCCGTGTATTGCTTCCAAACATGAAGAAGCTTGACTTGGATTCGTGTATGGACTCGTCCACCTGAAAAAAAAGGCATCAAGGTATGTTAAACAAAAATAAGCCGCCATTAAAATTGAATCAAAGATAGTTTTATGCTCTGCTTCTTTTGTTTTTGGTAGGCTCTAGAGGGAGGTCTATTTATACTAAAACGATTAGGTTAAAGATTTGATTTGATGAAAGCTTAAACTTGGTAGTTTCCGAAATTTAGGAAAATATAATATAAGAGTATCTAATCAAATCTCTTTGAACATAAGAATTAATGGCACGAATTTTTAAACTAAGTTGAGATTATCCGTGAAACACTCTAAAATTTGAATTTTCCAATTTTGTTAGTGATATTGTTGATTCTGCATATTCAATGCACAATTAATTAACGATACTTTGGAATCCTTTTGCAGATTTTTCGTTCACTGATTCCCTAACGAACCCAACCCAAGTCATTAATACCCGGTTATTTGATTCGCCTCCGGTTATTTGGATTTTTGACACCCGAAAATTGAAGTGTTTCTCCGGTTTGATTTAAGTTAGACTTGGAAGGATCCGCGAGTTGTTTGTTTTTCATAGGTGGGTCGGGTTTTTCGTTAATTTATGTGTTAATTCCGGGTTTAGGAGTGTTTGGAAACAGGGATAGGCTCTTTTGAAAAAGGTTGAATCCTTATTTTGTGCCTCTCCTTTAATAGTATAGATTGTATACTGTTTAGGATTGTATTCAATACATTGGCTCTCTATCACCAACGTAGTAGATGACCTAACCACCTATAAAGTAAAGAATGATTTAACAATGTGTTGAAACTACAGATATATTCATGTAAGATGATGATACATGGTAGAAGTTATAAATTTATATAGAAAAATTATGAGTACTCATATCGGTAATGAAGTTCAATTTTTTTTTTATAATAGTTACGCATAAGAAAATAATTATCAAGGTCTAGATTTCCTTATAATTTTGATGCGATAACGAAAAATGCAACACTATAGTTTTGATGCGATAATTCTCCGCGGGCCCATCTGGTGTTTAATTAGATAGGAAACCACTCGGAGCCACAAGGCCCTCTTGGTTCGAACTACGTCTTGATAAGTATTGTGGACCTCAGGATTTCCCCATGCGAGTTTTAGCCTCTGACCGTTGATGACTAGCGACCCGGAGAGCTCTTGCATGGCCTTCTCTGCTCCTTCACGGGTTGTGTAAGTGACAAACGCCCATCCGCGCTCGTCCAAGAATCTGAAAGCGATAGATTCGATTTCTCCATAAGCAACGAGCTTGTCACTTATGTCCTCCGTGTGGATTGTTGTGTTGATTCCACGGAGGAGAAGCTCTTTGATGCTTTCATGCATTCGGGAATTCCTTTCATGATCCCGGCCATAGGCTTGATGATCTCTCGGATTTCTGTGAGCCATTCTCGTCGTCTTCTCTGATTTCTCTTTTCAAGAGATTGCTTGGAAATCAAGGCGAATGTCCCGGCTGTGTCGGTATTGGCGGTGAGCTTGTCACACTGTTTGTGTCTCTTATAAACTCGAAACTTTCAACAAATATGTGAAATCAGCTTTTTCAGTAAATGTGAAATCAACTTTTCGCACAAAAAAAAAGTGAAATTAACTTTTTCTTTTTAATACTACAGATTAGACCTCCAACTTTCCTTTTTCTTTATCCGATGACCGAGAACATCCATCCAATGAGGCCCAGAATCAGTACTATTGCTAATTAATCAGAATTTAGTTGATCACAGAACAGAACAGATCTTAACTAACGAAAATAAACAATAAGCATCTCCATTGCTTCAGTGCATATACACAGCCTTTACTAAGAGATTAGTTTTGTTTAATTTCTTCATGAAAAATTAGGTGTTTTATATCACAATCTTAAAACAATTTTTAAAACGCCGAAACATGAGCGTAAAAAAACAAGATTATATAGAAACGTCATATGCTTTGGTGGAGAACATTTGTAAACTTAGTGAGAAGAGAGTTGGAGTCAATGTTTTTTTTGGTACTAATATCACAGCTTCGATTTTCTTCCTATTTTTAAGGATTGGATACATCTTCTAGACTTGTAGGTTTCCATTACAATCTATACACAATTTTTTTTTGTAAAATGGTCGAAATAGTCAGTTAATAGGAAAGAGAAGTCAAGAGGTAAAAGGAAAGAGAGGCGGGAAAGAAGGAGAAACGTTCGTAGAGAGAGACAGAAACAAAAGACAAAAAGGATTTTTATAGAAACTCTCTTTATCTTCATCCTTTCATTTTGCTTCCTACAAAATTAAACAAAATGAAAAACAACTGAGCAGATTTCTTAGAAGAAAACACAAACCCAAAAAGCTAAAAAACAACAACCAAAAAAAGAAAGAAAAATAAAACACAAAACGTCTCTCTCTTTCTTCCCTCAAGTTTCTTGAATCTTGAAATCGAGAAAGAGGGAAAGAGAGACTCACAAAGATGTGGATGGGGAAGAGCAATAGCGTGGGAGTCAAGGAAGGAGGAGGATCGACCGGAGTCGTCGCTGTTGCTATAGACAAAGACAAAAGCAGCCAACATGCTCTTAAATGGGCCGTTGATCATTTGTTGCAGAGAGGCCAATCTGTTATTCTCGTGCATGTCAAGCTACGACCTTCCCCTATGAACAGTAACCCTAATCTTCATGCTTCTTCCACAAGTAAACAAAACAAACCCTCTCTTCTCTTCTTTGTTTCCTCTGTTTTTCTCTGTTTCTGATGGTTTGTGTTTCTGTATTCAGGGGTGAGCCAAGATTCTTCATTAATATGTAGAGATCCAGAAGGCGCTTCCAAGGAGATATTCCTTCCTTTCCGTTGCTTCTGCACGCGCAAAGATGTGAGTTTTGTCGGTTTAGATCCTTTGCTCTCTTTTGCCCTCTCTTCTTGTATCCTTATATGGTGTTTTACAATGAAAAAATATCTAGATTCAATGCAAAGACGTGTTGCTTGAGGAGTACGATGTAGCGAGAGCATTAATCGAATATACAAACCAAGCCGCAGTAGAGGTTTTGGTTGTTGGTTCCTCCAACAAAGGTGGCTTTCTCAGGTATACAAAACAACCCTATTTCCTCTTCTTCTTCTTCTTCTTCTTCTTCTTCTTCTTCATCTTGTTCTCTCCATTGAATGGTGTGGTATCTACAGGTTCAACAAGCCTACAGATATTCCAGGGACCGTAACTAAAACCGCGCCTGATTTCTGCACCGTTTATGTCATAACCAAAGGCAAGATCTCAACAATGAGATCAGCTTCACGTTCTGCACCAATGAGTGCTCCTCTACGCAGTCCTATTCAACCACCTAGCTTAAAGCCACCTCAACCTGTGCCTTCTACTTCCAATACCATGCGAGGTTGTTATAATCTAAAAAAAAAACACAAAAACAAATCACTTCTTGATTTCACCTTATAAACTTCTTGTTGTTTTTATCTTCCTTTAATGCAGCTGAGAGACGGTCTTTCGAGTCTCAACAAAACCAACGCAGGTCTATCGAAGATCAGCAGCGTAGATCAATGGAGGATCAACAACGTAGATCCATGGAAGATCAGCAACGTAGGTCCATGGAGGAACAACAACGCAGGTCCATGGATGATCAATCAGAGTCTTTCAGGTATGTTTTCATTTAAGTAGACATTACTGTTCTTGAAAAACTCTTAACACTTTCTTGAAACTGAAACTTCATGGATGATAAATACAGATCTCCTTTTACAAGAAGAGGCAATGGGAGATCATACGGAGACCTATCTGTTCTTCCGGAGTCAGACATATCCTTTGTCAGTTCCGGTAGACCGAGCATAGACCGTATCTTCCCTAATCTGTACGACAACAGTAGTGATCCAAACCGAACACCTCCAAGGCTGTCTAATTACTCAGATATGGACTATGGTACTGGTCCTAGCTTTGAGTCCTCAAACTATGGGAGAAGATCAGTGGATATAAGCTCGTCACCTACTGATTTCTCACAAGGCTCGTTTGAGAGCGAAAGAATGTCATCCGCTTCAGGAATGGATGATGTAGAGTCCGAGATGAGGAGGCTTAAGCTAGAGCTGAAGCAGACAATGGAAATGTATAGCACAGCTTGTAAAGAAGCACTTACAGCGAAACAAAAGGTAACGGTTTCTTGCGAAAACAAAGTGTTTATTGTCTTCTTGTTTTTGTTCCTTAAACGTTTTTGGTAATTTTACAGGCGACTGAGCTTCAACGTTGGAAGTTAGAAGAAGAGAGAAAGCTAGAAGAGGCAAGACTTGCTGAGGAAGCAGCATTAGCCATTGCAGAGAAAGAGAAAGCGAAGTCGAAAGCGGCTATGGAAGCAGCCGAAGCAGCTCAGAGGATCGCTGAGTTAGAATCTAAGAAGAGAGTCAATGCGGAAATGAAAGCTCTCAAGGATTCTGAAGAGAAAACAAAGGCTCTTACAGCTTTAGCAAACTCTGATGTCAGATATAGGAAGTACTCCATTGAAGAGATTGAGCGTGCCACCGAGTATTTCGCTGAGAAGTACAAGATTGGAGAAGGTGGTTATGGACCTGTCTACAAATGCTATCTTGATCACACACCAGTAGCTGTTAAAGTTCTTCGTCCTGATGCAGCTCAAGGAAGATCTCAGTTTCAACAAGAGGTTGAAGTATTGAGCTGTATAAGGCATCCTAACATGGTTCTACTTCTTGGAGCTTGTCCTGAGTGTGGATGTTTAGTCTACGAGTTCATGGCTAACGGAAGCTTAGAAGACCGTCTCTTCAGATTAGGAAACAGCCCGGCTCTCTCATGGCAAACAAGATTCAGAATCGCTGCAGAGATCGGTACCGGACTCTTGTTCTTGCACCAGGCTAAGCCAGAGCCTCTTGTTCACCGTGATCTCAAACCGGGGAACATCTTGCTAGACCGGAACTTTGTCAGCAAGATCTCTGATGTTGGTTTAGCAAGATTAGTCCCACCATCGGTTGCAGACACGGTGACGCAATACCGCATGACTTCAACCGCTGGAACGTTCTGTTACATCGACCCGGAGTATCAGCAAACAGGAATGTTGGGTGTGAAGTCTGATATCTACTCGCTTGGCATCATGTTTCTGCAGCTGATAACTGCAAAACCACCAATGGGTCTCACTCATTATGTCGAGAGAGCGCTTGAGAAAGGGACTTTGGCGGATTTGCTCGATCCAGCGGTTCCTGATTGGCCAGTTGAAGATACTGCAGAGTTTGCAAAGTTAGCTCTTCAATGCTCAGAGCTAAGGAGGAAAGACAGACCTGATCTTGCTAAAGTTATATTGCCTGAGTTAAACAGATTAAGAACACTTGCTGACGAATCATCACATTCTGTATTAGTCGTCAATAGCCAAGGACCATCTGAGAGCTAAGAAACAACAAAACTTGCATCCATATAGAATCAGTTTATGTTTCAATTCTTCTTAATTACACATTTGCAGGAACATATTAGTGGTGCTTCTACCTCTGTCCCACAGTAAAACCGATCTACACAAAAGAGAAGAGGCCACTTTTTACAGGATTAAGGTTACAGTTTTAAGTTACGTAGACAAGAACCCTCAAAATAAAAACTGAGGAAGGTCTTTGAATTCTAGTAGTGTAAGGAGAATGCAGTGTCTTCGCATTGTAGAGAAAATGAGAAAGTGTCTTAAATTTGTACAGATTCATTCTTGTAATTCTAAATTAACCATTTATCAAAAAAAGAGATAATGCAGTCTTTAGAACAGAGATTTGGATAATCTTTGTATTGTCATGAAGCAAGTTCAAGTTACCATTGATCTATCACATAATGTCAGAATCTTGGTAAAGAACAAGAAGCCCCAAAAAAAAAGAGATAATATAGTAGAAATTCAATTCCAAAACAACAAAAAAAAAAAAAAAGAGAAAGTAGTAAGAAAACAAGAAGCTAGCAAATCTTGAATCTTTAACGAGAACCAAAAATTTATTCCCAGTTAGAAGCTGGAACAGCTTGTGGAGGTGGCGCAGCTGTTTCCCATCCGTCTGCAGCTGGAGCAACTGTAAAGAAAAAACATCCGAAATCAAGATCAGATTCAGATTCAAATCAATCAAGAAGCTAAAACGTAAGACACTGTCAACAAAACTTACCACCATCCTCATTCCAAGAAGCGGCAGGAGCAGCAGCAATTGGTGCCTGAGCTTCTCCTGGCCATGCAGCATCAGGAATCTGAGAAGTGGTCCATTCTCCACCGGCAACGTATTCAGGCGCTGGAAGTCCAAAATCTGCCTGAGGAGCTTCATCGTCTTCGAGTTGCTTAGCCTCTTCGGGTTCCCTGTAGAAGAACAGGTCCAACTGTACAACACAAACATGAACAATATCAACATCAAATCATCAACTTCTAGTGTAAACCTCAAACAAAAGACACAGTAAATGATTGATTCCTCTTACCATGACATCCCATTTCTGTTGAGGACGGATGGTTCCACGCATCTGAAGGACCATACGAGCAAGAAGCCAGAAGAGACAACCAATAGAGTGCTTTCCTTTGTTGTTAGCAGGGATACCAATGTCCACAAATCTCATCGGAGAGTCAGTGTCACAGAAAGCAATGATCGGAATGTTTCCCAAAGCACCTTCCTTGATTGGCTGCACCAACACAAACACACACACATTAAACATCAAGAACCTAACCATCAAGGAAACAAGATCACTCATCAAAAGTTAGGGACTTTTTGTACCTGATGGTCGGTTCTCGGGTCAGTAAGAATCAACAACCTCGGCTCGCTGAAGGAAGTCTGCATTTGATTGGTGAAAGTACCAGGAGTGTGTCTTCCAGCAATGGCATTAGCACCAGTGTACTGAGCGAACTTGAGAACAGCTCTTTGACCGTAAGGCCTAGCAGACTGAACAATGATGTCTTTTGGGTTCTCAATCGCAACGATGACTCTAGCAGCCATGTGAAGCTTGTCCCATGTTTTCCCGAGGTTAAAGATATATATACCTGACAACAAAACGTCCGTTAAAGAATCAAAATTTGAGCAGAAACAAGGTATAAATTCAAAGAGAAAACAAAGGTTGAGATCTGATTAAACAGAAAATGAAAATTTCAATCAGAACACTATAATTACTCATCAGTCTAAGCAAAGGTTCTCTAGATCAATACACACATTCCGATCGAACTCTATATACATTAAATAAAGTGAGCAGAAGAAGATGGTGAGAAATTTACCATCGTTGCGTCGCTTGAAAGTGTAACGCTCCATTTGGTAATTGCAGTTTTTGGTTCCGAGGTGAACCTCGGCGGCGCACATGAGCTGGATGTCAGCTTCCTTCTGAGAGAGAAGTCTGTCCGACATTTTGATTCTCTCTTCTTCTTCTCAGGGAAGCGGAAGCTAATCGGCGAGAGTAAACTTCTGATGAGTGAGATCACGAGCGGCGAGGAGACTAAAGACGGAGAATTTAAAGAAGTGAAAGGAAGAGAGACTAAAACCCTAGTTTGAGATATGGGCCTTTGTTATATTTTCGGCCCGCTTGAAATAATTGCAGGTGGGACAAAAATATAAGAAAGGCCCATGTAATAAATTAAAAAAAGGAGCGAAGACTGACACGACTTTTCTCTCTTTTATCTAATCTCTCACCCTCGTTCGTCGTTATGGTCAGCTTCTCTTCTCTCTCTCTCTATCTCTTTCGACTTGAGAATCGTCTTCTTCTCCTGGATGAGGTAATTACCATTTTCGATGCTATCTCTCTCTCATCTCTCTGCTTGCGAAATCAGTAAATATCTCTTGTTACTCCTTCGTTTTACCCGTACTCTTTGATCAGCATCATCTTCTTCGAAATAGTCAAACAAATTTTGGTGAATTCGCAGCTCTTTTGTGGTCAGATTTTGACCCTCTTAGCGATTCCATGATCGATCATTTGGTGTTTATTTTTTTTTGAATCAAATGTGGTTTTCACGATCTGGCTTATGTTTTCTACTTTTTTTTTTTACCTCAAATCTCTGTCTTCAGTTTCTTCACTTTGATTATGATAGTGAGAATTGAAGTAAAAATCATCCATTTCTGAGTATTTTTGTTTATCCTAAAGTTGAGACAAATATAGAAAAGCCTAAAGATTATTGCTTTTTTGGGTAATATCCTCACATAACCATAAATAGAAGTGAAAAATCATGTTAGTGGTTTGTGCAATCAATATATTTGCCTAAAGAAGACTTCTCTTTATATCTACTGTAAGTTGAATTTTGTTTGTTGTGTATTCTCAATGGTGCAGAAGTTACAGAATCAACGCCCTGTGATTATCTCTTTGCTGAAACATTTTAGTTGTTGAATGATTGGGAAAATGATTGACGGACCAAAGTTCAACGGCTTCATCGGAGGAAACAATCACAACCACAACAGTTACTATGAGCTCTACCAGAAGCTTGAAGGTTCCAACATGTCTATCGACAGTGCACAAACAATCACTGTGGGAGATTCTGTAGCAACGTCGATGGATGACAGCAGCGTTGGTTCCAACGATTCCAAAACACACATTTTAGGCCATCCAGGTCTAGGACCAGTGCGTCAAAGCTACACCGGAACTGCGGAGAACAGTCTTTTCCGTCCAGGTAACCACGACCTTAACGACGACGCTCTAGCGCAAGCCTTGATGGATAGTAGTGTTCTGGTTGAAGGATTGGCGGAGTTTGATGAATGGACGCTTGATTTGAGGAAGCTTCATATGGGTTCTGCTTTTGCTCAAGGAGCTTTTGGTAAGCTTTATCGAGGGACGTACAATGGTGAGGATGTTGCTATTAAGATACTTGAGAGGCCTGAGAATGATCCGGAGAAGGCTCAGCTGATGGAGCAACAGTTTCAGCAGGAGGTTATGATGCTTGCAACGCTTAAGCACCCGAATATCGTGAGGTTTATTGGTGCCTGTCGTAGATCAATCGTCTGGTGCATTGTTACAGAGTATGCTAAGGGAGGTTCGTTGAGACTGTTTTTGACGAGGAGACAGAACCGAGCTGTGCCTTTGAAACTGGCGGTTAAGCAGGCGTTGGATGTTGCTACTGGGATGGCGTATGTGCATGGGCTTGGATATATTCACAGAGATTTGAAGTCGGATAATCTTCTGATCTCTGCGGATAGATCTATCAAGATTGCAGATTTTGGTGTTGCTAGGATTGAGGTCAAAACAGAAGGGATGACTCCAGAGACAGGGACTTACCGTTGGATGGCTCCGTAAGTCCACCGTATCTTTCTCTTTATACATTTTGCTACCCTAATTTGATCTTCTCCTTTGGTTAATTGCTTAAATTCAGCTGAAAACATGTGTGGTTGTCTGAATCATGTGAAAGAAACTAGTTCTTGTGGTTAGGCATGCATTTCCCTTTTCTGGCTCGTTTTGCTTCCTTTGATAGATATAGTCACTTTGTTCTTAGTGAAGTCACAGCAGATGTGCTTTTTGGTCTCTATGGCTATTGAAGTATTAAATTGATGCAAATCAACTCATAACTCTAAAAGTTTATCATAGGAGCATAGGCAGATTCTGCCTTTTTTCCGAAGCAGAAAGGCATTGATTGTGGACAAGACTTTTGTTTCCTGATATAGTTTTTGCCCACTTTAGTATTCTTTTTCCTCTGTTATTTATTTTGATAGGTAAATAGACTAAAATAGTGTAATCCACTAGTTTTCCCAGCAATGGTGATAGTCAACAATGCTATGGTGATTCAGGGATATGAATCTGATTTGATATCCCCTAGTAGAATCTTTCAACCAAGTTGATAGAAGCATAATGAATATGATATGGCATAAACTTACCTCTTTTGATTTGACCAAATGGTCTTAAGCCCCACATTTTGAGTATTTTTCTGGTCCAGTCCTCTGGCTACTTAGTAAATCTGAAGACTCTTAACATCAGCTTGTAACTAGAGGCAAAGGCCACTAGAAAGTTGGGAGTATTTTCGAGTTCTTAATATTAAAGTTTCTATAATTAGATTTGAAAGTTTTAGTGGCCTATAAATTTAGCATATCTTGGCCTATAAATATTCCATCTATTTCTGCTCAACCGTGTCTCTCTTGCTTTTGATATCTGATCTATGCTTTGTGTTGTTTATGAGTCCTTGTCTCCTTTATGCCTTGTGAACTGTTGTGCTGGTCATGTTTGCATCATTTGACATGTTGGTTAAACTATACAATGGAAAGTGAATAATAATGAGATTCCACATTCTAAGCATATGCTATTTACATTTTATTATTTTTGGTCAAACACTTGTTAGAGTCAACCTCTGAGAATAGAATCCCAATCGTGTTCCAGCTTTTCTTGGAATATGCTGAAAGATATTAGACAATAGTTTGAAAAAGGATCAGAACATGTCTCAATTTCAAAATGGTGATAGGAGAATTGAATCTTGCGATGGTCTTTTGCAGGGAGATGATCCAGCACAGGCCTTACACGCAGAAGGTTGATGTGTACAGCTTCGGGATCGTGCTATGGGAGCTATTGACGGGGATGGTCCCGTTTCAAAACATGACGGCCGTGCAAGCGGCATTTGCGGTTGTGAACAGAGGAGTGAGACCAGCGATCCCATCCGATTGCCTTCCCGTGCTGAGCAACATCTTGACTCGTTGTTGGGACGCTAACCCTGAAGTGCGTCCACCGTTCACTGAAATTGTGATGATGCTCGAGCGCGCCGAAGCAGAAGTAATGAACAACATTCGTAAAGCCAGGTTCAGGTGCTGTGTTCAACCTATGACCACTGACTGAGTCTTCGGGAGAACAGAGCAGAACATAGGAGGAACAATGAAAAGAAGATAAATATAATGTATATGTGTGTTTGTATGTGTTTACCTTTGTTGTGTATTCACTTGAGTGTGTAAAGAGAGCCTCGCACAACGATTGACCCAAAATTAACATTTTTATCTTTATCTTGTAGATGTTGAGATGTATCAAAGTTTAGTGACGAGAATATATTTTATGGTTTTAATGAAAAGAAATACAAATTTGTATGTTATAGTGTGTTTTTTACTATCAATCCAACTGTAACATGTGGGAATTTTGGCGTAAAATGACACATGGAAACGTTTGCACCGTAATGCCTTGTGAGAAATTTGACATACAAACACCTAATAAGTGGGCTTCGATTCCTGATTTGCTGTAGACATACTCAGAAGCTAACATAAGCGGTTAATCTGTTCAGAACTAGAACTAGAAGCGTTAATATGGGCAATGCATTGTATGGGTTTGGGTATATTATCTGACATAACAAAAAAAGTTAGTTTAAAATCTTTACGAAAACATGGATTACATTTCAAATTATATAAAAAAAAAGATTCTCTAACAAAATCTCCTTTTCTGTTCTTTTTTTTTTTGCCAAAATTGTCTATTAAGAGTGTTTTTTTACCTATCAATCCAACTACAGTATATAACACATGAACATTTTGGCGAATATGGCATATGGACACGTTTCACCGTAATGCTTTGTGAGAAATTTGACATAAAACCCTAATTAGTGGATCTCAATGCCAATTTAGGGTTTATCCAAAAGCTGCCATAAGCGATTTATATGTTTGATTAGTTCCAACAAACAAACCGTTATAATAAACACACGAGTCGAACAAATCTTAAGTGGGTCCCTAATAAATGAGTCATAATACCAAATTAGGGTTTATCCAAAAGCTGCCATTAGCAATTAATTCCAACAAACAAACCGTTATAATGAGCATACGAGTCAAACAAATATTAAGTGGGTCCCTAATAAGTGAGTCATAATGCCAAATTAGGGTTTATCCAAAAGCTGCCATTAGCGGTTTATCTGTTCGATTAATTCCAATAAACAAACCGTTATAATGAGCACACGAGTCAAACAAATATTAAATGGGTCTCTAATAAGTGAGTCCCAATACCAAATTAGGGTTTATCCAAAAGCTGTCATAAGCGATTTATCTGTTCGATTAGTTCCAACAAAATGAACACACGAGTCGAACAAATATTAAATATAAACGTACAAAAAGACATTTACCACAACTGTAACAAACACACTTTTGCAACTAAAATGATATCAACTAAAAAGTAAAAACCATCAAACTACACCAAAGAAAATTTGTCGGCAATCGAATCCGTCATCTCCAATATTTAGTGATTTTTTTTTGCTTTTGTTGGCGAAGATTTTTTGTCGCCATAGAGTTTTATATAGGCATATGTACAAAAGACCGTTATCTTGAATACACGAGTCGAACAAATATTAAATACATTTGTACAAAAAAAACATTTACATCATCTCCAATTTTAATGCTTTATTTTCAGAAAGATAAATTTAAATGTTTTCAACCACAATATACAAATTTGAGAAAATTGTGATGTTTTTAATATAATTTTTTGTGCGACTTTGTAAAAAAAAAGTGCAATGATGCTTAACCATTGCTAGAACCGTTGATATTAGATACTCACAGTGACATGTATTAGAAACAGTCGATAGTTTGGGTAAAACAACTAAATCGTACTTAAAATAACTAGCAGAACTTAAGTTAGATATATTGTAGATATATATTGTATGAGACACATGTCGATAAATTACTTCCACTTCCTGTATTAGTTAGAATTGTTTTCAATATATTTCTTTTATGATTCTGTATATTTTTATACGATTTTCAGTTTCAGCAGTTCTTGCATGTAACGTACATTTGGTTTTCAGAATCCAATATATGGACGTTGAGACAGCAAAAAAGTTGTGAAGAACCGAAGTCACTGTGCTCAAATGTAACGATCGGTTATTTTTCTTCCATTTGTTGCACTTCATTATCATGCGAGATTTTTCTTAATGGGCGTTTCGATTTTCGAGAAAGAAAGAAAAAAAGTTGCTATTATGTCGAGGATGAGCAACGTCGATTTACATGTGAATGCTAATTTTTTATTTTCTTTTAATCTCATTAAGAATAGATTATGATTATTTGAGAAAAAGCATACATTTTGTTTTCTTCCATCGTTAATATCAACCATATCACGTGTTTAATGTAGTCTCAAGTTTCTAAAGCTATTATAATCGTTTTACTTAATAAAAGGGAAATTCTCTGAAATCTATCATTTAATTTTTTATTCCAATTTCTTTTAATAATAACAAAAAGTTAACAAAAAATGATTCAAAATTTATTTTAAATGAAAGACATATAAAATCTAATTTGGAAAAATATATTTATTTAATTTTAAGTGTAATTTTTTTAGGATAGCAAATGTTTTCAAAAAATAACCTAAAGAAGTTGTTAAAAAAAAACAAATGTTTTCAAAAAATAATTTGTGCTACTTTTGGAAAACAAACTTAGAATTATCTTATCGTTCGATTCTAATAAGTAAACCGACATAATAGACACACGAGTCGAACAAGTATTAAATATATAAGTACAAAAAAATATTTATCTTGGATAAAGTGCACATACACAAATCATTTTAAAGCGAACATAATACAAAAAAAAGTTCTAGGCCAACACATGATTTGCTAAAAACTGGCTCAAAAGCTGTCATAAAACGGATTATCTTTCTCTCGATTCCAACAAGTAAACCGTTATAATTAAACACACGAAACGAACAAATATTAAATACATCGATACAAAAAAGATCTTTATCTCGACTGGATAAACCGCTCGCACACAAATCATTTTAAAGGGAACAAAATACACAACAAGATTTGTCAGCAATCGAATCACACTATCTCCATTAAGTAAACCGTTATAATTAGACACACGAGTCGAACAAATATTAAATATATCGAGACAAAAAAGATCTTTCTCTCGATTGGATAAACCGCACGTACACAAATCATTTTGAAGCGAGCAAAATACACAAAAAGTTTTGTCGGCAATCAAATCATCTCCAATCTTTAATGAAATATAGCAAATATTTTTTGACCGCAATATAATTTTTTAGAATTTTAAATACATTCATAAAAAACCGTTATCATAAACACACGAGTCGATCAAGTATCAAATACAAGCATACAAAAAGAAACATTTTGGTTGCAAGGGGCACAAATTTGCAACCAAAACGATATCAATTGAAAGCAAGCAAACTACACCGAACTTTTTTTGTCCGCAATTAAATTACATCGTATCAAATCATTAATGAATTTTTTTTTTTGCATTTAGCTCGAATGTAATGTGTTTGTGTGAGTATATTGTAATGTGTTTTAGTTTTTCTTTTTTGAGTTACTAAACTATAGCTGAAATCGCTAGTAGAACTTAATTTTGATAGCTTTAATTACAAACAAACAAAAACTTAATGTTGATATATTGCGTCAGACAACTTTTTGATAGATTCCTTTGAGTTCTGCTATCGACATTGTTTATTATGATAAATGAATACTGCTTTCTTCACGATTTTCAGCTGCAGCTCTTACATGTAACGTAAACTTGTTTAAAGAATCCGAGATACGGACGCAGAGACGAAGAACAAAAGTTGTGAAGAACCAGTGTCATTTTGCTCAAAATGTAACGATCGCTTGATTTTATTCCATTTGTTAAAACATCACTAGAACACGAGATTTTTTCTTAATGTGAGTTTCGACTTTCGAGAAAGAAAGAAAAAAAAAGTTGCTGTTTTAGCAAAATATTAATAATTGTCTTAAAAGGAAGACAAGCGTGAATAAGTAAAGAGTACTGTTGCCGTAGCATTAAAGCGGCAACGCGCCTCCTCATACGACGAGCTCGTCACAGCGAATAAAAACATTCCACGTGTCCTTCTATATAGCGCGTGAGAGACAGTCTCTACGAGAGAGAGTGTGGTTAGTAAAAGGAATTTGCCAATGAAAAATTAATAAAGTAAGGATCAAAATTAAATAAACAGAAATAAACAAAAACAAAAAAAAAATTAAAAGCTGGGGAAAGTAAATGGGAAACGACGACTGACTCTCGTCTTCTTTCTTCTCCTTCGTCTTCTTCCTCTTCCTCGTTCGCTTTTTCTCTCCATAAATTGCCCATTTTTTTCACCCTCTCGATTCATAATTGTGATCGGAGGTTAAACGTTTCTCAAGGTTTCCGATTTCATAAGCTCGGGTTCGTAATTTTCTCGAATCGCTTTTTTAGTCACTATCTTCTTCTTCTTCTCTTCGATCCTTTTTACTCATTCAGTGATAAATAGCCGTTGTTTCATGTATATCGACTGTTTTATTGAGCTTAGAAAACTCTAGGTAAACCCTAATTTCTTCTTCCACCGTATTTGAGTAATCGGATCTGTGTTTCACTTTGTGCTCTTCACTTTTTCTTTTCTGGGTTTTGAATTCGGAGCCAGTGTCTCTTTTCAATTCTCGAAATGAAAATTTGTTTTCTGAAGTCATGATCTGTAGCTACAAACTTTCGATTTTTTAGTTTCCATATAATGGCTATGGTTTTCGCTAATTTATTGAGCAATTAAAATTCGAATCTACTAGTAAAGATTTAACCTAGATTGTGGGCTTGCTTTCTTCGTTTCACTAGCTAATTTCTCTCAATTTAGAGCGTGCATGGTTTAGAGAGTTTTAAATTACATTTCAAGTGTGTCATTCTATAACAAAATCTCTCAAAGCTTCTTGCTTTCGTTTCAGAAGCTCAACATTTTTGAATTACAGTTTGATGATTTAGTAAGAACATTTCACTGATTGAGTGATGACAAAGTTTGATGTCATATTTGCTTTTGGTGTGTTGCTTTGTGCCGTCTTCTAGTTTAAAAGATCTTATCTTTATGTGTGTGCTCTTGCAGATTGTTCAAAGAATAGGAGATTGCAAAGATGCTTGACGGAGCAAAGTTCAACGTGATGGCTGCTGGGAATCACTACAACAACAACAACAACGACAACAACTACTACGCCTTCACTCAAGAGTTCTACCAAAAGCTCAACGAAGGCTCCAACATGTCGATGGAGAGTATGCAGACTAGCAACGCTGGAGGCTCTGTGTCAATGTCTGTGGACAACAGCAGCGTTGGCTCCAGCGACGCTCTCATCGGCCACCCTGGTTTGAAGCCAATGCCTAACGGCGGCTACAATCTCTCCGTTGGTCAAAGCGTGTTTCGTCCCCGGAAAGTCACACACGCCTTGAACGATGACGCCTTGGCTCAAGCACTGATGGACAGCAGGTATCCAACTGAAGGACTCGCCAACTATGAGGAGTGGACTATTGACCTGAGGAACCTCTACATGGGACCTCCTTTCGCTCAAGGAGCTTTTGGGAAGCTGTACAAAGGGATTTACCAAGGAGAGGATGTGGCCATCAAGATCCTTGAGAGGCCTGAGAACAGTCTTGAGAAGGCACAGTTCATGGAGCAGCAGTTTCAGCAAGAAGTGACTATGCTTGCGAATCTGAAGCATCAGAACATTGTGAGGTTCATTGGTGCTTGCCGCAAGCCGATGGTGTGGTGTATAGTGACTGAGTACGCTAAAGGAGGCTCTGTGAGGCAGTTCTTGACTAAGAGGCAGAACCGGGCCGTGCCTTTGAAGCTAGCGGTTAAGCAGGCGCTTGATGTTGCTAGGGGTATGGCTTATGTCCATGGACGTAACTTCATTCACAGGGATCTCAAGTCTGATAACCTTCTCATCTCAGCTGATAAGTCCATCAAGATTGCTGATTTTGGGGTTGCAAGAATCGAAGTTAAGACCGAAGGAATGACTCCTGAAACCGGAACTTACCGGTGGATGGCTCCGTAAGTTTCCATAACCGGATTCTTGATTTTTCTTGATTAGTTTTTATCATTTCTTGTTGATAGATTTATGTTTTTTTGTGTTGGTGGATGCAGAGAGATGATACAGCATAGGGCCTACAATCAGAAAGTGGATGTGTACAGTTTCGGGATTGTGCTCTGGGAGCTGATCACAGGACTGTTGCCGTTCCAGAACATGACAGCTGTGCAGGCAGCGTTTGCGGTTGTGAACCGCGGAGTGCGTCCGACGGTGCCGAGCGATTGTCTTCCGGTGCTGAGTGACATTATGACTCGTTGCTGGGATGCGAATCCTGAGGTGCGTCCATGTTTTGTGGAGGTGGTGAGTCTGCTTGAAGCTGCAGAGATAGAGATAATGACGACAGCGAGAAAAGCCCGTTTCAGATGTTGCATGACTCAGCCAATGACGATTGACTAAAAACATAAAAAAAGTCTGCAAGAAAATAAACAAGAGAGAAGTGAAGAAAAGATATAAGAAAAAAAGGGCTTTTTTTAGAGTTTTTTTTAAGTTTGTGTGTCTGAGTCTGCGTCTGTGTTGTGTTTGTGTATCTATATAAAATATGAATGTATTTTGTTTTCCTCAAGATAGCAGAATTTAAGTAACCATCCCTCACCACCATTTTAGACTTGTTGATTTTCTAGCTTTTTGTTTCCTTTTGTGTTAATTAAGAAGAAAACCTAAAAGAAGAAACTTGTCTCTTTGTGTTCGAACTTAAAATGCCATCTCCAACTTTAAACTGAAAAAATAATATAGAGTTATGGATCTATTTTCAGAATAATTCCATTTATTGTCCATTTAAACTTTACTATAATCTTTTCAGAGTGTGGGATTGATTCATGTTGTGCGAGAAATTCTTTTGGAGTTGAAGTGTGGAATTGGCCATTAGATCATCTCTTTGTGGTTTATTTCCTTAAAGGGCCCTTACTTTTATTGGGCCGGGTCTAGATCCACGCTTGGAAAACTAACAAATTGCAAGTATTTCCCAAAAGCAGTTTTCAATTATGTCTATATTTGCTATTATTGAAGATGGCCCCATAGTTAAGTTTAGTGCAATAACCCCCAATATGTAACCAATTCACGAGTTTAACCACATAGATTGACAAATTTTTGCTTATTAACTGTCTTTTACTAGAAGTGTGATACTTCTCTTCATCACTACTACTACTACTATGTTTTGTCCCACAAAACGTAATGGGGAAGGTCAAGAGCTAAAATCCGATACAAAGTGGACTGAATTGTGACATCAGAAAAACCACTTCACTTTCACTTGTTTCCTACGGTATGATCCCATTAGAGCTGTACAACTTCGTCGTTAAGGTGATGTTATATGCTCTCTTCCATTACTCCGTGCCTCGAAACCTGGACAAATTGCAAAACAGAGGAGTTTGAAGATTTCGGTTGTGTAGGGAACAAGTATTATATAATTCGAGCCAGAAAAGGAATTGAAGATGGACCTTGATTGGTCTTGAATAGAACATTGTGTTGCTCAGAGCTATTGCTTTGTTAACTGACTCCATCGTAGCAAAAGTCACAGCAGCAGCACTAGCAAAAAAAGAAGATTTCAGAAGGATGATTTCTTGCTTGTGTGTGTGATCTCTTGCAACGAAGAAGAGAGGATTTTGGTTTTTACCCTTTTGGATGCTGAGTTACTGGATCAGTTACAATTTCAACGTTCTCGACAGCTCCACACTTGCTGAATAACATTGATATGGCTTCTTTCCTCGCTGCATAGTGTACCTGATAAGTTCATGGAGAAGTTACTTCGTTTAGTTCTAGATTCTACCATCATCCACAAAAGCAATTTTAAGAAAAATATCAGAGGGAGCCCTGTAGGATTACGTTAGTAACATGGATGCTTCTTGATTCTGTGACGTCTTCTTGATTCTGCAATTCGCCTGCACAGAAGAATTTGATCAAGTGAAACGAGGCAAGACAGTCAGAAAAGTTAAGCAGGCGATGAGTTATTAGCTGTTTCCAAAACGTAGAGTTTACATACCAGATTGTGGTGAGCTTTTGAGTTCTCCAACTTTCTGTTTCTTCAGCTGCTTCGCTTGACTAATCTGGACTTCGAGTTGTTGCAGCTTTTGTTTCATGTTCAGTATTTCCTGACGAAAGAAATAACATAACATCATTTGAGATTGTGTGGAATCTAAAGATTCACATGAATGGCAGCAATAAAGTATAACTATCATATAATAGCACATCACGTACCGAAAAAATATCTGGCTTTGCAGACTGATTGGAGAGCAGGTTTGGCTTTTCAACGTCCTCTTTAGCTTGTTTACACTGAAGAACACTGTTAAGTTCACTAACTGAATCATCTCCTGCGCTGGGGTTGATGATGCCATAACGCCTCTTTCTGTTGAGATTATAGGCTATATGAGGTTCAGTGTATGTAATAGCTCCACTCTCTAGCTGCCTAGCTTTACGGGACTGGTTAACTCCGAGCCTGTAACCGACTGCAGGAACTTTTCTTTGAAATGCCTCGCTACGCTGTTCATTATACGCTGCAGGAAACGCTGGTCCATGCTGCAGAAACGCTTTGTTTTCATCTGATTGAATCCTAAACTTGGGCAATGTGGTGTATTCATTGTCAAGAACAAGCTTAGAACTTGGTCGGCTCAAACGATCCCAAACACTAACATGAGGCTTCATTTCCTGGGGCGAAGCTACATCGCGAGATCTTGCAGATTGAGAAGACGTCTGCCTCCTTTCTCTCTCTGGAAAGCTTAGGCGCTTCTGTATATTCCCACTCCTTTTATCCGTCGACTGGGTTTTGCATATGTGCAAGGGTCAAGTCAGAGATAGAAATTGGATAAAGGAATTGAAAAAAACACAACTCAGAGCCAGAAATTTAAACTTCTAACCTTTTCATACTTATCATGATTCCTACGGTATGGATGCTTAGTGGCTGAAACGACAACGGAACGCAGTATCTTTCTAGTGTAGTTAACACCAGCCAAGTTCCAATCATCTTTCTCTTTACGCTGTGCTCTTTTACAAGGGCTATTAATGAGCTCTTGTCGTAACGTCCTCAGGTTTTTAACTTTTGGTGACGCATGAGTCTCAACGTCTTCTCCTTCAGTAGATGATATCAGCTTTTCCTGCAATGCCATTCACATCAAGACTATGCGCCCAAGAAACTGATACAGCATTCAAACATATGAAGAAAGAAACAGTTGTTTTAGTCTTACGTTCATCCAATTAGTAGCTTTGTGGTCATAGTCATTGTGACCTCTGGCGCTTGAACCTTGTTCGATTAGAGTATCATCATCATGAGAACCAAAGTCAACATCAGTCTTCTGTTCAGAAGCGGAATTTTCTTGTTTACCTTGAGAGAAGTCCTTCAAAAGAAGCTCCCATAAGCTGAAAATGAAGAAACACATATTGAAAATGTAACTTATACTTTCTTAGCATCCTTATTATGTATCAAGCTAACAAAAGAAGGAGGATTCAGAAAGCGAACCAGGCAACAAATTCGCCAGATTTCTCCCCAAGAAATGCCTCCAAATAGTCTCTTGCCTGTCTCTGACTCTTCCCGTTACAAACAATCACCGTAATATACTCCTGAAACAAGCTGATTCATCAGTAAAACACGAAATCCCCCAAAATCATCGCACAAAATCAAGCATCAACCAGCAATCTCAACTCTCAGAGAATCAGATATACAAAATCAACAAGACGAAATCAGTCCAAACAAAGCAATCAACCTTATAACGAGTCACCGCGCTTGCTACTACACTATCGTCGACGATGTTTTCCATCGAGTAACCAAAAAAATCAAGGGGAAAAGAAGAACATAGGCACCAGTACAAAATCCATTGCACGAAATCAACATAAACGAGAGAGACGACGAAGATTAAACTCTATGTTACTTCTCCGAGTAAACCACGGATTTCGAAAACAAAAACCATAGGAATCATCTACAAACCAGACGAACAGAATCAAAGAGGAAGTAAGATAACGAACAGTAAGGACGTCGTCGTCGGAGTAATCGTCGGAGAAGAGAGGAAGCATATCGGAGACGATAGCTCTCAGTCGAAAAGCGGACTCCGATTCTCTCGGCATCGGGAATGTTAGTGAATCTACTCCTTCAAGCATCTTCGTATCACTGGAGTTGCAACTCTCGCCGCCTGGGATTCTCGGATTATCGTTCGTCGCCGGTGAATTGGAGAGGAAGCGAGCCCAAGCTTCTGAGAAATTGAAAAGAATGAGTAACACTATTCACCACACTGNAGTACGCTAAAGGAGGCTCTGTGAGGCAGTTCTTGACTAAGAGGCAGAACCGGGCCGTGCCTTTGAAGCTAGCGGTTAAGCAGGCGCTTGATGTTGCTAGGGGTATGGCTTATGTCCATGGACGTAACTTCATTCACAGGGATCTCAAGTCTGATAACCTTCTCATCTCAGCTGATAAGTCCATCAAGATTGCTGATTTTGGGGTTGCAAGAATCGAAGTTAAGACCGAAGGAATGACTCCTGAAACCGGAACTTACCGGTGGATGGCTCCGTAAGTTTCCATAACCGGATTCTTGATTTTTCTTGATTAGTTTTTATCATTTCTTGTTGATAGATTTATGTTTTTTTGTGTTGGTGGATGCAGAGAGATGATACAGCATAGGGCCTACAATCAGAAAGTGGATGTGTACAGTTTCGGGATTGTGCTCTGGGAGCTGATCACAGGACTGTTGCCGTTCCAGAACATGACAGCTGTGCAGGCAGCGTTTGCGGTTGTGAACCGCGGAGTGCGTCCGACGGTGCCGAGCGATTGTCTTCCGGTGCTGAGTGACATTATGACTCGTTGCTGGGATGCGAATCCTGAGGTGCGTCCATGTTTTGTGGAGGTGGTGAGTCTGCTTGAAGCTGCAGAGATAGAGATAATGACGACAGCGAGAAAAGCCCGTTTCAGATGTTGCATGACTCAGCCAATGACGATTGACTAAAAACATAAAAAAAGTCTGCAAGAAAATAAACAAGAGAGAAGTGAAGAAAAGATATAAGAAAAAAAGGGCTTTTTTTAGAGTTTTTTTTAAGTTTGTGTGTCTGAGTCTGCGTCTGTGTTGTGTTTGTGTATCTATATAAAATATGAATGTATTTTGTTTTCCTCAAGATAGCAGAATTTAAGTAACCATCCCTCACCACCATTTTAGACTTGTTGATTTTCTAGCTTTTTGTTTCCTTTTGTGTTAATTAAGAAGAAAACCTAAAAGAAGAAACTTGTCTCTTTGTGTTCGAACTTAAAATGCCATCTCCAACTTTAAACTGAAAAAATAATATAGAGTTATGGATCTATTTTCAGAATAATTCCATTTATTGTCCATTTAAACTTTACTATAATCTTTTCAGAGTGTGGGATTGATTCATGTTGTGCGAGAAATTCTTTTGGAGTTGAAGTGTGGAATTGGCCATTAGATCATCTCTTTGTGGTTTATTTCCTTAAAGGGCCCTTACTTTTATTGGGCCGGGTCTAGATCCACGCTTGGAAAACTAACAAATTGCAAGTATTTCCCAAAAGCAGTTTTCAATTATGTCTATATTTGCTATTATTGAAGATGGCCCCATAGTTAAGTTTAGTGCAATAACCCCCAATATGTAACCAATTCACGAGTTTAACCACATAGATTGACAAATTTTTGCTTATTAACTGTCTTTTACTAGAAGTGTGATACTTCTCTTCATCACTACTACTACTACTATGTTTTGTCCCACAAAACGTAATGGGGAAGGTCAAGAGCTAAAATCCGATACAAAGTGGACTGAATTGTGACATCAGAAAAACCACTTCACTTTCACTTGTTTCCTACGGTATGATCCCATTAGAGCTGTACAACTTCGTCGTTAAGGTGATGTTATATGCTCTCTTCCATTACTCCGTGCCTCGAAACCTGGACAAATTGCAAAACAGAGGAGTTTGAAGATTTCGGTTGTGTAGGGAACAAGTATTATATAATTCGAGCCAGAAAAGGAATTGAAGATGGACCTTGATTGGTCTTGAATAGAACATTGTGTTGCTCAGAGCTATTGCTTTGTTAACTGACTCCATCGTAGCAAAAGTCACAGCAGCAGCACTAGCAAAAAAAGAAGATTTCAGAAGGATGATTTCTTGCTTGTGTGTGTGATCTCTTGCAACGAAGAAGAGAGGATTTTGGTTTTTACCCTTTTGGATGCTGAGTTACTGGATCAGTTACAATTTCAACGTTCTCGACAGCTCCACACTTGCTGAATAACATTGATATGGCTTCTTTCCTCGCTGCATAGTGTACCTGATAAGTTCATGGAGAAGTTACTTCGTTTAGTTCTAGATTCTACCATCATCCACAAAAGCAATTTTAAGAAAAATATCAGAGGGAGCCCTGTAGGATTACGTTAGTAACATGGATGCTTCTTGATTCTGTGACGTCTTCTTGATTCTGCAATTCGCCTGCACAGAAGAATTTGATCAAGTGAAACGAGGCAAGACAGTCAGAAAAGTTAAGCAGGCGATGAGTTATTAGCTGTTTCCAAAACGTAGAGTTTACATACCAGATTGTGGTGAGCTTTTGAGTTCTCCAACTTTCTGTTTCTTCAGCTGCTTCGCTTGACTAATCTGGACTTCGAGTTGTTGCAGCTTTTGTTTCATGTTCAGTATTTCCTGACGAAAGAAATAACATAACATCATTTGAGATTGTGTGGAATCTAAAGATTCACATGAATGGCAGCAATAAAGTATAACTATCATATAATAGCACATCACGTACCGAAAAAATATCTGGCTTTGCAGACTGATTGGAGAGCAGGTTTGGCTTTTCAACGTCCTCTTTAGCTTGTTTACACTGAAGAACACTGTTAAGTTCACTAACTGAATCATCTCCTGCGCTGGGGTTGATGATGCCATAACGCCTCTTTCTGTTGAGATTATAGGCTATATGAGGTTCAGTGTATGTAATAGCTCCACTCTCTAGCTGCCTAGCTTTACGGGACTGGTTAACTCCGAGCCTGTAACCGACTGCAGGAACTTTTCTTTGAAATGCCTCGCTACGCTGTTCATTATACGCTGCAGGAAACGCTGGTCCATGCTGCAGAAACGCTTTGTTTTCATCTGATTGAATCCTAAACTTGGGCAATGTGGTGTATTCATTGTCAAGAACAAGCTTAGAACTTGGTCGGCTCAAACGATCCCAAACACTAACATGAGGCTTCATTTCCTGGGGCGAAGCTACATCGCGAGATCTTGCAGATTGAGAAGACGTCTGCCTCCTTTCTCTCTCTGGAAAGCTTAGGCGCTTCTGTATATTCCCACTCCTTTTATCCGTCGACTGGGTTTTGCATATGTGCAAGGGTCAAGTCAGAGATAGAAATTGGATAAAGGAATTGAAAAAAACACAACTCAGAGCCAGAAATTTAAACTTCTAACCTTTTCATACTTATCATGATTCCTACGGTATGGATGCTTAGTGGCTGAAACGACAACGGAACGCAGTATCTTTCTAGTGTAGTTAACACCAGCCAAGTTCCAATCATCTTTCTCTTTACGCTGTGCTCTTTTACAAGGGCTATTAATGAGCTCTTGTCGTAACGTCCTCAGGTTTTTAACTTTTGGTGACGCATGAGTCTCAACGTCTTCTCCTTCAGTAGATGATATCAGCTTTTCCTGCAATGCCATTCACATCAAGACTATGCGCCCAAGAAACTGATACAGCATTCAAACATATGAAGAAAGAAACAGTTGTTTTAGTCTTACGTTCATCCAATTAGTAGCTTTGTGGTCATAGTCATTGTGACCTCTGGCGCTTGAACCTTGTTCGATTAGAGTATCATCATCATGAGAACCAAAGTCAACATCAGTCTTCTGTTCAGAAGCGGAATTTTCTTGTTTACCTTGAGAGAAGTCCTTCAAAAGAAGCTCCCATAAGCTGAAAATGAAGAAACACATATTGAAAATGTAACTTATACTTTCTTAGCATCCTTATTATGTATCAAGCTAACAAAAGAAGGAGGATTCAGAAAGCGAACCAGGCAACAAATTCGCCAGATTTCTCCCCAAGAAATGCCTCCAAATAGTCTCTTGCCTGTCTCTGACTCTTCCCGTTACAAACAATCACCGTAATATACTCCTGAAACAAGCTGATTCATCAGTAAAACACGAAATCCCCCAAAATCATCGCACAAAATCAAGCATCAACCAGCAATCTCAACTCTCAGAGAATCAGATATACAAAATCAACAAGACGAAATCAGTCCAAACAAAGCAATCAACCTTATAACGAGTCACCGCGCTTGCTACTACACTATCGTCGACGATGTTTTCCATCGAGTAACCAAAAAAATCAAGGGGAAAAGAAGAACATAGGCACCAGTACAAAATCCATTGCACGAAATCAACATAAACGAGAGAGACGACGAAGATTAAACTCTATGTTACTTCTCCGAGTAAACCACGGATTTCGAAAACAAAAACCATAGGAATCATCTACAAACCAGACGAACAGAATCAAAGAGGAAGTAAGATAACGAACAGTAAGGACGTCGTCGTCGGAGTAATCGTCGGAGAAGAGAGGAAGCATATCGGAGACGATAGCTCTCAGTCGAAAAGCGGACTCCGATTCTCTCGGCATCGGGAATGTTAGTGAATCTACTCCTTCAAGCATCTTCGTATCACTGGAGTTGCAACTCTCGCCGCCTGGGATTCTCGGATTATCGTTCGTCGCCGGTGAATTGGAGAGGAAGCGAGCCCAAGCTTCTGAGAAATTGAAAAGAATGAGTAACACTATTCACCACACTGATGTTATAAAGAGGCCCAGCTGCGTAGGCCAATTTCCCTCCCTCGCGCATAAATGTTTTTTTAATTAGGTATTTTTTTGGTCAACTATTCGGATCATATATTCATATTGACTAAATAAAAAGATGCAAGGTTTTGATTAAAAAAGAAGAACTTTTAGTAACCAATATTTAAATTTTGGTAACTTCTTCAATTTTATCAAACTTTATAATTTAAATTTTTACATAATTTGTTTTTTATTGCTTTTACCACTCGATTGTAAGGTATAAAATGTGATACAGTTTCGTGTAGCCAAATGAAAGTGGTAATATAATTCCAGGCTTATAAGAAAATCGATCATTGATCATCAACAGTGAACCACTTACTAGCCACCACCACTTAGTTCACAAAGTTATTTTGTAAATGTGTAAAAAGTACTAACTTTTAACCAAAATGTGATTTTTTTTTTAATAACTAAAACTTTGAACATATATGAACATTTATGAATTATATAACAAATTATAAATGGTTGTATCTTAGAAAATGTAGCTACATGCAGCCTAGCTTATTCGTTTTTATTGAGTTTTATTCTTAATTTATCTTGGTCATATATGATATATGATATATGTCCTTTTGAATAATGAATTGTTAGATGTTGCGTTACTTGCTTTAACGATTTATATGATCAGTTCATGTTTCCTTACATCTATACTCTCGCACGGACAGATGTACAAGAAAGAAACAGAAGAACGTAGAACGTAAAATCTTTTTCGAACATAAATTTGTGAGAAAGCATAAGAAATAAACAGAAGGAGACAGAGAGTAAAAAAACATGGACATGGTCAATGTTGAAGGTCGAAAAAAATTGTAATCATTCACTCTCACAAACTCTTAGCAAAACATTTTTAGAAAACTTGATCAGCCTCTTCATTTTCCACTGAAAACATCCTTGTGAACTTCGTTCTTAACTTCTTGAGTTATCATGGTTTCTTGTGGAAAATGATAAGATCGGTTGTGTTACCGTTGTCGATCGGGGAATTGTATACCGCAACCTTTTAACTGTAGCTGAGACTCTTCACGTACGATACGAAACTCTATATCCATATGACCGTTCTTAAGCTGATCAAGAAGAGGAGTGATCTCTTCGTTTAGAGGGAAGTAACAGTCGTATATAACAAGATAACAACCCAACTTCTCTGTTGAGAAGCTCCGTACAAGATCAACAGATTCCAAGAGGCTCCCAAACCTGTCTACGAACCGAAAACAATTCTTGATCTCAAACGAAAGAGGACCCTTAGCAGCATCAACCACGGCGCAACACCTAAAACTAAAGACTGGTTGTGAGGGAGAGATCTGAGGCAGAGAGATGTTGGTGAGAGAGGTTCCGGTAGTACGGTGAGTGAAATATGAAGGCACTTGTTCACCTAATAGTATAAGTTCCATGAAAGATGATTGTTGGTTAATCAGAGCTTCTGGATCAAAGTTTAAGCAGTCGGTGAAACTTAGGTTGATCATTGAGAAATAGCCATCTGGATGAGAACAAGAATCCTCATCAAGAAACTTTGGCTGAATATCATCTGTTGACATTGCCACCTCGCTCGAAGTATCATTCCAGCTACTTTCAGTCAATGCCCCACATTCTGAAAACTCAGCCTTGTGAAGATGCTTCAGCTTAGTCATGTTAAGGGATACGTTTAGTAAATTCTTGCATCCATACATGTAAAGCCGGCCGAGGCGAGAGAAGTTTTCGATCCACCAAGGAACCTCTTCGATCCCTGTCTTGTTTAAACTTAGCTCTGAGATGTTGGTTGAGATATCAGGGAAGGTTCTCAGCAAGAAGCATCCTTCGAGATTAACGTTATTGAGAGATTTGAGGTTGATCCCGGAGGGAAGAGTCTCGAGACTATCGCAGAATGACATGTCCAATTCTTTGAGTTTGTTGAGATGCTGAATAGAAGAAGGAAGCTCCACCAAACTTGAACAGTGGCTGAGGTTAAGGTTCTCGAGACTAGTGGCCTTGGAAAGATCTGGAATTTGTTTCAATCTTTTAGATCCCCGCAAATCCATGTTCTTGAGCGTTGTGAGTGACTGAAGTAAAAAAGTAACTCTAGAGTTACACTTTAGTAGAAAAGATTGTTAGTAAAAAAGAAAGAGCATATCTAATTTTTTTTACTTACAAGAGCTCCATCCCACAGCTTCTCTAGTTTGCTCTCTCGCATTTGGACCTTGACAAGATTTTTAGGACGAAAGCTAGTAGGCAGAGATCTTCCTGGATAGTTATCCCAAGATAATAGTCTTAGTTTAGGTGGGAAATAGTCGAAGCCATCCGGTAAGTGCCACTCTCTCTTCATGTACCATTCCCTAGAGGAAATTTTTAGAAAAAGAAGATTTTTCATTTCTTTGAAGGCGCTCTCATGTATATCCAGTTCATCAATCTCATCTAAATTCAATGCTATACCCAAAACTTTTTTAGTACCCTGAAAATGATAAGATGATTCAAGAAAAAAAAAAGGAGACAATGCTTAATTAGCTCTCAAGAATCATAATGATAACATGCAAGAGTACGAAACAAACTTACAGTGTTTTCTTCAAGTACATCGCAAATGTCCTTCGAGTCCATAAGGAATTCGCGTTCACCAGGCTCATCGGACTGTGCACGGACAATCTCTTTACCAAGTTCTTGTAGCAAAGAGTGCATCTCCACAGTGCCGTGGTGTCTTTGATGGATAAGGGATTTATCAACTAGGTTTTTAAGCCCAATGTTAACATCCATGTTACTATCCGCTAGTAACATTTTGATGTCATCCACTTTCTCACCATTGAAAAGACATGCAACGTGACGAAATATTGCTTTATCTTTCTTGTTATTCAACTCCTCGTAACCGACTCTTAGTGTTTTCTCGATTTTTTCATCCAAACCATTTCGAATCCCTGGCAGCATATCCGTCCAGTATTCTTTGTCCCTACCACGTAAAGAAGCTCCCAAAACGTTAAGACCCAACGGAAGGTTACCGGCACACGATACAACTTGAGAAGCAAGCTCAAAAAAGCCATCAGGTGGTGAGTTCTTCCTGAAAGCAGATCGACAAAACATCTCAAGAGCGAGGTCATAAGATGGGAGACAGACCTCGTAAATGTTCTCAATCCCATGGGCTCTTAAGAGATGCTTATTTTTAGTAACCACAATGATTCTACTACCATTTCCAAACCATTGAGTTTGACCCGCTATGGCATCTAACACATCTTGATCATCTAAATCATCGATGACGACAAGAGTTTTACGGTGCTTGAGCATATTCTCTATTCCACCTATATGATCTATCTTTATATCCTTATGCCCTAGGAGTTTAGCTAGAAAATTTCGTTGCAAGTGCAACTTGGTGTTATAGTCAACTACATCAGCTCTTTTTATACTTGTAGATATGAAATCTCTGTCTATGAAAACACTACTTTGGAACTGATGAGAGAGTCTAGACAATAGAGCTCTTGCAATGATAGTCTTGCCAATTCCAGATGCACCCCATATTCCAACCATCCTCACTTGTTGAGATTCCAAGCACAACAATGAGCTCATCTTTTTGATATGATCTTCAATTCCAACAAACTCCTTAAAATCATCTGATGGAGTTAAATTAAGTTTACTCAAAACTTCATTGGCGATTTCTTCGATCATGTTTGCTTCATTAGCCCTAATCAAGGAAAAGAAAACAAAAAAGAACTTTAAAGGTTTAAATCGGCCATTTTGAAAGTTTTTTCAAGGATTTTCCCATTATTTTTACAAATGGTGATTTTTGTTTTTTTTGTTAAACAAGGAAAATAATGATTCATAAGTACGTAGTACGTACCAGGTGACTATATGATACTCCAAAATATTAGCTATATTGGTCAAAGCTTCCCTCCATTGAAATTTCTCGTCCTCTGTTTTATTTTGGCATGTCTTGTCAAAGATCTCTCCAAACTCTCCGGTTTGTTTCCTCACGTCGGAAGGATCCAAATGGTAGAAAATTGGTATCAACTCTTTCTTGCATCTCAAGATCTCCAAGAGTTCGTTAAGACACCAACTTGAAGAGGCGTAGTTCTTGGAGAAGATGACCACCGCGATTCTTGATTCCAAAATTGCCTGTTTAAGCTCGGGATCAAGCGATCGGCCTCTCTCAATCTCACTGTCTTTGAAAGATCTGATCAGTTTCCGATCCAGCTCCTTAAGAAAGTGGCTGAGGAATGTCTTGCGGATATCTTCTCCGCTGAAGCTTGGAAATACGTCATATGACCAATTGCAAGAAGACGAAGAAGAAGAAGACGAAGAAGCCATCAAAACATACGGAGCACATAAATTTTAGAGAGTTTATAGCACTAGCAAAATGGTTCCTAGCAATTCCACCATTGTTTCTAGGAATTCTTCTCAATCTGAATCGTGACTTAGTCACCACCACCACCAAGTCAAGGCCGTGTAGGGTCAACGGACAGCTACATTATTTTAATTATATAGTATTCCAACTCTCGAGCTCACATGCCAGAAAATTAAGCTCTCGAGATGACATGCCAAACATTGAAACGTGCCAAACATTATCTTTCTTGATATTTGGAGTTATAAAAGAAATCTGAACACATAGAAAAAGAGAGCATGCATATAGTTCTTTTCAATTTTCATAAATATAATAATGACTATATGACAAACCTACATATGACAAGCATAGACGAAAATTTCAAAAAAAAAAAAAAAAAAACAGATTAGGAAAGGAAAAATTACAAAATAGCTAGAAACCAAATAAGAAAAGGAACGAGTTCGTGTTTATTTAAGAGTGACTTAGGGCACACGTCAAATACGAAAACCCTAAAAATAAATATATAATCAAAGGCAGCGGCACTTACTTCCTTGACAGAAACTCACGATGAAGAAGATATCAGACCTTCCGGGAGATTTGTTATTAGAAGCGGTACTCTGTCGTGTACTAGCCACACATCTACAACGGTTACGATCTACTTGCAAACGATGGAACCATTTATTCACAAAAAAACACTACGATAAAGCCGCAAGGCAGTTTCTACTTCTTAACTTGATGGAGCATAGGGTTTTTTCGATGAGCGTCAATCTCGAAGAAAATCCATCTTTAGAAGTAGAAGGTAAGCTTAGAATAAAAGATTCCCATTCGAATTCAGCTCAAATCGAAATAATGGAAGTCTCTTCCTGCGACGGCTTGTTACTATGCACCATCAAAAACGACGTCAGTAGAATCGTTGTTTGTAATCCTTGTACTGGTCAAACCAAGTGGATCCAACCCAGAGATCGTTGCAAGGAAGGGGAATTGTTCAGCACCTATAGTCTTGGATCCTACCAAAACAATAAATCCCTCAATACTTGCTACAAAGTATTGAGAAACATTTGTTGTTATTCAGTCGCAGAATTCGAAATATGTGATATTAACTCTAGTTCATGGAGGACGATTGACGCTCCTGGCTGCCGCTTATCTGACTTCAAAAGTGTGTCTTTCAAGGGGAAGGCTTACTGGTTTGGTACAGACAGAAACAAGGAACACGTGTTCTTGGTCAGTTTTGATTATACAAGAGAAAGATTTGAACGTCTGTCTCTTGATCCGTGTCAGTTTCCTAATGGTTATATCCCAGAAAATATGGCTCTGTCCGCTGTTAGGGAAGAGAAACTTTCCATGTTACTAAAACGCCCACAGGCATTGGAGTACGAGATTTGGGTAACAAATAAGATTGATGATGATGAGACCAAAGTGATGTCGTGGATCAAGATCTTTACAGTGGATTACCCTGAGCGTAGCACGATTTCGAGTTTTTCTTTGGTCGACGAGGAGAAGAAAACCGTCCTCATGTGTTGTGTGAAATGCAACCAGCCCGGGTAAAAAGACGTATCCAAATGCATATACGTTGTTGGGGAGAATAATAAAGTACTCACAGAAGTGGATTATGTAAATCCAGGTTTTTGGCCAAGTTTGTATAGTTATGTTCCAAACTTAATTCAATTCCACTGACCTGGAGGCAAAAAAAAGAAAGAAAGAAGAGGTGACTACGTTAGCTACATGCAACCTAGCTTATTCGTTTTTAATTGAGTTTTCCTTAATTTATCTAGAACGTTCTAATTTGTATATTTTTTAGTTTATTTAAAAGCAAACAACAATATTACTTTTATTTAAGTAAATTATCATCCCTAGTTATATCTCCGTATAAGATTTTATACTGGTAACTATTATTTTATTATATTAATGGAAGCATATTTACATATATCATCTCCAAAAATATAATAAGATATGTATGTCATTAAATTAAACCAAATTTTATATTTTTACTTATGATTGTTATGAAATTTCTGAAAAAATAATATCATGAACCAAAAATAATATTTAACATAACTACTACCGTAGCAAAATCCATATACATACTTTTTTTTTTGTCACAATGAAAACCCTAACTATTTAATCAAAGCCACCGGCACTTTCTCTCTTAGACCATATATCACAATGATCATCTCGGACCTTCCGGGAGATTTGTTAGAAGAGATACTCTATCGTGTTCCAGCCACGTCTGTTAAACGGTTACGATCTGTTTGCAAACGATGGAACCGTTTAGTCAACGATAACAGATTCATAAGAAAGCTCTTGGATAAAGCCGCAAAGCAGTTTCTGATTCTCGACCTGAAGGAGTTTAGGGTTTTTTCGATGAGCGTCAATCTCCATGGAATTCCATCTATAGAGGTAATAGATCAGCTTAGCCTAAATGATTCCCAATTAATTTCAGCTCAAAGCAATATAGGTCAAGTCTCTTACTGCGACGGCTTGTTATTATGCACCATCAAAGATGACGACACTAGACGAATCGTTGTTTGGAATCCTTGTACTGGTCAAACCAAGTGGATCCATGGCGGAGATCGTGGGAAGCAAAGCGAATGTACCAGCATCTATACTCTTGGATCCTACCAAGACAACAAATCCGGCAATAATAGCTACAAAGTATTAAGAATGATTTGTCATGTCGTCCTAGAATTGGAAATATGTGATATTAACTCTAATTCGTGGAGGAAGATTGACGGTCCTGGCAGCAACATACTATTAAAATTCTGTAGCGTGAGTCTGAAGGGGAAGACTTACTGGTTTGGCAAAGACAGAAACAAGGAACACGTATGCTTAGTCAGTTTTGATTATGAAAGAGAAAGATTTGAACTTCTGTTTCTTGATCCGTGTCAGTTTCCTAATGTTCTTCTCAAAGATGTGGCACTATCCGTTGTTAGAGAAGAGAAACTTTCCATGTTACTGCAACGCCCACAGGCATTGAGGAAAGAGATATGGCTAACAAGTAAGATTGATGAGACCAAAGCAGTGTCGTGGATCAAGGTCTTTACAGTGGATTACCCTGAAAGTATTATTGGCTTCCTTATGGGTTATTTTTTGGTCGACGAGGAGAAGAAAGCCGTCCTCATGTGTTGTCTGAAATGGAACGAGCCCTGGTGCAAAGGCATGTCCAAATCCATTTACGTTGTTGGGGAGAATAATAGAGTACTCGCAGAATTTGGAGCATCACATTCTTCGCGACGTTTGTATAATTATGTTCCAAGCTTGATTCAATTCCACTGACCTGGAGGCAAAAGAAAAAAAAAAAAGAGGTGACTACATTACTTACATGCAACCTTATTCGTTTTTATTGAGTGTTTCTTAATTTATCCTGTCTATAATAATAGACGTAGATTCATTGTTAAGACTTGAGAGACGTTGATTGATTAATCTAGCGATAGAACGAGACAATCTTTTGGTCTGAGCCCATCTTATTATTACTACTTTTTTTTTTTTTTCACAATGACTTCGATCTCAAGATTGACACGTGAGAGAGTGAATTAACATAGTATCGGTAAAGTGTTGGTAGATAATTGTGAGATTAATTTCTATATGCTTGTTTGATCAGTAATATAAATATATAACTGGGTTTGATCAAGACTTTCAGATTTGTTATAATACGTGTAATGCAAGTTTGAGTCTAAAATTTGATACCCATGAGCAAAAACTAGTCCTCTTGTCCATTTTGGATATATGGTTTTCTTTCGATGACATAATTGTTAGACTTGGTTTTGCCTCAGTTTTTAACATGTTTCCTTACGAATTTGTTTTTGACTATAGTGAAAAGAATAGGTTTACCCCCAGACAATTTCTGTTAAAAAGATAATAATAATTTTATTAAAACAGAAATACAATTATTTCTGTAAAATAAGAGGTTAGTCTTCATATAAAGTAGTATTAAAATTCCCTTGATGCTTTTCTACGAATTTCAAACAACAAATGAAGTTTTATGTTTGGGATCCAGACCGCTCGAGAATTTTTTCTCGACTCCAATCAAATGACGATGTTATAGTAACGGATGGTGAGGGCTCAGGAGCATTATGTAGAGGATCGGGACCTGTTGGGACCTTTCTCTTGACTCCAATCGAAAATTGATCTTTTCTCTCGACTCCAACCAAATGATGATGAGAATTATGTATAGGATCGGAGCCTCTTGGGACCCTTCTCTTGACTCCAATCGAAAACTGATCTTCACGAATAACAGCCATTGATGACGTTATTAGGAAGAAGCTTACAGTTACGATCAATATCGCACCACCTTTCAACACTTGCATCTTTTCTTTCTCTATCTCTTTTTTTTTTTCGTTTTGATTTCTTCCTTTAGTTTATTTTTTTAGTTCCTCTATCATCATTTTTTTATAGTGGAGTTTTTCATGATAAGTAAGGGAAGCTAATCAAATGAAAGCTTTTTTGGTTTCTTTTGTTCAAAGTCAATGTAAATTACTATGTAAAGATAACAATGAGTACTTTAGCAGATATGCATTGAAGTTATTATCCTAGTTCATTTATGAGAATTAAGATGTATATATGTATATGTATTTGACACTTGCTTGACCGGTTAATAAATAAACACAAGCCTTCCCTATTTTGGGAGAATTGGCAATTTACCCCAAATTGAAGTTTTTCTTGTCCATTTACACCTTTTTTGAATTTGGTCTTTTTTGGTCAAGATTACCCTTTGATATTTCTAGAAACTCTAAGTAACGGGTTTTTAAAGTGAAAAAAATTCCATAAATCCTAAAAATGATCTCAAGGCAGTGTAAAATATTTCAACATTTTTGAAAATGTTTAAAATATTTTAAAAAATATTTGAAGTTTCGTTCTACAAATCGATAATATCAAAGTAGAATTCGTTTTCTACAAGATATTCATAAGTCTAACGGTCATAGAACATAATATCTACAACTTATTCATACCTCTTCCGGCAATATCTACTAAGTACTATAAGATCTACCGTTTTGTAGAAGTTGCACCAACTATCTTCTACACAACGAAGTATGTTCTACTACTCGTAGATTTCAAGTTCTATAGTAAACATTGCTATCTACAATAGGTAGTTTTCGTATCCTACGTGTTTGACAGTAATCTATGACCCGCAGAAGTAGTGTTCTACTAAAATCTTGTTTTCTACTATCGTGTTTCTAATATATAATCTAGCAAAATCACCGTCCTCTACTTTTAGTAGAAGTCATGTTCTACGAAAATCGAGAAAATATAGCATCTGAATATTTTTCAAATCTTTCTTTTTCTTTTTTTCCTCAAACTATCCCAAATCAAAGGAGAGAAGAAGTTTTGTTTTTTTGTTGGTTTATTTTTTAATTAGTTTAGTTTTGTTAATTTGTCTTTTTATTTAATAAATTTTAATTTATAAAACGAAAATGGAAATAAAATGAAAATGAAGGGCAAAACTGAGAAAAATGTTTTTAAAAAAGGGTATTGGAACAAAGAGGAAATGGAAGGTGTAATAGGACAAAACTTCATTTTGGGGTAAATAGCCAATTCTCCCCTATTTAAAAAAAACACTTTTTACTTTAGATGTTAAAATTATAGCTATTTTAGTATTTTTACTTAAGATGTTAAAATTATAGCTATTTTAAAAAAATGCTACTCTTGTAAAAATAAATAAAAAGAGAAGAAAGCCGTCCTCACTCCTCATGCATTGTCCGAGATGGAACGGGTCCGAAAGCAATATGTTGGGGGAGTCCTCTCACAGAAGTAGATCTAGCAGCACCAGGTTCTTGGCCACGACGTTTCTGTCGTTATGTTCCAAGTTTGATTCAAATCCAGTGACCTCAAGGTAAAAGAGAAAAGAGGTGATCATGTAACGTGTAATTCAAGTTTGAGTCTGAAATGTGATATCAATGAGGAAAAAGTAGTCCTCTTGTGCATTTTGGATGTATAGATCGGTTTTCTTTTCCATGAAATAATCGTTAGATTTGGTTTTGCCTCAGTTTTTTTAAACATGTTTCCTTACGAATTTTGTTTTGACTATAGTGAAAAGATCAGGTTTAACCCCTGACAATTTGACGTCAAAAAAAAAAAAACCCCTGACAATTTTTGGTAAAAAGATAATAACAATTTTATTAAAACAGAAATACACTTATTTCTGTAAAATAAGAGGCTAGTCTTCTTCATATAAAGTTGTGTTAAAATCCCTTGACGCTTTTCTATGAATTTCAAACAACACATGAAGTTTTATGTTTGAGACCAAAACCATTCGAGACTTTTCTCTCGACTCCAATCAAATGACTATGTTTCAGTAGTAACGGTGGTGAGGGCTGAGGAGGTGATGAGGGCTGAGGAGCTGGTGAGGGCCGAGGAGCACGCGCATTATGTAGAGGATTGGGACCTGTTGGGATCTTTCTCTTGACTCCAATCGAAAATTGATCATTTCTCTCGACTCCAACCAAATGTCGACGATGTATAGGATCACGAATAACAGCCATTGATGACGTTATTAAGAAGAAGCTTAGAGTTATGAACAATATCGCACCACCTTTCAACACTTGCATCTTTTCTTTCTTTATATATTATATATATATATATATATATATATTTGTTCGTTTTGATTTCTTATTTGAGTTTATTTTTTAGTTCCTCTATTATCAATTTTTTATAGTGGAGTTTTTTCATGCTAAGTAGGGGGAAGCTAATCAAATGAAATCTTTTTTGGATTTTTTTGTTCAAAGTCAAATGTAAGTTAAAAAGTAAAAATTCCCTTTGATCAAATGAAGGCTTTTTTTGGTTTTTTTTGTTCAAAGTCAAATGTAAATTACTAAGTAAAGATTTCAATGACTACTTTAGTAGATATGCATTGCCGTGTATATATATTTGACACTTGCTTGATAGGTTAATAAATAAACACAAGCATTTTCTACTTTTTTATTTATTTTTGTGTGTTATATCGTAAATTAGAATATACCATTTAAAAAAATATTTTTTTACTTTAGATGTTAAGATTTATACTATTTTTTTTACTGGAACTTTCCATGGTGACTGCTAATCAAATGTAAACAATGTAGACTAGGAAAACTTGGGTGGACAAACTTGAAAAATATTGTAATCCCATTAGAAAATGTACTAAAATCTTGGGAAAAACCCTTAAAAATACACAAACTTAATTAAATTTGGACAAACAATACACAAACTTTTTTCGATCCCAGTATAATACACAAACTAATTTTGGAACCAAAAACAATACACCAACTTTCAAAGTGTGAAACTTTGCAAACACGGTTAACTCTCCGTTAGTGAGTTAAACGGAAGATTTAAACTATCACTAACTCTTAATAACATATGGATTATATTTGACGAAAATACTATTTTACCATTCTTTTTTATCTCTCAAAATTGATTTATCCCCATTTTAATTTTACAAACCCTAATTTCAATTTTAATTTCTGAAACTCAATTTCTGGGCACTAAAACCAATCACCAGCAGTTCTCAAAGCTTCACCAGCTTCGTTAATGGCTGGCTCGTCACAGGTATTTCGTCGAACAGGTTACATGCGCTTCTTCCTTCGATTGAACTACTCTCGAAGAACGGAAGAACAACAATCTCTGGTCACCAAGTTTCTCTCTCACCATTTCTTTGGATCCTTCGGTGATGCTTGCGGTGAGGCGTGTGTGGGGGCAATGAGAATGATGGACAGAGAAGAGTCAAATATGGAGGAGGCGATGGAGGTGCTTAAGGCATAGTTTATTTTATTTTATTTTCAGAAATTGAAATCAAAATTAGGATTTCAAAAATCAAATTGGGGATAAATCAATTTTGAGAAATGATGAAAGGGCAAAATAATATTTTTGTCAATTATAACCCACGTGTCAGTAAAAGTTAACGAAATTTTTAATTTTCCGTTTAACTCACTAACGGAGATTAAACCCGCATTTGCAATATTTCATAATTTGAAAGTTGGTGTATTGTTTTGGATTCCAAAAATAGTTTGTGTATTGTTCTGGGACCGAAAAAAGTTTGTGTATTATTTATCCAGATTTAATTAAGTCTGTGTATTTTTAAGGGTTTTTCCCTAAAATCTTCGCTGCCATAATAATTTCGTGCAAAATAGAAACGTTTAAAATTCAGAAATTGTCTAGCTGGCCTAGAATAGCCAATAAGGAAACAAATCTCAACGTAAAAGGCAACAAAATCCTAATGAAGCCAAAGTCCAACTCGTGAAACACAAATGACTTGTAAATCTCATCCATATTCTCTGTTTCATCAAACCACATCTTCATATTCTCTGCACTCTAAACTTTAGATCCCAAGTTTCTGTCAAAGGTTCCTCGTCTCGGTGAGTGTTTCTACTCTACTACTCTTATTCACTAAAGTCTTTCGTTGAATAGATTTCTCTGCTTTAATTTCCGTTTAAGAAATCGAATTCGAATCTGATTTGTGTGTGATTAATTTGGGCTACAACAGAAAATATGACGTTGAGTATGAAACAAATGTCGATGATCGTGTCTGCCTTAGGCGTATTATCGTTTCTTTTCGGAGTGGTCGCAGAGAACAAGAAGGTAAATAGTATCTAAACTCATGCTCATAGACTCCTCACATTCGTTTATTGAGTATGTTGATGTAAATTTGATTGTAAATTGATTAATCTTGCTGAAATACATGTTGAAGTTCCATTAATCTTTTTTACATAAAATAATTAATTATATGGCTTTATTTGTACAACATGTTATCAAGTTTTTGTGACAAAATTTACATTTTCTAATCTTAGCCCGCAAATGGAACACCAATACATGGAAAAGGAGTGGTTATCTGCAAATATCCATCTGATCCAAGTGTTGCTTTAGGTTGCCTATCAGTCGCATTTCTCTTGTTATGCACTATAGCAGGATACAAGTCATTGTTCTTCTCTTACAAAGGAAAGTCTGTTCCCAAATCTGTCTTGTTCAAAAGCACAAGTTTCTCTGTTTTCTTCAACATTGCCTCGTAAGTACTACAACAATCTCTCTTTTCTCAAATAATTATTGTTTTTACCTTTTTGCAATTATACATATGAATTAGAATCTGATCTTGAATTGTCAGGATAACATCTGGATTTGCGTTGTTTATGCTTCTATGGCCAACTATCACTGAGCAACTCCATATGACTCGTAACGTTCATCGTAATCTCGAAACTGATTGTCCCACGGCTAAGACCGGTTTGCTCGGCGGTGGGGCGTTTTTGTCATTGGACTCGTGCCTTTTCTGGTTGGTTTCTCTCATGCTCGCTGACAATGTTCGTGAAGATCACTTGGATGGAGTTGAAAGCAGATACAGCGATTGTAACTCTGAGGAGTTCGATCTCAATCTTGACGCATACATGAGAGGATAAATATTGGTATTGGTATTGCGTAGATTCGTTAACTTCTAGGTTTTATTAAGATTTTCAGATTTGTTGTAATGCGTGCAATGCAAGTCTGAATCTGAAAACTGAAATCCATGATCATAAAGTAGCCTTTAATGTGCTCTCACCACCAATGGTTCGTGACTCGTGACAGTCGCATCGTCACCGCCTAAGCTGACTACTTTACTCGGACCACAAGGTACACAACGTTGAGCCGTTGACCATTGACCTTTTTTTACTCGTTGACTAAAACCGAAAAGTTGAAATCCATAACGAATTGAAAACTGATTTTTGTTTTTTAATTGAATATTTCGTTGAAATAATTTTTGTTTTGGCATAAAAACTCAACTCCGACCATAGTTCTTTTAGTTCATTATAAAATAGATGAAATCTGATAACAAGCCACATGGAAAATGTAAATCACAAACTATACAAAGATGGAACGAAATTCTTTATTTATTTTTATCATATAGCTGCTAATTTTTCTTTCTTTTGTAATGCATGAAGTTAGAGATATGTTGAATTTATTCTCACCATCACACACACATATATTTATATATAATATTATAATAATAATGAGGTGGTAATTATCGAAAAAGATCATGGACACATACGATTTCGACCAGGACCACCATAAAAAAAGTAACTCCCCCACGAGCTATCTTGTCCCAGCTTGATATTGTAACAGTGTGCTTCAGTAACCGACGTTTGATGCTGTGCAGGTACTGGTCTCAGATTATTAGTCTCATCAAGAACCTGAACATTCTTGAAATAACTCGCTTTAGTATGTCCTTCTTGCGGGAAATGACCACTCCCCATCTGTGTCGTCGTGTGTTGGTCTCCGGTCTTTTCATCTATAACTTCACCTCCCCACATAACACCCGTTGCACCATTTTGTAGATGAGTGAAACATGTTGCAGGCCAATAACCCACTACTATATTGTTGTTTATCCCCAACCACCAAGCTCCTGAATGGAAATCCTGTCATATATAGATAACATTCTCACTTTTTTGACACCATTAAACAAACGGAAATATTTTTAACCGAAATGAATTCTTCATCACAAAGTTATAAAATGCTGAAAAGCTAGTTTTAGACTTTTAGTAGATTAATCACTTTTTGTTATTTTTTCTAATTATATTTGCTGAATCAATTTTCAAAAATTGATGAATGGTGTGAGTAATAAAAGTGAAAACGTGAAAAATCTACTAACCCATTCAAGCCCACAAATTTGTTGAATCTATATATTGATTTTTGTTTGTTTTCTTTTAAGGTTAATCATTATGAAAGTTAACACAATTTTATAGTAATTACCTTCCACATGTATACGATAAAGTCTCTTTGTTGACCCCCGTAAATGGATGTTGGATTGAGGACTGCACCTGGGATCATAATGTGGTTAATCTGAACAAAGCCGTGACATAAGAGATTGTAGCAGCCTGTACTCTTGTATGCATCTCTCTGTTTCCATGTTACCAAGAAAATACAAATTAATTACACTTGTCTCTCTCCTATAAGCACATTTATAAAAACCCAAAAACTTGAAACGGGTATCCTGGAAATTAACTCACAGTCCAGAAAATAAAGAATCTAGTGTTGAAGTCACCGTAAATTCCCGGGTATATCTGATGAACAAGAGAGTGCGACACAAAATAAATAAATAATAACAAAAATATATTTAGAGATAAAGTAACTAAAACAAAAAAAAATTGCAAAAACAAAGTAAGACCTGCCAACCAGCTTCAATGGTGTTAAGATCAACGCCATGAGTTCCTGCATTGACCCATATTTGGGACAAACTAAACTCTTGTCGTTTTTGTAGATAAGGCTTCCACAGATTTATGTCTGCTTTGGCTCCGTGAAACCTTCCATTCATCGCGGCTAATATGGCGTACTGCATATGCACAATAGCAGTATAGCACACATCAATACATATATAAGTATGGAAAAAGGTGATCAACTTTCAAATGACTATTAATGATATAAATTTATGTGCACCGAGTGTGTTCCGTTTAGAGCGTTTTGAGCTGTAGGATTGGCTGCTTTCGAAGGATCATAGATCATGTTGGGATTCCTTTTCCCAAATCTCTCGATAGACTCTGCTCGTAATATATCTTCTCTTCTCGTTCTTCTGATGGGAACCGTGTTATCCGGACACCTCCCTTTGGTTGTCCAGAGTTGAGTCACCATATTCGATTGCTTCTCGGACACTTTGTTCCATCCTTCAGGGTAAACACTTGGTCTCATCTACAACACAACAATGTCAAAAGTAAGATTTAGTAGATTAAACATAAAAGTGAGAACGCAAAAAGAAATGGGAACTTTCTGGTTACGTTAAAGCAAAAAAAAATATATATAGAAAGAGCGTCAAAAAGAGAGAAAAAGTGTTGAACGTACCATGATGGTGTGGTTTCTAAGTAAAGGATTATCAAAAGCTGGTTGCTTGTTGATATGAACACAATCTATAATATCGCCATCGGGGCTCTATATGTAAAACAGAAGGAATTAAAAAGAGATTACGTAATAAAAAGATTACAAATTAGCAAAATGAAATGGAAATATGTAATTAGGTGTAATAACCTTAATGGATTTAATAGCAGGTTTGTTGAGTTTTTTCAAGAGTTGATCTATTTCAGTATCGGAAAACTTGCTTCCGGTGACTACCACCGTTATGATTAGAATGCTGAACACAAAACTTGCCATCACCCGGCTGATCATGATTTAAGAGTGCCAAATGTTTCAGTATTTGTTGAATTGCTTCTCGTTCTTTAAGTTAATATAGATTATATATTAACGTAAATTTTTTATATATACTGAAATATGGTAATGCAAAAGAAGAAAAATTGTATGCAATAACATTTGATACTTTGATTAATTAATGATTATAAAGTAAAAAATTAATAATAAGACTCTTAATTTAAAGGTTACATTGATTAAAGTGTATATTGTTGCTTAAAATATCCTATTTCATTTTAGTATTCAAATACAATTAGTTAACTTAGTCATTAGATTTTTGTACATATGTAGATAAAGAAATTGTTTACAAAAACATTTTTAATTGTGTTGGATTTTCATAAGTAAATCAATGAGAAAGGAAAAAAACTATTAATCTATCATTTAATATCCTTTTCCTCTATTAAATTATTGTATAGATATCACAAAAGTGATCAGTCATTTTAACAAATCCTTCATAAAAGATATTGTCATTACACCGTGGGAAAATAAAAGTGGTCATTGTTTAAAGGAGCTTCGATTAATGATTTAACCTTTGCATCCATTTAACCGATGTCTGGTTTGGGTTTATTTCAAATAATTTGTATTTTTTGGTTACTGAATACGTATGAACTTCTATTGAAATTATGAATTGATGAGACCGAAGACAAAATCCATTACGATCACGTACCAAATATGTACAAACAAATGAAATGAATTCTCCATAACCTTTTGTTTTCTTTTTCTATATATCTAGATTTGATTCATCTATTATTCCTCAATTCTACTGTGTGTTTTCGCTGAATAAAATTTGATATCATTATTAAATATCAACTTTAATTAAGTCTCTCCCATCTAAGATCATCTATATCTGGTACCATGTTGATGTCCTTAGCACTGAGCCTCCATTTGGATGGTACTAAATATAAACATTAAACCTCTTTTTTCTCTTTGTGACATTCAAAATGTTAACACTTGATTCTGGTTTTTTTTCAGGTTTCCAATGTTTTTCCCATTGAGGAAACCTGTTGAAGTTCAACCTAATTCACCAATAGAAGTACATTTTTGGAGATGTGTCGGCCCCAAAAAGGTAGACAGTAGTAAAAACAATAATACAACAGAAATTGATTCTAAATTTTACAACGTTCACACTTTTCTATTTGGTTTACAAGTTTGGTATGAATGGTCATTAACTTTGCCTACAGTCTCTCCCATCCATAACTCTGAAGGAAGCTCATATTCGATCGGCTTTTAGTATTCTCATAACAGAAAGAACACAAAACTGTATTTTAGAGAAAATTTGTGTACATGCGAAACATTGTATAGCATTCATTTCAATTCAAAACATTGTATAGCTTTCATTGTATAGCCACTGATCATTGTATAACTAGAAAAAAACTTTGAATTTTCGTCAAAAAGAAAAATAGAAACTAGAAACCAAATAGGAAAAGGAATTAGTTATGACACCAAAAAGACAATAGTTGTTGTTCCCTTATTTATTTAACAGTAAGCAAAGGGCACACGTAAAAAATCGAAAACCCTAACTACATAATCAAAGCCACCGGCACTTTCTCTCTTAGACCATAATCACAATGATCATATCGGACCTTCCAGGAGATTTCTTAGAAGAGATACTTTGTCGAGTTCCAGTCACATCTGTTAAACCCTTACGATCTACTTGCAAACGATGGAACCGTTTATTCAACGATAACAGATTCACACGAAATTACTTGAATAAAGCCGCAAAGCAGTTTCTGGTTCTCGACTTGAAGGAGTTGAGGCTTTGTTCGGTAAGCGTCAATCTCCATGCATGGAAATCCATCTTTAGAAGTAATAGGTAAGCTTAGCCTAAATGATTCCCATTCGAATACAGCTCAAATCAATATAGGTCAAGTCTCTTACTGCGATGGCTTGTTATTATGCACCATCCAAAACAACACTAGACGAATCGTTGTTTGGAATCCTTGTACTGGTCAAACCAAGTGGATCCATGTCGGAGATCATTACGAGCCATGGGAATCTTCCACCTATACTCTTGGATCCTACCAAGATAACAGATCCCGAAACAGTAGCTACAAAATATTGAGATGCATCGATATTCACTATCAAGAATTCGAAATATGTGATATTAACTCTAATTCATGGAGGACGCTTGACGGTCCTGACATCAACTTATTCCAACGCCAAAGCGTATATTTGAAGGGAAAGACTTACTGGCTTGCTTCAGATAGAAACGAGAGAAACATACTCGGATTCTTAGTCAGTTTTGATTATACAAGAGAAATATTTGAATGTCTGTCTCTTGAACCGTTACAGATTCATAGTTTTGTGGGCGAATCTGGGGACGATGTGGTTTTATCTGTTGTCAGAGAAGAGAAACTCTCCTTGTTACTACAAAACCAATATAAATTAAGGAAACAGATATGGGTAACAAATAAGATTGATGAGACCACAGAGGTGACGTGGATCAAGATCTTGGACTACATTGGAGACTATAGCATTGGCAAGAGGTATTTTTTTGTCGACGAGGAGAAGAGAGCTGTCCTCATGTGTTGTGAGGATTGGGGAAGGTACAATGGCATATCCAAATACATATACATTGTTGGGGAGGAGGAGAATAAAATACTTGCAGAAGTGGATTTTGGAGCACCAGCTAGTTCTTGGCCACGTTTGTATAATTATGTTCCAAGTTTTGTTCAAATCCACTTACCTGGACGGAAAAGAAAAAGATGTGACTAAATTCAGTAGTGCATGCAACTTTTATTTGTTTTTGGTTTTCCTGATTTATTGAGTTTTTCTTAATTTATCTTGGCCATATCCTTTTGAATAATAAATTATTAGATGTTTCAACTGCCAAGTACGTTACTTGCTTTAACAATTTTTATGATCAAAATCATGTTTCTCGACATCTATTACTCTCATACAGAAATGGGATGCTAATGATAGACGTCTATAAAAAGAGAGATTTATTGTTACGCTTAAGAGACATCGATATCTAGTCTAGCGATCGAATGAGACAATCCTTTGGTTGTCTTTTGAGACATTAAATTAAATGAGCAACAGAAGCTTGATTATCTATCAAATCTGTGATTTATTCTCTGATGCTGTTTGCCAAAATTAGGCGTTACAGTTACCTAGACATGACCAAAGTTATGCAGCTTATGGAGATTTAAACTCGAAAGCACAATAACATGCCACTTATAGCAGCATGCAAAGTCGGCTATATATTCTCCGTAGATTTAATCATCACTCCCTGTTTGAATCAACTATGTAAGTTTTAAGATGTCTCACTAAACTTTCCCTTTTTTTTTTTTTGAACAACTCTCACTAAACTTTCCCAACTGTGTTTTTTAAACCAAAAAGCTATAGGTAATTGGGTTTTCATATGTACTCCTAAACACAACAAACATTGCATGCAATCCTTAGGAAAAAAATGACTCAAAAAAATAAAGAAAAGTAGGGAGTAGGGACCATGCATATTTACATATTATGAATCAACAGAATATGCATAAAGTTTAGTAATGCATATACAATTTATGCATACCAGTTCCATATTAATTATTGCTAAACAATAGATTAAAAATTCATAAGTTTTTCTTGTTTTCAGCAATTTCCAATGGAAGTTCATATTCCATTGTGATTCTTTTGCAACTGAATATGAACTTTCATTGAAGTTATGAATTGATGAAACTGTAGACAAAATCATCTACTGTCTTGTACTAAACATGTACAAATAAAATGAATCCTCCATACTCCTCAACTCTACCATGTTTTTGCTGAATAAAACTTGACATCATTATTAAATATCAATTCTAAGTATCTCTATTGTAATGTTGTCATCCTAAACCTATTAAATGTTAGTTTTGTTTTTTTAACCCTTGCAGTTAGTGTCTCAACAAGTGTCAAACTTAGTGTAGGCTTCCAGATAGATTTTAAGGATGCATTCACACTGAACATGGTAAGTATCTTTTGGCACAATTTCTTGTTATTTATGTGATTAAACATCTGATTATGTCATCTTAAGACATCAACCAAAATTCTTGGGTTTTGGTAGTCTTTTGAGAAGCTGGCAGACTTTGGTATGTTCCTAAATATGTTTAGAATAAGTAGTTTTCTCTTTTTATTTCTGCTGAAACTTTTTGCTGGCAGGTAAAGTTCCATTTGGTAGTGTTATGGTGTGCAGACATAGACCGGATAAAAAAGATAATATGTTGTGATATCTATACTTTTTTAGAAAGTGTAGCAAATTAACATGTTATTAGTGAGAGTATATATGTGGTGCCGTTATTGACGTTGCATTTGCATTTGCATATCCTTGTTACATATATACAATACAATATATAGCTTGCATTGGGTATATAGAGAAAATGGTATACGATATCATAATATGCTTGTTGAGAGAACGTGTAGTTATGTCGGGTTTACAGAAAAATAAAAAATATGATGAATAGTAATTGAATACATGTGCAATAATGAGAGAAGTTTAACAAGGAAGTGGATGGATGGATACAGCTAAACACGTATTGAATGAACAAAAAAAATAAACACGCGTGTTCGAGAAAGGCTCAACAAAAACGCGTTTGATTGTAAAGTTTATTTCTTTGTTCATCCTCTAATGTGTAAAATTTAAAGGAGAGAAAATGAAGAAAAAGTTGGAATATTTGATATAATTAGTACAGTATGTTCTTATGTTCTTCCAATGTTCGACTTCCACTAGTAAAAAAATCCGACATTGTTAACGACACTAATTTTAAGATTTCATATTTCAAGAAAATTTTGTTTTTACCGTAATTAACTGTTTGAAGATTAATATAATGTTTTGTTATGGATTGAAATGTGTAAGTAGTAAATTTTAAGAAAAAACCTTTCCAATTCCACAAAAGAAGCTTCCAATGATTTATGTGAATTCAAACTTCTATATCTAAATCTGTTAATTAAATACCATTGGGATATTAAGAGAACATTCAAACTTTTTTACAAGAAATATATGTATATTCTTACAAAATGTACATACTTTTTGGCGCAAAAGTTACATTCTTTCTATCATTTTGATATTTTCATACATCAAAAGATATAATCTAGTTTTTTTTTTAAATCTCCAATATAATAACAAAATTAGTAATGCATATAGTTTAATTAAATAAAATTTAACAAAATATGCATAAAACCCTAATTCCCTAATTAATTATTAATTATCCCTAAACAATAGATTAAAGAGCACAAGTTTTTCTTGTTTTCGGCAATTTCCCCATTACTTACTCCAAGGGGTGAAGAAAAACTTTGGCAGAGAGGCGAAGCATCGTATTTAGCCTCGTCCCCTTTCTTCACGATATTCGAAGTTTCCTTCTCCAGAGAATTCCAGATCAGGAGATTTCCGCAACTTGACGATTCTTCGATCCCCGAGGGAAGAAGAATCGTAGTTTAAGTAGATCGAATTCTGTAGAAGTTTGATTATTTTCCAAGTGGTAGTGGAAAGTTTTATCGGAGGATTTGGAAATGGCGGTGGTAGAGAAGGAGCATGAAGGACCGGTGGTTGAGAGCGGCGAGCAGAACGATTCCGCCGTTGTACCATCGGCGGCTGCTTCCGGCGACGGCAGCGAGAAGAAGACGAAGAGTAGGGGTTTGTTCTCGCGGATTTGGAATGTGTTGTTTAGGGTTAAAGGAGACGATTTCGAGAAGATGCTTAACGACATCTCAAAGGGAGAAGCGACTGTTCGTTCCAGGATGACTCGCAGATCGATTACGAGGAGGAATTTCATTAGAAATCTCATCGCTTTCTCTGTCTTTTTCGAGGTCAGCTCCTCAATGTTTTGAATTTTGTTGCTTATAATGTTGATTTGGATGAGATTGATATGAACAGTTTTCTCTTTCTGCTTCCAGGTAATTGCGGTGGGTTATGCAATCATGACGACTAGAGATGAGGATTTGGATTGGAAACTGAGGAGTTTCAGGATCTTCCCGATGTTTCTCTTACCTGCGATTGCCTCTCTTGCATATTCCTCAGTCGTTAGCTTCACGAGGATGTGTGAGTCTTCCTCTTCTATATGCTCATTTTCATGTTAAAACGTTGGAAATTTGATTGTTTTAACTTTTAATTGTGTTTTTGTGTGGGGATTTGTTTGGTTTAGGTGACCGCAGAGATCAAAGTACCTTGGAAAAGCTTCAAGCTGAGAAGCTAGGAAAGATGAATGAGTTGAAAGAGAAGACCAATTATCTCACCACACTTGATATCATTCGTGTAAGATACAATTCTAGTTCACAAAACTGCATTTCAGATTCTATTGAGTTTTTTCTTCGAATTCCTGAATCCTGATTATGTCCATTGCTGTGTTTTGATTGTGTGCTGCTGTAACTTCTTGCTTGCATTACTTAAGTCATTTCTGGTAGGTTATGCGGTTACCACATTATTATCTGATAGAGAGAGAGAGAGAGAGTACCTAATGATGGCGATAGGTTATCTGTCACCTCTAGCTTTGTCGTGGGATTAGATTTTTTTCTTTTTCTTTTGTCTTCTCTTTATGTTGCAACTTTTACTTAAACTTGGCTGCATTTAGATATCTTGAAATATAAACTTAGCAAAGATCATGGTATCGTGAATTTGGACTCAAATATTTTTAGGACTAGTACAGCCGTTAGAGAAGGAGTATCCTTTTTGGGAGTCTCTCTTTTTGCTATCTCAGCTTCCTCTCTCCTAAGAAAGATCAACCCTTTACGGCTCGTTTTCAAGCTGCACTAACTTTATGAACTGTCAAACTAATGGCTCTATGTGTTAGGCAAAGATTCTTTAATCGCTGTTTTGGATAAAGGGTTGTTATGAATCTAAACTCCAGTGTTGCAGTTTGATATTCTGCGTCATAAGTGTCCTAAGTCGTGTTAATTGGAGACCCTGCACTTTTGAGTTCTAGAGTTTCTTCTTATTCTTAGTAGCTTAGACTTGCAATATGTTCAGGAATGATGATATATCTCAATGGATGCTTGTTATCACTTCTGCAACTGGAACTTGTTTTAACTTGAGCTATTTTTGTATCAGAGGTTTGACCCTGACCCAGCTACAAGGGCCGCTGCTGCAACTATTCTGGCATCAAAGTTGGGTGCTGATTCAGGCTTGAAAGTATTTGTACAAGACGAATCCCAACTTGACAACTCCACAGGGAAGAGCAAGGACGTGGACGCCAAACACTCAACAGGGCTCAGGAACCGAAGGCAACCGAATACAAGACGCAACATTCCTGGGACAACTTCAACCGATCATTCTGATAACGACTCCAACCATTCTGGATCAAGCGAAAGACTCAGCGATGCAGAGCAAAACCAGCAGAGGGTGTTTGAACATTTCAATCCTCAGGGATATGCTGCTCATGATGGTAGCTGGATCTCACGCATTGCGGCTCTCCTTGTGGGTGAAGATCCAACTCAGTCATATGCACTCATCTGCGGAAACTGTCATATGCATAACGGTGAGCCATTATCTTTGTCTGTACACTGAGATGCAATGTTGTTAAGCTTACAATGTATATGTCTCTCATCATGTAGGACTCACTCGGAAAGAAGACTTCCTGTACACTACTTACTACTGTCCTCATTGTCAAGCTCTGAACAAGCCGAGACATTCAGAAGAGCATCCACTTATTGCTCCTGCTTATACACCAGTCCCTACAGACTCTCTGAAGCCAATGGAAAGCGAAGTGATCAATAGCAGTACCTCGACTAGCGAACGCGGTAACAGTCCAATCCCTTTGTTAAGCACTCCAGAGGTTGTGGAAGAAGCAGAGGAAGAAGCAGAGAATGGGACACCGAGCTGAGCGGAGGAAGTTACTGTGAGGTAAAAAAAGAAAAAGGAAAAAAGGCATTCAAGTGTTTGTGCTGGAAAGAGAGAGGAAGAGAGAATGTGTTATAGAAAAGGTTTGATATGCTAAAATCTGTAACTGCTTGCAATTTTGATTGTGGAACGAAGACGAAAGTCACTAAACACAGACGATCTTAATAGGTTTTCTACTTTTTTAAAGAGAAATTTTATTTATTTATGTTTCAGACAAAAGGTAAATGGTTGAGTAAAATACATTCCGTTCAAATGTCATGTCGATGATTAATTATGTTTGTTTGTTTTTCTTTTTCAACTTGGCATATACTGATTTTGTTTATTCATCTGGAACTGTCGACGAGAAAAGTCTAATCATATTGACGAATTGATATAATAACAAAGGTAAAGCAACACACACATGGTCCTAACAACACATGGGTTTACAATGGATGGTTTAAAATATCAACGGTCTCTATATCTATAAAGAAAAATCTAAATCGTGAAGAACCCGGCTGAATGATTTGTTTAAGAGATAAGTGTAAAATATATCTCTCCCTCAAACTTGACGATCTACGTTAAACGACACCTTCTCATTCTCAAGATGGTCATATCCAACCTAACGTCTAAACATAAGCTATATTACTGGTGTTATAGTTATAATGAAATACAACATTAGCGTTACAAACCGTGATTACTGGTGATGGCAGAGCTCGTTAAAAACGCTAGAGCTCGTGAAAATGGCACAAGATGAGATCCGTACAAGTACAACCCTATATGGGAGAAAATAACCGAAGAAGACAGACAAAGTTGATTACTTAAGAGTGTTGAAAAAATAGTACTTGTGAATATGTACAGTATGATTGTTATTAAAACAAACGCGATCTTAAAGGATAGGTCATATGTACATGCGTCAGATAATTATTTTATATGATATATATGGGTACGTACTAAAATGATTATTGGTATTATGTATAATCTGTGCTGGGCTTCTGCGAAAGTCTTCATATTCGACGTTGCTACTTGTTGGGCGGAGAGGAGGAAGCTACACGAGGAGCTCTTGGAGGAACGAGTCGACAATTCTGTTCTCCTCTAGGAGGAGCTCCACATGGTTTTGAGGGTCCTGCGTATCCCGCCGGTGACGGTGTCACACCTTTTAAATTTTAAGACATGAGTCAATTGGTTAGAAAAACCCACCGGAGAAGTTAACAAAAGAAGTTCTTTAAAAATAATTACTATAGTAAATCTGAATTGTGACATAGATTTTCGAAACAAAAAGATATCTGACCTAGGTGACGGAATCTGGCCTCTGTCACACCAACTTGAAAAGATAGACATAGAAGTATATAAAGCAAACTTAGAAGAACAAAAGCTTGTGTTGTTTTCTTCATTATCATTGTTTTGTTGTTCATCTCTCACGCCTCGAATATATATTGTAGCAAACAAATTCAAAACGTATAGTGAATAAATAAACGTGAAGTCAAACTTCAAGGATTTTAATTTAAAGAATATGAAGCAAACTTAGAAGAACAAAAGCTTGTGTTATTTTCTTCAGTATCATTGTTTGGTTGTTCTTGTTCCTCTCTCACGTCTCGACCAGTAGTATATAACAAATAAAATCAAAACCGTATAGTGAATATATGAAGGTGAAGTCAAACTTCAAGGATTTTTATTATTGTTTTTTTTAGAAAAACGCGGTTTTGTACATCAGCTATGTAACATCTTGATGATCTTCTCAATAAAAAACTAATGACACGACTAAAAGTCAATTTTATGAAACTAGCTTCGTAATTACGGATGCAAGACGGAGGTTACAATGTTGTAAGAGTGTTAATTTGAAAAATGTTAGCTCGATATATTTGGAATTTAAAACCTAACATCCATCACTACTCGCCTGGTTGCATTTAGAATATATGAAATCAATTCAGCTAATTAATAACACTTATACAACTTATTTCTTCTTTGAACGTCACACAGTCCCTAATCTTACCACCAAATCACTATTCCAAATCCATACACATGATCATCTCTATAACTTATTCATCAAGAACAAAGAAAACAACATTAAATAGTACAAAAAGTGCTAAATTAAACCACCTCTTAAAAAAAATAAAGTGCTAAAAATAGCAAAAAGCCTCTCCTCCACCAAGACCACCACCCTCAAATTTCTTTCCTCTTGCCTCCTAAACATAAACCCACCAAAAACAAAATTTGAACTTTTTTGTTTCTTTTGTTAGATTGAAAGAGAGAGGAAGGGAGAGATTTTGGGTTTCTGTTTTCTCCTTCTCCTCATAGAAAAGTTTTCTCTTTTTTGACAAAAAAAATATTTATTTTGATAATATGGGTAATGTGACTTCAAACATGGCGGCAAAATTCGCATTCCTCCCACCGTCACCGGCTACGTACGGCGTAAGTAAAGACGAGGAGACCGGAAAGCTCATGTTCACCGGTGTCACGCCGGAGAAAAGCATGGACGTTCATCAAATCACCACTAAATCCGGCAACAAAGTCATCGCTACGTTTTGGAAACACCCTTTTGCAAGATTCACTCTTCTCTATTCCCATGGCAATGCTGCAGATCTTGGCCAAATGGTCGAGCTCTTCATCGAGCTCCGCGCTCATCTCCGCGTCAACATCATGAGGTTTCTTATAACATTCAAAAAAATCCAAAACCTTTTTTTTTTTTTTCATTTTTGCTGATTAACAAACCTTAACATCTTCATAATGTCATTCCAAAACAGCTATGATTATTCAGGCTATGGAGCTTCAACAGGAAAGGTAAGAAAAATGTTTCATTCAAAAAGTCTCAATCTTTTGCCTCTGTTCTTAGCCTTTGATTGTTCTTCTATAAAAAAAATAGCCGACAGAAACAAACACGTACCACGATATCGAGGCTGTGTACAATTGCTTGAGGACCGAGTACGATCTCAAGCAAGAAGATTTGATTCTGTATGGTCAGTCCGTTGGAAGCGGACCGACGTTGTACTTAGCGTCTAGATTGAAGAGACTAAGAGGAGCTGTTCTTCACAGCGCCATTCTCTCTGGCATTAGAGTCTTGTATCCTGTCAAGATTACATTCTGGTTCGATATATTCAAAGTAAGACCAATCTCTCTTCTCGATGATTACTTTTGGTTCCGTGAAGAACAAGTAAACCTCTCTTTCCTCTGGTTTACTTTTGGTTCTCTGTTTCATAAACACTCTTGGTGGGTTTTTGCAGAACATTGATAGGATACGTCATGTGACATGCCCTGTTCTTGTCATACACGTAAGGTTACATCACCATTGTTTTTACTGACAATGCATGCAATGAGAGATTATGAAACTTGGTATATGAGCAATGCAGGGAGCAAAAGATGAGATTGTGAACATGTCGCATGGGAAGCGATTGTATGAGCTTGCAAAGGACAAGTATGATCCATTGTGGGTTAAAGGAGGAGGGCATTGCAACTTGGAGACATATCCAGAGTACATAAAGCATCTGCGTAAGTACATAAACGCCATGGAGAAACTCGCTCTCAACAATCCGACAACGAAACAACAAGACGACGATGAGCCAAACGTCAACGAAACTAAGCACAATCGGTGCTTAAGATTCAGGAAAAAGTAGAACTGATTCGATGATCAGAAGACACAATTTTGATGATTCCTTCCTTGCATTGCAAGTTGCAACACAGAACAAAAGGAGTCATTGCTTGCAATGAAAGCAAATCACAAACAAGAATTTTTTTTTTTCTAGGATTTAGAAATGTAATGTAGCAAAAGTTTTGAAATTCCCATTCCTTTTTTTCTTGTCCTTCCAAAAACATAACATTACTTGTAGTTGAAGCAATCCAACCAGACAGCTTCCAACTTTTTCCGACGCGTTTCATAGGAACAGAATTTGAATGCGTATCCAAAAACAACAACAAACAAAAGCTATAATACTTACTTAAGAACACGTTACAAGTTAATATCATGATGCTCACTCCCAATGAAAAATGATTATAGAATGATGTAAATTGTTATTGAAATATAAGAGAGCAAACAAATAAATAAAGCATTACAATCATAAAACAAAGTCCACTTCTCTCTACTCTTAGATTTGTTCATCCAAAAGATAAACCCTTACGTTCATACAAAGTAACTCTCTTCAAGCATTCATGAAAACGAAAAGTCGTCAAAAAAGAAAAGCTTAAGAGATTATTGCTTCTCTCTGTTTACATTTCACTCGATCTCCACAATCTGAGGCCTCCTCTCTGCAGCTTTCTTGCGTATGAAGATACCCCATCTCAATGCAGCTTTAAGCTTAAGCCATCCCACCACAGCTTTTCCAGATCCTCTGTTACGTTCTCTCCTGTACGTGTTATCAACCTGAGCTTGGTACGGTACGCTGTAACCGTAACAAGACTCATCGGTCTGACCAAACCCGCCTTGAGTTTCTACATTAGTGTTCACACCAATGCCAAAAGTCTTCAACAGTCTCTGCATATCGTCAGTTTCAAGCATCTCAGAGCTCCTTAGTCTGATTTCTTCACTGAAAATGTCTTCAAGACCTTGTCCTGTAGCAGCTCTTGGTCGACACCAATCTTCACCATTGTAAGACCCTGAAGAATTGGAACTCTCCATCGACCTGTTGTAATCTTGTACATCGCAAGGTAGTGAAGGTAATAACTGGCTGCAATGTTGCTGCTGCACAAACTGAGGATATTCCATCGGTTGAGGGACCGACGAATAGGTAATAACATTTTGATGACATTGCACAGAATGTCTATTGTTCTGGTTATGAATCTGTAGATGGTTCTGAGCTGTTTGTGCCGTGGCCAGTTTTGTTTCCTTCTCGGCGACTGGTAAGCAATTCAAGAGCTTACCGTCGTATTCAACAGCTTTATGCCAGTTCTCGTAAGCCATCTTCACTAGAATGTCTGCAGAAATCTGTGAGCTAACCAATGATTAGCTTAACAACCAAGAAACTGTTTTCAAATCTTGACAAGAAAATATGTTTCAAGTCTTTACCTTTTGGTCATGGTTGAGAGACTCAAGAGATAGGAACTGTCCATTTGCAATTAGTCCTCGAAACTCGTAGATATGGTTGAAGACAACTCCTGTAGCGTTAGTCTGGTCAGTGTAATAAACATAAAGCTTCCCACCCAACACGCATGTCTTTGCGTGCTCCATTGTGTTCTCCCACATTCTATTCGACATTCCACTCCCAAGCAACTACAATTATCATAAAAAAGAACAAGAACATTTAGATCCTTAGCTATGTTGGTGATTTCTTTCACATAAACAGAGGAAGATGGTTACATTTCTCAGCTTCTGTGGATCCTTAACAAGGATTCGAAGGAAGTCTTCGACTGTCACAATGTTAGCTTTCAATAGCTTCTTGTGTAACACTCCGTCTTTCGCTATCCTATCCAGTCTCCAGACCTCATCGTGTAAAGCCGGTGGATAGTGTTTCTTGTATACTGCACACAAGGAAAAATGTTAGTAGTAATTCAACATTCTCTACTTGTCAATACAATCAGAAGTTTTTAAGAACTCACATTCTCCTCTATGGTCTTTAACAGCAAAAGGTTCTGTTTTGGCTTCACGGATGCTAAAGCTATCACCATACCCTGGAGCTGACTTAACACCAAGCCTAAACTTTCTGCTTCTAATCCAACTCGAGTTGTCTGTAAAAGTAAGTTCCCCTAAAGTTCCCACACCTTCCTTAAGCATCACCTGTGTGTCACCGGTCAAGATTGGGCGTTTCCCTTCTCGCTCTTTCACTTCAAAGCTCTCAAAATGCTCTCTCGTCCAATCTTCATCCTCCTCATCATTGAAGTCTCCTTCTAACACAACAACATTCAGCTTTATAGCTGACTCTTCTCCTGTTTGGACTACGTTTCCTGTGTTTGCATCAGTAAGAACCACATGAATGGCCGAGCCTCGCTCTCCTTCGACTTTCCCACCTGTGAATAAGTGAGGAGGCATACGCGTCTTGAAGTGAAGTTGCAGGTTTCTTCCATCGCGGTCTTGGATCCTCTTTGGTTCCGGTGACCTGGAGATTTCATGTCTGTTTAGCCAGAAACTCAAACGCTACAAAGATCACAGAACCATTTCAAGATATAAAAAATGTACCTTGAAGCTAACTTTGCATTTCCCAACCTTGATAAGGCTCGTTCCACCTCTTCGCTAACCTGTTTTGTTTGTCCACACCATACAAAGTTTACAACTCCACAACCATCTAAAAGCATTACATGTTTAGCTTAAGAATATGATAAAAAAAAACTCACAATTCTGCGAAACAATGGCTCCAAAGATGAGCAAAGCCTCTGCAGACTATCTACCTTAACAGCTTCCACAATAACACTGTAAACAGTTTGTTTCAAGCGAATCAGGAGCTTTGTAAACTTGAACAACAAAACTTTAAGAGCTTAACAAGAGAACATCTCTCAACAAAGAGAAATGTCCACTAAAAAAGAGTTAAGAATCTTAGTGGTTTACATTCTCCTCCATGATCTTACAACAAAGCATATTCTTTTTCAATTGTTGTGAGGTTTAAGCATTAAGCTACTTTGAAAGGGGAAAAAGACAGAAAACCTCAAGGAAGTTACCTTGCTAAAGCAGGTACTTTTTGTCTCTTTGATTCAGGCAAGTTGTCTGTATCCTCTTGACTGCATTCGTATCCACGCTTGTTCATGGAACTTTCCATTTTAATCAAAAAGAAATTACAATCTCTGTGTCCAAGAGATATACAAAAAAATTATTCAAAAGGTAGGGAAAAAAAAAAAAGCAGAAGTCCACGAAGGAAGCTTCAGAGAAGAACACAGAAGAAACATAACACACAACATAAGTTGAATATTGGAACAAATAGCCTCAAGCTATAGAGTTTGGACAACGCACATGGGTTTGGACGGTTTGCAGAAGTCACTGAACCGAGATCTGTTCTTTAATGGTAGATCTAAAGCCTTAACTAAAAAAAATAAAATTATGGAATCTGTCCATGTGTGAGCATTAGAATAATGCAACGAGAGAGAGTATTTTAATGGCTGACACTAAGATAAACAAACCAAATAAAATAGAAGAAAGCAGCTGTTTTGGTACATGAATAATGAATATTGAAAGTTTGATACCGCGTGATACCTGGAGCTATCATATGCTGCATTATGTCAACCTTATTACGTTTTTTGACTTCTCCAGTTTTTGTCTCTTCTCTCCAACTTGTCACATTCTCATGTTTCTTTTCATCTGAAAAGTCTTTGTTAGCCTTTTACACAAAGAAGAAAACAGAGTCCAAGTTACTCTTGACCATGCTTATATCACATATATGAGATCAAATCACACATCAGCTGCAACACAAATCCTCTTAAAAGTTCAAATTACTCTTCCTGTCTCAGTCAAATAAAAATCTCAACAAACACAAAATCCAAGTTTAGTAAGATCATTATCATATATTTTTGCTTTGGCTAATGAGAATTTGATGGTTGGGTTTGCTGATGAACATGAACTATAAAATACAGAAGTCGGTGAATGGACAAAAACTATATATATATATATATATATCTGAAGAAAAGTCAATACAAGGGCAAGCCTTTCTTTATCTATATTTAGAAGCAAGAGCAAACCAAAAAAAAAGAGAGCTACAAATATAGAGAACGTGGGAGATAAGACTTTGCCTTAAGAATTAAGCGAATCACATGTTCTCATGAGCTATATGCGGAAGAGGGAAAATCAAGTTTGCTTCCATCGAGAGTCTCTCTTGAGAGCAGACTGAGAAAGAAGTCACTAAAACAATGAAATGCTTACTCACTCACCATCCCAACCTAATCGCCGAGCCCTCTGCTCCCACAAAGAAGTGATCTTTCTCTCTTTGATCAACAATGCTTGAGCTCTCTCTCTAGCTGACTCGCAAATCTCTGTGGCGGCGTTACACTTCTCTGCTTCCTTTTGGTATTGAGAAGCCACTCTTTTCGCTTCGGCGAGTGTAACGTTCATGTGACGACTATGCTCTTCTGAAACTGCTTCTTGCAGCTTCAGCTCTTCTGTGAGAAGGTCCACAAACGGCTTCTCCATCTCTTGTTTGAGCTCTGGATCACCACTTCCACAATCTGTCACACAATGCAACACAACATAAATCATTATTCATATTCCAGTTTCCATGGACCAAAGTAGGAACTTTTCACACACTCACACACAAAAAAAAAGAGAACTTTAACAACCAACTGATAAAAGTGTTTCCTTTATATAACAGATAAGAAACTCTCATGCTATTGTGTCAGATCAAGAACCACAAATACTTTAGACATTAGCTATCAAACCATGTTTCAAGGCATTAAAAGGACAGAAACAATACAGACAAGAGAGTTACAAAACCAACTTTAAAGCGCGTGAGCGAGAGATCTAACCTGTAACAGAGAGGTTTGCAAGCCCTGCCAAAAGAATGAAACTTGTTTAGAAATAGAAGATCATGAGGTCCTAAGACAATGGAAGATCAAAGCTTTATTCAAAAAATTCAGCAACAAATCCAAACAGATGGAGATAACTTCTCTCATAGACCTACTTCTTATTTCGTTAATAAGTGTGAAGAAGACCAAAGGTACTGCAACCTCTTCAAGATCACACATTAACTCCGATGATGTTTGAAACTAAACTGAACCAGAAACCTGTACTCACTCCAGCTGGTAATGAAGTAAAAGACCTCATCGACTCTGATATTGAAGAAGCTGATAACGAATCTAAAAATGACAGAGTCGATGAGGTTTTATAGTTCATCACCAGCCGGATTCAGACAGGTTTGCTGGATCAGTGTAGCGTCAAACATCACAAAGGTTGTAGTGCCTTTGGTCTTACATCAATTGCCTTAAATTTGTTCTATAAATCGGAATGAGAGAGAGAGAGAATAAGGGTGAGAGTACCGGGAGAGATTTGAAGGAGAGACAAAGGAGGAGGACAATCGCAGACGCATGGAGGACAAATGGAGTTACTACGAGCAGATCCAACGGAAGCATTTTGAAATTTCCAATAAAAAGCAGGTCCACACACGACCAAAGCCGATACCACAGACAATATCACCACACATCTCACGCAATTTGCAGACCTCCGCGCCATTGATTGAGATACGTGGACGAAGAAAGCTCAAAGTTTTCAAATTTTTTTGTCGATTTAGATCACAGACAGAGACTGAGAAGCAATCAATAATGGCGACAATAGTGGTGGAAGGAAGAAAACAGTATTGTGATTATATCCCTGAAACGACGTCGCTTTCATTATCACTTTCACTGTCACTATTTGCGATTGAACCCTTGTAGTTCCATAACATTTTCATGATTGGCACTATATTTTCATTTCTTGTTAAATTCACCAAATTCGAAGAAGTGGAGTGTTTTTCACTTTTCAGATTTAAACATACCATAATAGATTCTTACAACACGAACTTGAATCTCAAACATATGAGAAAACAACACAGTATCACAGTTTTTTATTTGTTGATTGATGTTTGTGCAATAAGCTTTTGTGGCATCTATGATCTATCTTATTTCATTCACTCTTGTTCTTTTAAATCTCTGTGATACTCACTGATCCATTTCTCTATAATGGCAACTTCTTGCCTCCTCTGTTCTTTAAGCCAGTCCGGGTCATCTTTTGTAGCAGCTCTGAGATCCGCATGGTGAGCTCCTGTTTCAGAAACAATGTCAGGTTTCGGTTTTCTCTCAATCTATTTGTCCAGCATCTGAACAGAAATATGTTACCTTTCTTGGTCACAAGCGCGACAATGCTGCTCGAAATGTTCTTGAGAACCCTGATGACAAAAAAATTTGATATGTTTAAGATCCAAAACCCAATATTTCTACGTTTGTAAAACATTGAGAAGTTACTACTTACCCTCCACGGCTCCAAGGATCTTGCATTCCATTTGAGAATATGATGTTGCTTCCAAATCTCTTCAACACTGTCTCTATTCTCTACAAAAACACATGACCAAGCAAGCTGAATACTGAATCTTGAGAAGCTAAGAAAAATTAATGGAGGGGAAGATAAACAGTAACTGACCTTTCCGCCAAACTCTGTGGTGATCCAATGTGGTCGAGGCTCGACTCCATATCTACTCTTGCATTGTTCTTTAAAGGCCTCATAGTCATTTTCATACGCTGGAAACATGCTCTGGTTCGAGCAGCTCATTGGCATCACCATCTCCGTGCACGCCTGTTTCCATTTAGTAACCACATTGTGTCATATATAGTTTCATAACAAAATCAATTTGTGTTATTCAGGAACTTTATTCAAACTCATACTCATAAAATGTTTGAATATGGAGGAAACCGTATTACCTGCCATCCCCAACCGTCGAGTCCATGATCATCACTAGGTTGTTCAAGCTCAAAGCATTTTTCTGAACCTGAATAGTTGTAGTATAAACTTGCAGCAGCAAAGGCACGGTCAAGATTACTTGATCCTCGAGGGAACCCATCAACGATCTTACACATCTGATGCAAAACAAAACCGGTCCAAATTCTGATTGTGAAAAAGAAATACTACTTGATGACATACTTTTTGGCATAATGATATCTCACCTGCTCAACAGGGTAACCAGGAAGTGGCGCCATGAAATTAGCTGCGGTCGCATAATTAACCATGGCTGTATACACAAATGCTGACATTAACCAATCTCTGGCTGAATATTGAGAGTGAAGGCCTCTGAAACTCAAGCAAACACACATCTGGTTGAGCATTTTTGAGGATTTACAGAACAGAGAATATTTTGAAGCAAATACTATTACTTGCAAGTTCTGAACTTTTTGCTGAGTTGTGGCAAGCCATTTTTTAAAGTAGAAACTGCATCTAGCTCATCCCAGCTTCTCTTGATGACTTTGAAACAGTTAACACTTGCGTCCTGTTTTGTAACATGATTCATGATTAGGTTCATTATAACATCACTTTTTGTATGAAAACTGCAAGAAACAGAACATACAGCACCTTGAAATCCTGAGAAATGGCATCATAGAAGCTAGTCAATGGCACGATTTTGTCGAAATGAAGAATTGGTGCAGAGGATGCCAATGCACCGATCGCTATGTGTGGATACTTGAGCCTGAACCACGCTGCGAGCACTGTCTCGAGACATCATGACACACAACAGAACATAGTTTAGGAGAAATGATGAGTAATAATGAAGAAATGATCAATTGAAAATTATTCATTTGAAAGTGGTGTGTGTGTGTGTGTGTGTGCTTACTTCCACCATAGGAGCCACCAAAGACAACCACAGGAGATGCCTCGGACGATAAATTCTGCTTCAAGCTTCTTATGAGGATCGCATAATCAGCCAACGCTTGTTGAGAGTTAAGGTAACCTAATGTCTCAGCCGACTTGTGTTGCTTCTTTCCAAACGGCTTTGATTCTCCATAGAATCGGTGCTGCAATGATGTACAAGATTTATCAACGTTTGAGTCCATTCTTCAAACTAGAGATAAGTGCAAAAGCTCTTACTTCAATGAAGACAAGAAGAGCCTGGAACTTGGGAGCAATATCAGACATGAAACCGGTGTTGGTAGCAAACCAGTCAATGTCTCCTTCATTTCCGGTGTAGACAAAGATAGGGCCACCTTTGCGCCAGAAACGGCTGTTGATGAGGTACTTTTGTTGGAAGACTTTGTAGCTCTCTGGTCTGAAACTGAAGTGGTCAAGATTCTGAGGGAAATAACGAGTCTCAAAAGGTAACTTTGGCTTTGACTTGGAGGAGGCCTTCTTGTGTTGTCTAAGAGAAGAAGAAATATGGTGGAAACCTCCAGGAGGATACGTTGCTTCTGCAAAACTAGTGAAGAACAGAAACACTAAGCACAAAACAACAGACATTTTTTTTTGTCTTTCTTTCTCCCTCTCAAAACAAGAGAAACTCAAATACAAGCAAGAAGGCAGAACAAGAAGTGGCTTTGGTCTTATTATTGCCTAACAAAATTTGGTTTTTGCATTCGTCAAGTTTTTTGGTTTCCCAAGTAAACTCTTTTGGAGCTTGTGGAGGGATAACGTGAGTTGCATCAGAAAAAGTTTTGTCCTTTTTCAGAACTTGTGATGATTCTGCTTCTCTCTCTCTCTCTGAACACTCAAGTCTCAAGAATGATGATGACACAATGTAAAAAGAGTAACAATCAATCGAAATCTCATATTCTCATCACAAGTGGCGGTACTATGATCCAAACAAAGCCAGCCTCCATCTTCAAGCATGCTTTTACAATATTTAGTTTTAAAAAATCATTTGGTTTGTTCAAAGTAATTGTCATGAACAATACTGCCAAAGCAAAAAGGTTGGGGAAAGGTCCCAACTGAGAATACCAATGAAGCTATGAGATAGAGAAAAGAAACCACTTTTTTATCACACAATAGTTTCTGATAACAGTTTTCAAACTTATTGAGATTTTCAATACCAATAATTATTCCACACAACAGAACCTAGCCTAGGAAGTCTAAACTGGTTTAATGTTGTAGATAATTCAACCACAAAAGTCACAATCTTTGATTCAAAACATAAGATTCTACTCACATCAGCTTTGCCGTCACAAAAATTATACTCCATAAAGGTACAAACTTTTTTTCAAAGTTGAGAGCTTTCATCATTGTTTCTTCCATTCCCTTCTTTTAATGGCACAAACAGAGAAAAAGTTTTAGCCCCACAATTTACTTAACGTGTTATCCTATATTGATGATGTATGTAATAACAATTCAGAAACATGTGGTTGCCAAAGAAGAGAAGATTAGATAAACTATAGTTACACTTGCAAGTTTCAACATACTCAAAAACCTAAACTTTACTCAGATTTTACTTGTGCTTATTGAAGAACAAAAATGAGAATTGAAATTATGAACACAATGAACGATGAAGAGGAGAGAAACTGAGTCAAAGACAAAGAGGCTTTTCTCTATAAAATAAGATGAGAATTCATCACTCAAGAACTCAAAATTCTACCAAATATGCAATTGAAAAAAAAAATCTGTTTTCAAATTTAAAATTTCAGTTTTCTTGAGCAAATTCACTGAGAGATCAGATTCGAAACAATCAGAGCACCAAAGAAGAAGACGAAGGCAAAAAGGGGGAAAAGAGGTTAAAACAGCGCTCAAGACTCATCATCACGCGTACGTGACTCGATGGGACAGGTATAGTTTGAGATCATTGGCTCCGCTTCCACCGGAAGGTAACGACGGCGAGAGCGTAGTTACTTCCGGGAGCAAAGCCTCATGCTTAAACTAATGATACTCCGAGCTGATTCCTGAGCGTCTCTTCAAAATACAGATCCCCGAAATTATGGTTTATGTCGGTTTATCCCGGTCTAGCCCAAATGTTCAGAACCGAAATAAAACCGGGTTGCCAACTTGTTAATTAATCAATCCTTAAAATAGTAACTTCAGCACATAAAAGTCCACTGGGGTTCTATTAGTAGACTACCAAAACTTAAGTTTGAAATTAAACATTGCGCTAAATTTCTACAAACGTAACAAATTTCCTAATAGAAAATTTGTCACTGCTATGAAATTTACGAATCTAAAAGAGAGGAAAATGTAGAGCTTCTTGCTAATTGGAACACAATTGAAAGATATTCAGAGAGGAAAAAGGGTTAACAAAAATGCATTGTCACACCCGATCGAGAGAGACAAGTGGACAAAGATAGTACAAGCCCATGATTATTTCTTCATCTTTGTACATACATGATAATGTACATGACATGTCAATGACTCATTCAGGCATCCAAAAAAACTATAACTTTTTCTTAAAGCAAAACTAAAAGAACAAAGAAAAAAAATAGTGAATGCAGTGTAGGGACTAATTTCAGAATTTATAAGCGTTTGATAAAAACTCCAGCGGCCAAATGTGAGGGTAGCAAGATTCATCTCTTGATACATATGGATTTATTCATTGTCTTGTTTCACCAACCTGATTCGTTTTAAATTACTGATACACCGTTTTTTTTTTTTTTTTTTTTTTTGACAACTTAATGAGTTTAAAACTACAAATTTACGTTAATGCAGCAAAGCCAATTCACCTAAACAACCTGTACGCTAAACAATATAGTTTTTCTTTTTCTAACAATAGTCACTCACAAAATAAACTAAAACTT